CATTTCGCGTGATAGTCTTGCTACCGGGATCAATTGTAGCGTCGATTCGAAACTGATCCAGACGGAGCATGCTGTCTGCTTCTGGTTTCGATTTCGATTCTTCAAATTGGTCAACTAGTTGTGTCGCGGTCGCGGTCGGAATGATAGGAACGTCGAAACGAACGACCTGCTCGATTGCACTTGTGGTACGATCGTACAAGACTCTTGCGAGTTCGGTGGGTCGTCCACAAACGAGCAGTTTTAGGGTTTCAGATTCGGGCGGACCGCCGAAGAAAAGAAGTGGCCCAACACAAACTGTGTATCGAAGAGGGCAGCACCGAATGGCTCTGCATCTTCGGATGCGGAGTCATTACTACTTTGTCACTGTACTCGCTTGTAGTTGTGTAGTAGTTAGTATTTTTGGCCAATGTACCCGGCCCAACGAACAGCAAGTTTGGGCAAAATCGCGGTTTGAATTAGTGTTGCGGATGAGACTAGATCACGGGTTGCATTAGCCTTGTAAATTGTTAATATTTGATATTCCTAATTGCTTGGAGAATAGTGTTGCGAATGATGAAATCGTGTTTGCATTAAAATCATTTTTATATTTTCAGGGTAGTGTTGCGATAATGACTGAGCGCGATTGTTTATACTTTTTATTCGAATGAAAGTCTTGTTGAATTAAAGATCACAATTTTAATTGATTTATATAGTTTCTGACTTTTGTTGAATTAGTGTTGCGAGATGAATTGATCGGGTTTGTCGTAGTGTTGCGATTAATGAAACGCCCAAAACTATGCTGCAACCATTATCAGAACCACAAAGCAGCAGCTTATATTGCTGCAAAGAGTGGTTCACACGCAGCCCAAAATGGTTGCCCTGTTTATTTCAACCTAAAGTTAGTGTTGCGTATTATGAGATGAAGGTGCACGGGAGTTTTTCATTTTTATATTTATTAAATTAGTGTGGCGAGCAAAGGAAGCACCATTCGCGTTTTTTGAGAATCTTTTGAACATTAATTGATATTGAATGATTAGTGTTGCGAGTGATAAGCGCCCACGTGGCTGCCCTCGGGAGGTTTTTCGTATTATATTCAATTATTTAGTGTTGCGTAAAGAAATATAATGGTCCACTCACGGGTTCTTCTTTTAATAAAATGAAATGTGAGAGTGGACAGATTCAGCGCCCTATTGTGGCTGCTATTATTCTGTTTTTGTATTATTTGCCAAGTGTTTGCGTTGGAAATACTGCTGAAACAAATATTTATTTTGCAAAGAAAAGTGTTCGATTTTTTTTATAATGACACAGTCATTCTTTTATAATTTCTTGAACCATTAATGTCTGCATCATTACTGACATTTGACACAAGAATAATGAAAATTAAAGTCAATTTGAGATTAAAGTTTAATTAGAGTCTTTTGAAGTAGGCATGACTATTTGTTGTTAGAGGTGTTAGTAGGTTAATTGTTCAATCGTAATACGTTACTTGCATACAATATTGACATCAAAATAGTGTACATTTTTGTAAATTTTTGGAATCTCTCTGCAAAAATCAAAGTTTCTTCGCGATTGTTTCTAAGCTTGACAATTAATGAAAAGCTTGCAGCTGAAAAAATATGCAAATGCAAATTCGATACTTTATATTGATAGCAACTTCTCAAGTAGAGTCGCCGTTCATTCGTTATTGCTATCTCTATACAAGTATAATTTCAATTTCGGTACAGTCAAATGCGATTATTTCGATTTAAATGCTTTTATTATGTTAAATATTGATTATTGCATATTACAAATGAACTAATAGAGTCGCGATAAAATCTATTCTTGTTTCATCTTTGCACAGAGACATAATTCATTTTTTGCTTCAATTATTTGCTTAAATTCATTTGCTTAATAGTCGAGTCTACCGTTCTAGTAAATTCATTTTTTTCGATAAAAAAGATTGATATTCTTAATATTTTGTGTGTACTAACCCGTTTCTTTTTCAGCTTCTTACCCAATGAATTAGTTTGTTTCAGATTATCTACATAAATTCCTACAATGAACACAAGTTCGTCAAGATGAGAAGATAATATCTTGAGTTTTCTGTTTCAGATTAGGTATCGTCGTGGGATTAAATTTCAACTCCATCGAAATAAAATGTCTATAAATACATGTTATTATATTATTTATTCTTATTATGTATATGTTGATATTGAAATTCTTATTGAAATTTATGTAAAATGAAATGTCCGTAACCATGTTTTATTGTGACATATACTTTGAATATCTATTATAGAACCAAAATATGTATAAAAATATATCGATATACTTTTATGCTTATTACATATTGTTATTGAAATTGTTATTGCAATTATTATTTACATTTATGCATAATGAATATCTAATAATCTTTCAGGATCTGTTTCAGAAATCATCATATGAAGATCATGTATAAAGACCAATAATCATGTCTTGTTCTAATCTTTCAGGGTCTGTTTCAGAAATCATTATATGAAGATCATGTATGAATACCAATAATAATGTCTTGTTCTAATCTTTCAGGGTCTGTTTCAGAAATCATCATATGAAGATCATGTATGAATACCAATCATAATGTCTTATTCTAATCTTTCGGGGTCTGTTTCAGAAATCATCATACGAAGACATTTCTTCATTCTGATGATCACATATGATGAGGTCACTCTTCATGTGAACTTCATACGAAGATTTCTCTTATTTAATATGAAGTTCATGTGACGAATAGTTCTCGTGATATAAAGATCTTGGGGGCTGCTTCGATTAAATCAACAATTGGATTCGTTGGGGAAAATGTTGCAAAAAGCACAAAGGGTGGGACGGTTTAGGCGCGATGGGGGGTGGGTCTCCATTCGCAGCAACCTCCACGTGGTGAGACCTGGGCAATCATTATTATTTGGCATATAATTAACAGTCATAATCACCTACAAGTTGACGAATTATATAGCAAATAATATGAGCAAATTGGCTGCGAGCTTGTTCACTTTAATCAATTGATTCTTGTTGCTAGCAGTTTCTTTACTGGCTAGCTGTTAGTGGCAAGAATCTTTTGTTACGTGTATAAATTATTCGTACCAGGTATAATGAAATGTAAAAATATCTAAAAACATTGAAGCATTTTATTAAGACAATAATATATGTATACACCGCAGTTTCTGTAGTGATAGTATGCGAGTTAAATGCGACACCGTGTGTATTGCGTCCTGAACGTGCTGGGCGACAGAGTGGGGGGGTGTACGCACGTTTATAGAGGTACGTGGGGTCGAGGGGCATTCCCAGTGATCAATTAATGAATCCGGAAATTATCGAGCATCTACTGTATATAGCAATTAATGTATTGAAACTGTGTTAATTTATTTTTATTTACTTACAAAAATATATTTTTGTTTATTTAATTTGATGAGTAGATAAATAAATACAATGATTGTAAGAAAATACAAAATTCGTAATGGTGTTTGTATAAATTTAATAACAATTGGCTTAATTACAATTTATAAATTCAATACATATATATTTGTATGTACCCTAGATGGCGTTAGCTTCTTGTTCTTGAGATTTGATCTTGTCTTTACAAACTGTATGCAGAAAATAACTCTACCAACTTGATCTTTTCGTGTTTACATCTTTCTAACCCGAATGAAGAGTTCGTTGTTTTTAACAGTCAGTATTCAGTAAAAATAAGTCATATTCGTAATTTGTTGTAATAGTTTAAAAACATTGTCACATTTCGAAAGCTTTACATACATGTGTATGTATTTACAATAATTTGAATATGAAGAATTAATAATGTATTTCTTTATAGTGTTATGTTAAAAGTGACGACTATTTACATTGTCATATTACAGGAAACTCAATTAAACTTTTTACGGTGTAATAGCACCCAACTAAGAGCAGGGCGGAACAATTATGATTAGGTATTTTGTTCAGCTAAATGAAAAAAGGGATAAATCATGATGAACAATCACAGCGAAAGAAAAATCGTGCTTATTAAGGAAACCAGATCAAAGTAAAGAGACTGTACACGAAGTCTGATACATACATGTTCCTTGTATGCTGATTAAACTTTAATAAGATGCCCACAATAGCTAGTTCATCTTTAACATACGAAATTCTCATGTATCTAAATTCCTTTTATTTTGGTATGTTTGCTGTTTGCGAATTGGGCATGGGATTCTTCAAAGCTGCAAACTTGCCTTCTCCTGGCACAAGCACTACATTGACAGAGTTCGCACTTTTGTTTTTCCTCATAGCCACGGAAGGAGCTAGAATTTATCTCGGAAGAAAAGGAAACTTGACTGAACATGGGTTGCCAATTCTTGTTGGAGTTATTCTAACTGTGCCTAGCTCCTTAGCCACATTGTACTTTTTGATCTGGCAAAATTATGTGCTCAGGCTAGAAGTAATTCTTTGCAGCATACAATTAGTCCTATTGGCATCTGAATTAATAATTTCAATCTTGTGCCTTATAGCTATATATCGACCGCCATCTCCCGAAGAATAAGTATCTCCTTGGTTGTCTTCTATCATCTTTGCAAGCACAATATAAACTATAAGTATTACAAGATTTTAATGTATACAATATACAAATGGGAAAGAAATTGAAGTATTGAAACTTAGTGCGTACTTAATTTTTATACCTTCAAAACTAATTAATTTAATTTGTATACACATTCGCGTGCGTGAGTGCGAACATATTTATACTTTTATAAATGTTTATAATATCCACTTTATGATAGACTTCTTTTTTATTAACATTTTTTTTTATAAAAATTATATACCTACATATAATATTTACACACACTACGTACAATACAGTAAATACATTTTTAACAAACAATAGACGTTTCTGTTCTAAACAGTTTTAGTACACGTTTCAAATGTTTATGCAAAAGTATACAGTTGAATAATAAACTGTTGAAAATGGAATCAATATAATTCATATGTTATATATATTAATAATTGGTTAAAATCCAGAACACCGGATAAAAGATATATGGAATTTAAAAGAAAAAATATTCAGTGATAGTAAAAGCTTTACCTATAGTTTTCGTGATTAATCTTTTACATTGTTGGCAGCAGCTCTACGTCTTCTAATTGCTCGCAGTCTGTTATTACAATATATTCGTAAAAATACAGAGCCGAATACTAATAATATACCAATTATACCGACAACTGTGATAAGATGACGATATATCAAGCAGGACAACAATATAGCTAAACACTGAAACAAAATTAAAATTTGATTTGTAAATCATGTTCTGCTAGGATTGACGGTTTTTTTTAAAAAAGGAAGATTATTACCTGTCGAATAGTCATTATAATAACAAATGTTACTGGCCCAAATTTAGAAATCGTATAAAAAATATACAACTGGCCGCTCGCAGAACAGATTGATATGAGTAAACAATCGACAATGAATCTGGGATACTATAAAGTATTAATATTATTATAATTGTAACAAAGACAGATTCAATTGAAATTAGTTTAAGTTATACCTTTGTCATAAATGAAAATATGAGGGGAAAACTTGATTGCTGAAATAGAGACATCGCTGTAAATAGACAGGAAAACATATTAACTACACACATCATTTGTACACTTGTTGCACCATATTCTATGAATAATGCATTCTGCCAGGTACTTGTAAAGCTATCTAATATTAAGTAGCCTCCTAGGAGAATAGTACCAGACATAGTAGTAGCTCCATCTAAAAGTAGTAAGGTCAAAGTAATTAGAAAATGTCAATTTTACTAAATCCATATTCACAATATAAAAAATTGTACCGTTTCTATAATCAGAACTATCTAACATAAATAATGTCATTCCAATGGAAATTAGTATTGCAGTAACATATTCATAATACTCGTACGTGGTACGTGAAATTATTTTTCCCATTATCATAACTGGAATTATTTTAGAAGCTTTTGCTAATACCTGAAACACATAGGTATAATACAACTTTCAAATGGAACACTTCGAAAAAGAAAATAATTAAAAAGCAACTACCTGTGTTGGAAAGCTAACGTATTTTAAAGCTTCATATTGGCACCAACTGCTCATGATATTTGACAAAGAACAAAATGCATATTTATAGAGTGGTGCTTTATGCTGAGGTTGCCTTTGAATTGTTAAATATAATCCTGACATTAAAAATGCCAGAATTCGATTAACAAATACTAAAAATTGAGAATCTTTGAAATGGTCTTTGTTTCCGTTAAGATCTTCGTATTCCTGAGACACAAATATTTTTATATTATCAAAACTTTAAAATCATAAAGGCACTACCGAGCAACATAACATGTCAATGGTTCTAACTGTATTGTGTATTTTATTCTACAACTTGCATTTAAAAATAAGCTTCAATGTAACAGTATCAAAGATGTGATGAATGAAATATAACTTCAAAAGCTTGTTTGAAGTATTGTGGGCATTATTATTAGTACCCATACCGTGGCTGGTGTATTGTCAATTCATAGGACAGAGCTAATAATTTTCTGTTATCTATTTTTTTGTGTTTATATGAATTGAATCATACCTGTGTCATTATCTTCTCCTGTAAATAACCCCATGTTAAATAACTGACTTGTAAACCAAAGAAGCAATACATAAGTAATAATGCATCTTGCATAAAAGTACGTTGCTTAAGATTTGATGTCATGGACGAGTAAGAAGAGTCCAAGAGTCCTGTTTCGCAGTGACCCACAAAGCATGAATGTACCATCCTTGGAATGCATCCCTTGCCTATTTCATAATTAATTCCAATTCCTTATAAGTTCCTTAATATTTCTAATATTATAAACATTACTTCTATTTACCTCCTCTTTGTATGTATTTGGTGTAACGTACATATTTATAAATGAGACAGCCTGGCAAAAGTATAGTAGCATAGCTTAGTAAGTTTAAACACAACTGAATAATCCAGTTGTAGGATGGAGAATCTAAAAATGTTTGTCCTGTGTTTACAAGAGACTTAATAACTTCACTAGCTCCAAATATAAGGCTCACTGAAAGTAGTAGCAGTATGCTACAAAAAAATTACTTCAATATATTGATGTAATGTACAATTCCTTGTTTAAATATACTTAAAAAAAAATGTTAAATTATGACGTTGCCTTACCAAATTACAAGATCGCTTACAAAATTTCGCATTGTTTTTAATTACAATTGAATTTATGTTTTGAAATAAATGACTGGTAATGCGTTTTATAACCTTGCTCTGTTCACGTTAAATGGTTTTCGATTGCACTTATGAGTACGAAAGTGTAAAATTACTATGTCAATAAATTGAAAGTAGTATTGTATTACGTATTGCGTATATACACAATACATAATATTTGTAAACCATAACTTTATAGGGTTGTAAACAGTTGTTCTAAAACAAAGTATACAATTCATTAACAATCATCAACAAAAGCTACAACGTACTATATTGCATAATTATAAAATGATTATATATAAATATCCAAAAATGATTTGTCAAATTGTTCGTCAAACCATTTTTTAAAGTGAAACATCTTCTTGCCACATTCATCCATATCTAATATATAAATGCATATTAATCAAGGCAAACACGTAAAGTTTTAGTATCGATTGTTGCTGTCGTACAACACTCGCGTGTTTCTCTTTATTTTTTAACTAATTTGGAAAATCGTAAAAACTAAGCTTCTTTCGGTTCTTAATAATTCAAATATTATTTAGAATCACGCTATTAGACAGACCAAAAAAATTAAAAACATTTAAGACAAATTCACTTTTTAATCATTTGTTTTAACAGGCTTTGTAATTTATTGCAAAACATAATGTGTTTTTCTATTTTGAGTATTTCAATTTTAATAAGATGTAATTTATACCATCGTATATTAAATAAGTAAAAATCTGATCTGCGTATTTATATACACTCATACACAGAGGGTCGAAACGCAGTACATTCTCGATACAAGCTTTGTCCCTTGTATCTTGTATCTGCTGGAGAGTTGTTATTGTATACTATGGGATAAATTTAAAAGCTCTGTGTATTTGGAAGCAATGTTAGTACACGACACGCTACAGTTCACACTAGTTCGATCAACATCACAAGTGAAGTGAGATTCTATTGTGTAGCTGGATCAGTTTTTCTTATTCCCGCCTTTCAGAAAATAAAGAGATTGAATGAATTGTTACGTACACACAAGCGAGCTGTCATCGAGACTCTATTGTAATGATAATGATAATGATAGTGAACAAACGGCTGTTTCTGACTATGAAATACATTTGAAGCGTCAATACAATTGCTGAAAAATTGATGCGATTTTCACATCCAGTTTATTTATCTGGTTCTGCCATTATGTAAATCATGTAAAATAGAATTAAATTTCGCTACAAATCTAAAGCATCTAGCGTCAATAATGGGATACTAATTAGATATCAGTTTGAGTATTTCGCCGTAGATGGCATCATATGTGTTTTGCCAGATTCATTGTTCGATATTAAAAAATTAAATGTTGTTTAGAAACGTTACACTAAATCGTTATTGTTGTGTAATTTTGATTCCTGGGGAATCACCAAAGAATTCGATGCCATGGAAGAAAGTGTTTGTTTAGTCGAGGAAAGCTTGAAGTATTTACATCTCACTGCCATCTATGTTGGTTTTAAATCATTATACGGATGATAAACAATGCGAAGTGGCAGGGGTTAGATTGTATGTATAAAATTTGATCACTCCTTCTGTGCGTACGAAGATGTTTGTTTATAGTTGATAATTGTACAGATAACAATAAACATGATGGATTATGAATTTAAAATGAAAACTCAAAAAGACCGTACGAAGGTCGAAGATCTTTTCGAATTCGAAGGGTGTAAAGTTGGAAGAGGAACTTACGGGCACGTCTACAAAGCTCGTAGGAAAGAAGGGTTAGTGTTTCTAACCTGATGTATAGGATCGTATACCGTTTTGATATGCGGTATTAAACATTTTTATATTATGTTACATTAAATGATTCGTCGAAAATTCCCTCGTGCGGGCAGGAAGTTGTAGGTTCTACTTGAATGTTTCCATCGATCATTTGCGAATGAAAAGTAATTGATTAGTTCATGTTAGATTATACAATAACACTATACGAACTACAATGAATCGTTAATTTGTTCTGTGTTATTCCATTTAAATTTCATTAGCGTGCCAGATAGCGAATTAAAATCTCGACCAGATACAAAGGATTTTGGCTTAAAACAAATAGAAGGTACAGGTCTTTCAATGTCTGCATGTCGTGAAATTGCTGTAAGTAATTATTCTTCGATGATTAATTGAGAAATTCGGAGAGTGTCGTGTTCAGTTACAATAAATTTTTTTTTACAGTTACTTAGGGAACTGAAACATGTCAATGTGATTACTTTAATTAGAGTTTTCTTGTCTCACAATGACCGCAAAGTATGGTTATTGTTTGACTTTGCAGAACATGATTTATGGGTAGGTTTATATTTATCAGAGGTTTCTTTCATGGAAACAAATAAATGAGTAAGTCTAATTCTATTCTGATTTATAGCATATAATAAAGTTTCATAGAGCTGCAAAAGCTAATAAGAAACCTGTTATGGTACCGAAGGGTATGGTAAAGTCTTTGTTGTATCAGATTCTTGATGGTATCCATTACTTACATTCCAACTGGGTGCTCCATCGGGATTTGGTAATTATTAGTTTGTACAGGTTTAATTTGTAAGACTATTATGTTATTCATTATGAACATAAACATTTGATATGTTTTAGAAACCAGCAAATATATTGGTTATGGGAGAAGGTAATGAAAGAGGACGTGTAAAAATTGCAGATATGGGTTTTGCTAGACTGTTTAATGCCCCTTTGAAACCTCTTGCGGATTTGGATCCTGTTGTAGTGACATTTTGGTATAGAGCACCAGAGTTACTTTTAGGAGCTAGACACTACACAAAAGCTATAGGTATAAAATTAGAGGTAAACATTGAAATTATCTATACCATTTTGTTATCTTTGTAAGTTTTGTTTTTATCTTTCAGATATTTGGGCTATCGGATGTATATTCGCGGAACTTTTAACATCAGAACCCATATTTCATTGTAGACAGGAAGACATTAAAACCAGCAATCCATATCATCACGATCAGTTAGATAGGTAGAGGATAGATATTAATATTTTAATGATAGTTCTGCTCGTGTGTGCAATTTATTTAGAAAATAATAAAGTGTTGGAACTAATTGCCATTCAGGATATTCAATGTAATGGGATTTCCGTTAGAAAAGGATTGGGAAGATATTAAGAAAATGCCTGAACATCCTACGTTATTAAAAGATTTTAAAAGATCCAAGTAAGTATTCGTTTGAGAATATTAATTTAAATATCGTTTATTATACATCAACCTTTTGTTAACGCACATGATTTTTGTCTGGCAGTTACGCAAACTGTTCTTTGACAAAGTACATGGATCGGCATAAAATAAAACCCGACAGCAAAGCGTTTAATTTGGTAAAATGGAACGAATTGTATTGATTAACCGTTTACCGTTTTGTTTTCGGATAGTGATGTTAATTTAATTTCACGTTTTTAGCTTCAAAAATTGTTAATGATGGATCCTAATAAACGAATTACGTCCGAACATTCTATGCAAGACGCCTATTTTCAGGAAGAGCCACTGCCAACGCAGGAGTATGTAATCGATTCGTATTGCTCTATGTTATTATTGTTTTCGCTGTTTTGTTGCTCGTTACTCGTTCCTCGGTTTAATCGGTATTCAAAACGTTTCAGCATATTTGCCGGATGTCCTATTCCGTATCCTAAAAGAGAATTTTTAACGGACGACGATACAGAGGAAAAGACTGAAAACAAAGCTCGACAAAATCAGCAACAAACGGTAACTATATCTGGTTATATATGCTTGTTAAAAAACGTTTCTTCTCACGGTCACGGTGGAATTGTAGCAGCAGAACCAGCAACAACAAGGAAACGGTGACCATAATCACGGACAGAACGCAAAACGCGTTAGGTTGAACGGTCCGCACGGAGCTCCGGAGTTTCATCAACACCAAAGTCACGCGATGACCCATCAACAACCGCCCGGAATGGTTTACTCTACTGCCCAGCCAACTCAGCCGTCGAATTTTCATCAGCGTTTTTGAACGGTCTTTCAATAACAAAACGACTCAACGATCGATTTGTTTCGATCGCTAGTCTGCTAATTTAACTGATTACTGTATTTCATTAATGACAAAAGTCAATGATTCCTGTATATTCCATTCTAGCATAATAGTAAAATTTTATTTATATATAGATATAATCGATAGACACGTTATCTGTACACCTACTCGGAGACCTCCCAAGATTCAGCGTACATTTAGCGACGAGAAAAATCAGAAGCCGATTTTGAAGAATGTTAATGCAAAACAAGGTTCCCCAGTGAATAATTTTTCAGAGATTCTGATATTTTTGGTAAATCTTATTCTACATATTATTTATTCCGTGCTCGTTGTTCACGCGTTCACTCGTGTCGGCGGAGGAAGAGTGAAAATCGGCGTGAAAAGAGAAGGTGTCCCCCCGCGTGAGGAGGAACAACGAAGAAGGAGAGAAACCGTGATTTAGCGGAGGGGGATTACGCATGCGCTGTAAATCATTTCGGTAGCATCGCCGCGGTCTGTCGCGCGCTCCTGAAACGCAGTTTCCGTGAATCGGTGATCGACGAAAAAAGTGTATGTGCGCGCCGCGCAACGACGTCGCGTGCTACTGCGATCAGGATGCTAATCAAGCTACTACGGGTCTTTGATTCATCCGTTAATCTGTCGATCGGATGAGAATAAAAGGTGAGAACGTCTACCGTCAATCGATCTATCGATATTCGTTTCATTTCACCTGTCCACGTTTTTGTCAACGTGTATTTGCATTTTGGAACGGCTGTCAAACTTTGATCGGGATCCGTCTGTATAACGGACGCGTCGTTTTCAAACAAAGCTGCGCGGTCTTTTCTATTCGACCGCATGTAACGCGGCTTATTAATTTTTTTAAAATTATTTTCTCATCGAGTCGACAGTTCGGATATCGCGCGCTAGCGTTATTTCCAATTTCGTATGAACAGTTACGTTTTCGATCGGTAACGAACACACCTGTTTAACGATCATAATTGGAAGATAAGGGAATTTTTTTTTTACTTTATAGATTAGGTATAATTTCGTCGACTCTGTTTAATGGTATCGCTGTATTTCCCACGTGGACATTGGATTCGAAATCTCGATAAAAGTCCCCGTAGGAAAGTTACTCGCGTCCGGTAGCCGTGGGCGCATCGCGACCAGCTACGAAATCAACGAAATAGTGCTTTGAACGACCCCTTACGTAATTCAAATACGAACAAGCGAATTTTTCATTTCGAAATATTATCGTGTATGCTTACACGTTCGCGATCGGTACGTACGGCCTTTATTCGGGAATAAGAGGGGACAAAAATGAGAATCACGAGCCCCGCGCGGAATATGCACGCTCGCGAGCGACGAGCCTCATAGATGCAAAAGTAAAAGTAAGGGGGTGGGGGGGACGATCCTGACCACCGTGTCTCGCGACCAGTCGGGGCCATGACCACGTTGCGACAAGGTAACCACAGTTGCCTTCTATCGGTGTGGAATCGTTCGAAATCCCGGCTTGGATTATATTTGCAGGGACGATTTTAACATGGATGTAGAGACAGGTGTGTCCGACACAAGGTTGAGAGATGATCGTCATCGGTTAAACGGGCCCCAATCGGAATCGGTCCTAACTCCAAAAAATATTAAAAATCTCGTATATATCGAGTTACCATTTGGTAAAGTATCTGCACGATAGCTCGTAAACGACGAAATCACTGTGTATTTGCGTTAAACAAAGATGATCGGTATTCCGTTCAGATTCTCTCGCGAAGCGAACACGACGAAACTGTCAATTGCTCTTCGGCCGATTCAAGAATTTTGATCGTACGCAAAAGCGTACGTTCGCAGTCCGTTTGCAAATTTATTTCATTGGGAAATCGAGTTTCTCGATTGTTTCGTCTCTCTCGACGGGTAACGCGCGTCATTCAACGAAATAGAAAACGTCCGGATGTCCCTGATCGTGTCTCTATACATGGACATTTAGGAGCGGGTCCCGTCCACGCATGGTTATTTTTTTCTTCCCTCGATACGGATTCCGAAACAGCAGCTGGTCGCACACGTGTGCGCTAGTGGCCGATCTAACCGGCGAACAATACGTTCCCATCAGAGTTGGGCAAAATTTTATTCGAATAATACACAGTGAAAAGCAGCAGTATCTAAGAGTGTCGTTCTGAGCTTTAAACAGTTAATGTTATTTTATTATGAAAAGTGAAATTTCCACGTTTAAACAAATAAAAATGACGAAATACTTTTTTTTATGTTTTATTCATTATTCGAAACTTTATCTAGATAATGAGTTTGCCCATCTCTGGTTCCCGTCTCACGATTCACGAGCCCGTAAATCACGTTCTCGACGTCGAATTTCGACTATTCGAAGAGGCGTAGGCCCAAACAAGCGACATTGGCGACGGCCGAAGCTTCTTTTGTCAGAAGTGAAAGACGTGGGAAGAGTGGAGAGCAGATAGTCGCGCGGGTTCTCGCGAGATCGAAAGAGAACGAGAACAAGAACGAGAGACAGAGAAGAGAGGCGAGGTCAACAAGGTACCCGATATGGTATCCCCGTGTCCGCCGTGCGCGTTATTTCATATATACGTGCGTGTGCCTAAATGCACACCGATACAGACGCAAATTCGTACGAACGACCACAATGTCCACTCCTCTTGCCCGCTATTAGTAATCGTCGCGACCGAACTATTAAGGCCCTTTATACACATCCGGGCCGTGTCCGTTCCGTGTCCGATCCGTGCACCGGAATTGTTTACCGTATTTTTATATGTAACAGTTTATACTCATCAGAGATGGGCAAACTAATTATCTAGATAAAAAGTTTCGACAATAAACGCATATTTGCTTCGATCGGTGGACAAACGTGAAAAACTTTTGAAAATTCAGAAATTTAGAAATTTACCAATTTCTTCACTTTCACATTGTAATAAAAGGTGCAAAAGATCTGAGAAAATATATTGTCATAACTAGATTGCGGATTTTGATGCAAAATGGTATTTTCCCTTTTTTAAGTATTATGTTAGGTTCGGAATAAACTGGAAAACTGATTGGATCTGACGAAAGTTTTGTATTTTACTGTATTTTACAGACCCCTATAGGCTATAAATGCATAAAATCCGCCGTCTAGTCATAACATTTTAATCGTCGTTGTAGAGTGTATTGACTTTATATTCTATATCCTATTCAGAACTGTTATATAACCTCAAAATAACTGTTATAAAACCTCAAAATAACTGTTATAGAACTGATATAGGAACCGTAACTGAAACTTATATAGCCTGAAATTTAGGTTCTTCCTAACAGTTAATCAGAATAAAGGTTCTTCATAACTCTTTCAATCGGAACTTTGATATAAGAGTTTGAAACAGTTATTTTCGGAACCGTTTCAAGCCCTGGTTTCATCGAAATTTTCGGTACAAATCGGTTGCCTATTCCAGTAAACTTCCAGCCGATCCACTTTCGAGTTGTACACGACTCGACGGCACGGTTAACGTAATCTTTTCCGCCTAGGTATCGACCCACGCTGTAAACGATCGATCTCTCGATCGCGTTTCTCGTTGCGACTCGGTCGCGAGAAGTCAGTAGGCGATATATCCCCCTCATGTGTGTCGAAAACGGTCCGTGGAAAGCACCTTTTTTCGCGGCCGTTTTCGCGCCAGCCAAGAGACACAACGAATCCATCGCCATCGAGTCTCTCTCGGAAAGAAACCAGATCGCGTCAACGTCGATGTATGTTTTTTTTTTCTTCTTTTTTTTTTTCCTCGTTTCGATCCGCGGCCTTCCTAAGATGGCCAGTGACCGTAAATGCAAACACACGCGCGAGTGCGAACTTTCGAGGTCGTCGGCAGGAACGATTGCAGGAAGCACCGATGGCTTGGCTTAGTACGGTCGTAGCAAGGCGTACTGGCATGAATCATTTCGTCCAGCTTCTATTGGTCGTTATATTCGGAATTGTACTCGCAAATCTCCCCTGGACGGCATTCGAAACGTGAATAGTCCGGATCGAGTCGAATTCCTTCCGTTTTCATAGAGATACATACATGCACGCACACGCACACTTATTCGCCGCGTGTTTGTCGCCCGTTGAGACTGGCAAGTTGTAATGTCAGTATTCGCCGTTCTACGCAGGCTGTTCGGTCGTGTTCCTTCCGAATGGTGGTTACACACCTCGAAACTAGTCCGTCATCCATTCATCGTGTCCGCGAAATCATCCGCGGAACGTTTTCCATCGTGGTCCTTAATATTGAAGAATCTATTTTTAAACGTGACTAGAGGTATGTGCATGCATATGGTGACGCAATCCTATGGTCTTTCCCCCTCCCTGTCGCTCTTCCATCTCCCGCCCTTTCACTCTCACTGTGTCGCGCTTTTTCTCATTTTCATCTTCCCTCTTTCTCTCCCTAACCTCCTACTCCTCCTCGTCCTTTCCTTCTCAATCTTATTTCGATGTTTCCGTGTTTTCGTGTTAAACGCAAGCTTCGTTACTCGAGGGAATTGAATGAATCGATGCATGTATTCGCCTCGATCGATCTCGATGAATCTGTTGCCGCCCGATCGATCACTTGTAAATCGAACGCCGTCCAGTTGATTTTTCCTCATCCGCACGTTCTTAGCCGTGGAAATGTTTATTTGCGCATCGAGGCGCACGTGGATCGAGCTGGATACGCTTTTGCTCGTTGATTCCCTCTGACCGTTGCTACCGGCTCGAGCTGCCGGCAACAGGTTGTCCGTCAACGAATCATCATTCTGGGCCTATTCTAAGATCCCGGTGATCCGCAATTGTCCATCGGTCGTTTACCATATCCTAGTTGGAACCGAATAACATGAGTGGTCGTTCCTTTAATTTATTTTTCGGAAAGAATCTCACTTCAAATTCCACCGTCATTCGTTATAGATCTCTGTAGACAGGCTCGATTAATATTTTTTGTGGCTCAGGGATATCAGATTTTCGGGGGCCCCTTTGGTTGAAAAAGGGGTGGGGGGTGTAATACATCACAAGAAATTATATAAATCTTCAAAAATTGAAATTTATTTTAAATACAATTAAATAACATTTAATCATGACGAAATAGAAGGTCCAGAACGGGGACCCTCTGGAACGTGGGGCCCAGGGTTACAGTCCCCCTTTGATTCGTTGCTGTCTGTAGATAAGTCAAGTTTGTGGGACTTATAAGAAGTCGTGAAATTTCGCTACTGTCTACGCAATGCCGTTCAATGTTGCGTGTTATATTAAGGTGCGTCCCCATTATGCCGATCGGCAAAACCGAACATATGGAGATATGTCATCGGCACGTGCCAACAGGCCGTGCGGTATAATGGGGACACAAAACAAGCCGATCGGCAAAATGGGGATGCAGCTTTACGTTGGTAACGCAACCACGACATTTTATCGGACGGGATTGCGATTTGTCCCTCACACGTTTTCGTCCTGTTTCAGACTGGAGCCACGATTCCCCCAAATGCGGTCAACATGGATTCCCACGTTGGTCTCGACTACATCGTGGACAATCCTGATTACTGCGTCAAACTCGCCTCGGGTATGTTACGTTAGGCCAACCATAGTCAATCTGCGGCCCTTGTAGTTCCCGCGCATATATACTCGAACGATTCTCCGTTCGCGCGTCAAAACTGATCCGCGTTTTTCTGTCGTTGAATTTTCAGCCCTGGACACCGCCTGTCCCTCGGTGAAGAAACAAGTGGTGGAATTGCTCTCGGCGCTTTGCGTGTACAGCCAAGATGGCCGACAGAGGGCTATCGATACTCTGCACGCGTATCAGGTGACAAAGAAAATTTCGTGATCGTGGTCCTTCACGGATTACCAGAGAGAGAGAGAGAGAGACGCGTGCCGACGCGACGGCGACATCGAGTCGCGGTTAAAAGTCACGGGTTCAAGGGCTTCCCCCCCCTCCCTTCCCTCTGGCAAACAAAAGAACGATCCACGCCTAAACGTTTGCGCAAAGTTAGCTACCGCGACGGCGACGTTCCATGACTGCGAGCAGCAATCGTGGTGGCTCGATTTAGCGAAACGGGTTTTTTTTTTTATCGCTGGGCAATTTGTCCCGCTAATAGCGTGTTAAATACGAAGTCGCGGCTTATCGTGTATCAGAGCCAGGAGCGCGTATGTGTAATCGGTTAGAGGCGCGATAACGAGGTGGCACGTTTCTGGGGACCAGGTGGCTCTCGAAGGGGGAGAGGTTCCTTCTTTGAAACAGAGTTGGGCATAATTTAATTCGAATACGGGAAAGCAATAGTATCTAAGGGTATCATTCTGAGTTTTTTTTAGACAGTTAATGAGAGTAAATAATTGTTCGCCAAATGATGATTCATTCAAGAATTATTTTGTTATAAAAATTGGAATTGCTATGTTCAAAGGATTGTAAATGACGAAGTAGTTATTTTATCTTTATCTAAATAAGGAATTTGCCCATCTCTGTTTCGAAACGGTCGAATATGTTGACGAAATGTTGCAGGAACGGAAGGGCGAGCGATACAGATTACGGATCGTGGTCGACGAGCTTAGGAACGCGACCGGCGAGGATTATCGAACCGCTTTGCTGGCTTTCATAAATTGTTTGGTCATCTCGACGCCGGTGCTGAAGGATCGCGTGCGAATCCGCAACGAATTCATCGGTTGGTACACGCAACACTTTTTCTGTCGAAACTTGGGAAAATGAATACAGTAAAAAATCCTCGATGAGTGTTCTAAAGCTCTATGTGACATTGAATATTTTGTAAACGAATTGCCATATGCGGGTGAAACAAATATCATTGTTTGTGTAGTTACCAATTTGCTTTTCTCTTTGTAATTACCATTTTCTTCTTCTTTTTTGTATTCTACAGTTATATGTTTCATTTAGTTTTAATCTTCGTCCGATTTATATTTTTTTCTCTTGTATTCTAATGGGAATTAACCCGTAAACACATAAATAAAATTTTTAAAAAAATCATTGAATTCCAAGCTTTATGCTAAATTTCATTAAAAAATTAACGTTACACCTGAGGACTTTTCCTTGTTAGTGTCGAGGAGTCTTCGAACACTCATCGAGAATTTACTGTACTCGAGAAGAGCTGTTAGTCTTTAGAGCGACTAATCGCGAGAAGTCTACACTGTTTCCTTTTCCCTTCCAGGTCTGAAGCTGCTGCCGGTCCTGAACGAGCTCCGGTGAGTACCACTCCGACGACCCGGATTTCACGATATACATTAACTGATTAACACCGTAACATTGTTGAATAATAAATAATAATGAACGTTACGAAAGGGCGCCTTATTGTACCCACACCTTCTCATTTGCACCTAATTGCAACGTTAATGTCCCGCGCGCATGCCATCGAGCGCGGCCGTACGCATCTCAAGCCAGACCCCATTAAGCAATTTGTATCAAGGATCGGTTGACTAACGAACAGAAACACCATTCATTCAGCCTACTTGCAAGCAGATCCAGCAATTGCATGCACTAATCCAAAAATAATCGCTCATTGGTTGTGTCGGGTGCGCGCGCGCGCGCGCGCGCGTGTCTCGATGTGCTCGTTATTTTTCTGTCCACGTAAATCGGGATCTCTAGGTATGGCCGATATTTTCTTTCATCCCGGTCCTATTTATGTGTATCGTTCGTTCGTTGTCTCTTGTGCAAGATATCATAGGACGAACCGAAGAACAGACACAATCGTGCCGGAAAATACAGTCGTTACGGCAAGTATTTCCGGCGAATCACGATGGGCCGGCTGAAAGTTTTATCCGTTTTCTTTGGCCTCCGTTTTAAATCACTCTCTACAGGAATAGTACGATCTGTCATTCCTCCGCGGGATGACGGACGTGCGAACTATTCTTGATCGAGCAGAACTATTCGAAGAAGTCGCTTTAAATATCGTACGGAGGAATTGTCTCTACTCGAAATTCGCGATAAATGGAATCTGTGGATATCGCTTGCGTAAGCTTAACGGTGTACACACAATATACAGACTCCTCTTGATTACCGTCACGAACTCGGGTCCGCGCTGGGACAATAATCGTATAGGGAGAAATGCTTCAGACCCTCGTAAATTCGATTTTTGTCCGAGCCTGCACAACAAAGTATGCGGTTGACAGGTTCCACATTGCCTCCAGTGGTGGGGATAACGTCTGGACAATAATCGTGTAGGACAAGGGAGACGATAACCGAGAGGAGCCTGTACATACAATACAGACGCCTCTCGATTACTGTCCCGAACTCGGGTCTGCGCTGGGACAATGATCGTATAGGGAGAAATGCTTCAGACACTCGTAACTTCGTTTTTGGTCCGAGCCTGCACAACAAAGTATGCGGTTGACAGGTTCCACATTGCCTCCAGTGGTGGGGATAACGTCTGGACAATAATCGTGTAGGACAAGGGAGACGATAACCGAGAGGAGCCTGTACATACAATACAGACGCCTCTCGATTACTGTCCCGAACTCGGGTCCGCGCTGGGACAATAATCGTATAGGGAGAAATGCTTCAGATCCTCGTAAATTCGTTTTTTGTCCGAGCCTGCACAACAAAGTATGCGGTTGACAGGTTCCACATTGCCTCCAGTGGTGGGGATAACGTCTGGACAATAATCGTGTAGGACAAGGCAGACGATAACCGAGAGGAGCCTGTACATACAATACAGACTCCCCTCGATTACTGTCCCCAACTCGGGTCCGCGCCGGGACAATAATCGTATAGGGAGAAATGCTTCAGACCCTCGTAAATTCGATTTTTGTCCGAGCCTCCACAACAAAGTATGCGCTTGACAGGTTCCACATTGCCTCCAGTGGTGGGGATAACGTCTGGACAATAATCGTGTAGGACAAGGCAGACGATAACCGAGAGGAGCCTGTACATACAATACAGACTCCTCTCGATTACTGTCCCGAACTCGGGTCTGCGCTGGGACAATAATCGTATAGGGAGAAATGCTTCAGACCTTCGTAAATTCATTTTTTACCTGAAGCCTGAGCGTCGGCAACAAAGTATGCGCATGACAGGTTCCACACTCCTCCCTAGTGGCGGAGATAACGCTTGGACAATAATCAAGAGGAGTCTGTACGAACATCCTGGCACAGAATTCGTTCAGCAATTATAATCACTTCAGATGTACATGTCTCTGAATACAACTATGTCGCCTATAGGTTCTTCTCTTTCTGTAACTTCGTCTCCCTGAATTTCGAAAATCGTCGTGAATGCACGAAACCGGTGCGAACGAGCGCAACGGGTGTCCCGTAAGTGCGTTACGCGTAAAACGGAGAAGAGCGTGGATAAGGAGGAACGGAAAAAAAATAGAGGAAATGCAAATCGTCCGAGTCTCTCGAAGGGAGCGAGAAAAGCCCGAATTAACTCTTCACGCGCGCAGTGTGCACCTGCAGAGTGCTACGACTCCGCCGCGACTCGGCTGGAGAGATCAGTTCGGTGTTCCTCTCCGACGATCGGGACTGCGGATGCCGTTGGCAGTTTCTCTTTTTTTCTGTTCTGTTTCCGTTTCCGTGGCTTCCGTCAACTATGCACACTTAGTCTTCGTGTCGACGTCCAATCGCGGCTGTCCTCCGCTGTAACGTTTCCGTCGGTGGACCCGAAACGCTATACAGTTCTCGTCGGAACGTACACGCGGTGATTTCTCAGTGAAAGGTGAATGTTTTCGAATTTTCATTTGCTTTTTCGTGCCTCGAATTTTTAGCGCGCAGGATAGAGAATACGATCGGAGGATCGAGCTTGAAATGCGTGTTCCAAAAATATACTTTTCATACAGATCACACGTGTTAGTTTTTTTCTTTTAAAATAGGATTTCTTTCGAACGACTCGAAGTTCAATGATTTTACCCAGAACGGTTTTTCCATGCTTTTCAAGAGACAACCATTGTCGAGGCAACACACGCGACCCGTTCTTTGTACGCCAAGTACGTACGCCTGGATCGGAAGTTTATGACGAACACGTATGACAGTCTTGCCGCACAAGAATAACCGGATAACGGATCGTGGATCACCTGAACGGAAACGACGTTGATTCATGGCTCGGGTATCGGTGCTTCTTCCCTGTCGGATCGGTTCAGATAGAACTTGAGAGTGTCTAGTAGCGTTAATGACGAAATTGCAAGAAAAAAAAAAAAATTGTTGAAAATTAAAAAATTTACAGAATAACAAAATGTAGACGCCGGATGGATAGATAGTGTGAGTGAGAGTAAGAGTGGAACAGAGAGAGAGGGAGAGAGAAAGCTGAGACGGAGAAATTGAAATTCTAGAAAAGACATGTGCCTCGAGTGGGACGAAAATAGAGCGAACAACCACGTAAAATGTGCCCGGTTCGGGAAGGTGACCACGATTGTTCTTGCAGGAACAGCCATGCTCCGGATCTAAGAGTGCAGCTCGACGTGTTCGACGATCAACGCGAGACAGACGAGGAACTGTCGAATCAAGGACCACCGGGGATCGATCTTTCCTCTCACGTGGACGTGTTTTACGCGATTCTCGGACAAGTAAGGGAAAAACGCATGGCTACGCGACGCTTAGTCGAGACTGGAATCTAAATCCGTCAAACAGTCGCCTGCTTTCAAGGAGATCGATATGCCTCTCCCCCCCCTTCCCCTCTCCCGAAAAGTGTATACATATGCCGTACTTCAGATCGCAGATACACCGCAAGAAATACCGTTCTTGAGCGTGCTTCAACATCTGTTACGGCTGGACCCGAAAGACCCAGCCAGCGACTTAGCATGGGACACAGCGGAGACGTTGGTGCATCGAGCGACGCTTTTAGAGAACCGCGAAGACGCCACGAAATTGCTTCGATCGCCTAGTCTCCAGGTAATTTTAACACTTTGATGTCGCATAACGGTGATAGAGCATCTTTACGAAAATAAAAGCTGAGGGTGGTTGACTTACGTAGCAAGTAGAATAGTAAAAAATCAGGAAAAATTGCTTTTCTTATATCTACGGAATTTAAAATAATATCGATAATATAAACATCGATGTTTTACTACCACTATCGATATTTTAGTATTTTCTGCCATCCCTACTTCGAACACTCATCGAGGACCTACTTTAGCGGTTCCTAAATATTTTCAGTATGCCTAAAGTAGTACATTTAAAAACACAAAATCCCTCCCACCAGCAAACTGTTAATAACTATTCATTCCTCTCTCCGTCTCTCTTTCTCTATTTACTTCTCCGTACGATTCGTGACATCACGAGTCGGCTGTTGACACTTTCGATGTCTCTCGTTTCGTCACGATCTTCACGCAAGTGTTTCTGTAAGAATTTCGTAACACGACTCTCTACACACAATTTTCATTTCTTTTTTTCTTTCAGACGAATCTTTGCTGTCATTGCAGAGGTAACGATCAGACGTGCGGAACGTCTCGCAAAGCATCGTTACCGGCGAACAGTTCGGCGACAGTTCCAGCAATCTCCTCGCCCTCGCCGCCGCAACCACCGCCGCCTCCGCCTCTCGATCTCGCCGCACCGAACTCGTCGAGCCAAGGCCGAGTTTTCCCGCCACCGCCGCCTCCGCCGTTTTTCACCGCCGACGCGACGCAACGGGCCGATGCATCGATGGAACCGCCGCCGCCCATTCCGCCGCCGTTGCACGTGTCCCCGGTCGCACGGGCGCCCACCCCCGAACCGCCGAGCAATCACGCGAGATTGCTGCCGCAACAGGAAATACCCACCCCCAAGGCAAAAATGAAAACGATCAATTGGAACAAGATACCTAATCATAAAGTGGGTACCCACAATCTTCGAGCTCCTATGATCATATACGCAATACAGACTCCTCTCGATTATTGTCTGGCTTGTCCTACGCGATTATTGTCAAGTCGTTATCCCAGGCCGTGGAACCTGTCAAGCGCATACTTCGTTGCCGAGGCTTGGATTGAGGGCAAAAAACGAATTTACTAGGGTCTGAAGTATTCTCCCTCTAAGATTATTGTCCCGGTGGGGACCCTAGTTCGTGACAATAATTGAGAGGAGTCTGTAGTTTCTCAATACTTTCTTGGCTCAGCACCTCCTTTTTAAATTTTTTTTGTTAAGTGTCCTTATATTATTAAAATTTGCCAAGTGTAGTAGTGGATATAATATTTGAATCTTGAAAAGTTGAATTGGAATTAAAGAAAGTAAAGTAGCTAGAACGCCCCCTCAGATCTCAGTGCACTCCGATAGCGATTTCAACGACGATATTGTCTGTTTTAGGTGGTTGGCAAACGAAACATTTGGTCCCTGGTCGCCAACGACCATCAGAATTCTCCCATGGCGGACATAGATTGGGCGGAGATGGAAGGTCTGTTTTGCCAGCAAGTACCGCCAATGCTACCAGCTACGTCCTTCTGTTCGTCCTCCTACGGAGCCAGTTCCGACGCCGAGAGACGACGACGAGAACCGACCGAGGTGTGTGTCTTCTATTCACTCATAACCGCCCGATGGAGAAACTAACCGAGTCGTTTGATTGTTTCAGATTGCCCTTCTGGACGGCAAACGGAGCTTGAACGTGAACATATTTTTGAAACAATTTCGAAGGTAAGCGATCCTGGCTGCGATCGAAATGCTTTTCTCAGTTTACCCCTTGTGTAGGCAACCATTATCCAGATACTTATTTCTAAATTTCCTTTCAAAATTTGTTATGTTCTTGTCTAGAATAACACTTGGTATATTATTGGAAGGGAAAACTAACAGTTTCGAAAAACTATGGAACTAAAATTATCCAGGGACATAACCGTTGTGATTTTGATACCGGATTATGCCATAAAAGCTATACCGAAACTGATGTATTACCGAAAACCGAAATATATACCGTTATTTTTCCGGTTTCTATAAGGGTAGGGCTTATATAGGGTTACATAGGGTGAAGGTACAACCGAAAATACCAAATTTATCTAATCTGTCAGAAGTACATACTTCGATTGCTCAATAACTGTGAATATTTTGGTTGCCTACGCAAGGGGTAACGGTCAGCTAATCGATCGATCGGATTGCAGCTCGAACGAGGATATAATTCAGCTGATCAAGGAGGGTGGTCACGATGATATCGGAGCGGAAAAGTTGCGAGGTCTTCTCAAGATTCTGCCGGAAGTGGACGAGCTGGAGATGCTCAAGGGTTTCGACGGTGACAAGTCGAAGCTCGGAAACGCGGAGAAGTTTTTCTTGCAGCTCGTACAACTGCCAAAGTAGGAATACATCGAGATATTAACTGTAAAATCTTTAATCTGCAAATGTAATCGGTATCTAATTGGTTCCGTTTCTTGACTTATCTAAAAAGTTACAAGCTGCGCATCGAGTGTATGCTACTGAAGGAAGAATTCGCCGCCAATATGGGCTATTTAGAGCCGAGCATCAGTTCAATGATCGTCGCCGGTGAGGACCTGATGACGAACAAACCGCTTCAGGAGGTGCTGTACATGGTTCTAGTCGCTGGAAATTTTCTGAATTCGGTGAGAAATAGAATGTAATTCGACAGCCTGTGAAATGCGTGGAACACGTGGTAACGATTGAAACTCAATGAACCGTAGGGTGGTTACGCTGGAAACGCAGCCGGTGTAAAGCTGTCGTCTTTGCAAAAGTTGACCGAGATTCGAGCCAACAAGCCTGGAATGAATCTCATACACTACGTGGCTTTGGTACAGTGTAGTCTTTTTTTTCTCATTTTCTGCTTGTGTGGGGAAGAGACGGTTATGGAAATCACTTTTGGAATGGCACTATGTGGAAGTTATAGTACACATATAGTGTTACAAAACCCTCATGGATTTCTTCCAAATCGGCCTTCTTTCAAAGGCTCATTCTTCTAAGGTTTTTCTAATACTATATGTGTACTATAACTTCCACATAGTGCCGTTCCAAAAGCGATTTCCATAACCGTGCCTTCCCCTTGTTAGTCTTTAAACACTTCTTCTGCTTCACGTTCGAATCTTCTGCACCGTAGCAAGCCGAACGGAAACGAAAGGACCTGTTGGACTTCGCGAAGAGCATGAACGCGCTCGAAGCTGCCACGAAGTAAGTCCGGTAAATCGTTGAAAAATCGTGTTTTCTCGATTCGACGAATGTTCTGATTGTTAATCCATATGTTTTCGGTGGCTTAAGGACCACCACGGAGCAGCTGAGCAACGAATTTAACGCTCTCGATACGAAAATCAAAAAGATCAAGACGCAGATACAATTGCCATCCACGGAAGCCGATATACAGGAACAGATGGCTCAGTTCTTGCAGGTACCACGCGTCGAATCTTCGACCTAGTCGAGAACGAAGGTGATGGACAATTCGTAAAACGATCGTTTCGTAGATGGCGGAGCAGGAGATGAGCCAGCTGAAAGGGGACATGGAGGAGCTTGAAACATTGAGGCGATCGCTCGCGGAATTCTTCTGCGAGGACGCGAACGCCTTCAAGATCGAGGAGTGTTTCAAAGTGTTCCATCAGTTCTGCCAGAAGTTCAATCAGGCCGTGGCGGAGAACGAAAGACGAAGAATCCAAGAGGAGCAAGTGTTGGCCAGGCGCAAGCAACGAGAAGAGCAGTTGTTGGCCAAAAAACGTCTCCGTACGTTCTGGATACAATAAATCCTCGATGAATATTCAAAGGCGCTTTGATAGTAACAAAGATAGGTTCCCAGATATAACGCTGGCTTTTAAGGAGCTTGAGCACAGCGATAGAGCTTGGAATTCTAAAGCCAATGATATTTATTTCAGCCACATACGACCACTAGTTTATGAAATATTTAATGTTCAGTGCCGAGGAGCCTTCGAGCAGTCATCGAGTATTTACTGTACTTACGATTTCTATTATTTTTTGGGTAGAAAAGAACGATTCGTTCTACATGTTGTCTTTTACAGTCACGAATCAAGCCGAGACGTTAGCCTCTGAGTCCGAATCCAACCTACTCGATTACGGTCTCTTCGATCTCCATACCGGTTTGCCTCAGAGAAATTACAACCGTAACGATGCCAAGGTAAGCGCTACTTCGTCCACTTTGTACGCATCGTAGAAAGCCAATTAATTGGTTGCACGATAACCGTTTTCACCGTAGATGAAACGATTGCAAAACGGGGGAGTCACGTCGGACGACGACGTCTCGATCACCGGTTCGCCGAGTATTCGACGACGTTTGGCTTCCTGTTCCGGTGGAACGATCGACCAGCAGTCTACCAAAGAAGAAACCTATTCCCCTGGTACGATCTACCGTATACAAAACTCTGTAGTTTGGCTTTCGTTCCGCCTTTAGTCATACTTTTCGTTTACGACAGATGTTACGCCGAACGGTACTCTCCGTCGTCGGAGAAGTAGAATACCTTGCGAGGACGACGACGGTAATTTGATGGACTTTTTGAGGACCACGGGACAGGACAATGCTCGGGAGAGGAAGTCTTGGGGTAGTTTAGGTAGGATTAAAAATACCCAAATATTCGTGTTACCGTTCATGGATCCGGAGAATTGATAAATTTCCTCGTTTATTCGTTCTCTTGCAGATCGATCATGGGCGCGTAGGGCACGAGGTCAATCTCGCCGAAGCGATCTGTTAAACGCCGATTTCTCGACCGATCGAGAGAGACCGAGTTCCCCGTCGCCTTTGGTGGAGAACAAACCCTTTCTACAGGAGGAAGAAACGAAACCTGCAGGGTAAGACCACGCCATGTCGATTTCTCTGTTTACGTTTATGGATACGTTATTGTTGTCTGTTGAAACAGAAAAGCATGGCGGCAAAAGATCGAGGCGTGGCTGTCGGAAAACGAGAAAGAGGATCGCGCGGGCGAAGAACTTCAACGGAAGGCGCGACAGTTGCATCAGGCAAATCGACGGTCCTTCGAAGACTCGGGTAAATCACCGATTGATGCCGTATTATTATCGATACCCTTTCTTCAAGTTTCAATACAATATCGATACATATCAAAGACGTAGGTATCAAAAAGAATCGATACCTATTTGATACCTACCCGAAAGTATCGATACTTGTTTGATACTTACATGAGAGTTTCAATACCTACTTTTGTGAGGTATCAAACGGGTTCCGATTCGATACCGTATTGAATTTTGAACCATCAATAGTATTGGTATCGATACCATCACCAACCGTCGTATCTTTCTTCCCAATTCGATGATATATTTTATTTGCAGAAAGCGAAGGCAAGACGAATATCTCGAACGATGGAAATTCTACACTCGAGCCATACTCTCCCGTTTACGATTGGCGTCCGTCGGTCGAAAAGACGGACGTGATGCGCACCATGGAGGCCATAGAAGGTTGTCTCAAGCGACCTCCTTCGGTGTACCACGTGAAAGTGGAATCCCCGTTAACGTTCGTTCCATTTCAGAAGCCGAAACGCATCCATCGCAAAAGGACAAATCCCCCTGGAGGAAGTCCAGCTTGAACGTACCAAACAGCATGGAAGAGACTGACCCCCGTTACTCCCGTAGAATAAGGTCTAGACTCGGTACGGAGAATGTTCTCAGCTCCGGTACCTTGCAGGTGAATATTTTATTAGAAATATCTCGGATATCGAGAGTGGTTACGCAATCGGGAATTTAATTTAATTTTTACGGGTAAAAACCATTTTTCTTTACAATATACTATTAAAACCTAATCAAATCGAATTGACGCGAGACATAACAATAATAAGAATAAATACTCGTAATCGTAGTCGATCAAAGAGGAGGACAGGAAGAAAAATAAAACGAGCGACTTGACGAGCTTGGACAACCAAGACGAATTGACGATCTACCTCCGTCAACCTTACAGCAATCCCCAAGCCTCCGCGCCGCGTAGGTTCACGAAATACAAGAGAGGTACGGAGGAGGACAGGATCAGCGACAAAATCGAGATCGATTCCGACAACATCGAAACCCCGCCGGCCACGCGGAAACTGTTCAGTCCGCCGAAAGAAGTGAAGCCGGTCGAGAAGGAGCCGTGCAAACGGGAACGTTGCAACGGTTCGTTCCAAAGCCGGTGCAACGAGCTCAGGAGCCAAACCGCTAAAACTCCGAGCAACAGCGGAGATTTCGGTACGGGTAAGTCGATCGTCGTTCCCGTCCCGTGGGTTCTTGTAACGTTTCCGATCATTTCATCAGGTAACTTCGATCGGTACTCGGCGACCAGAAGAACGCGCAGATACAAAAAGGTTCAAGATTCGCCAGAGAAAGAATCGAAGCAAGACGCAGTGATGAGTACCGAACCGTTCGAGGAGAAACCGGTTCAACGACCGCATACTCTTGCCTTGTCGGACCATCAAGTCCCCGAAGCAGCTCCTGAAGATCTCTCCAACCAAGGCACCGACGAGGATTCGATGCTGCGTGTCTGGCAGGACAAGTTGAAGCGTCGCGAGGCGTCTTCGTTCGACATCGACACGGCTTTAGCGGATATCGCTCGTTCTGGCGAGGATCTGCAGCGATTGTCCCGACCAATCACGTTCGCGCATAGAAGCTCGAGGCTGCCAGTCAGCCAACCACCGCCCGTTTTAGCAGTGACTAACACCGTCTTAAGCCCCGTGATGCAAGAGTCCCGGCCGCGGGAGCCCTCGTTGGCGGTCCTCGCGGAGAGGGCGGTGACCAGTCGGGAACGTCAGAGAAGCATGATAGACCCTAGTCAGGTGAAGGAGGCGATTCGATTGACCAGCAATCCTCCGAGTCAGGTGAATCAGGTACCGAGTGGTATCGCGCAGTCGTCGCGAGATCGTAATCTACTCTCCGACCCGAGGCGATCCGCTTCCCCTGGAATAGAAGAACGCAGTCAGGATCTTGTCGACGCGATAAACGACCAGACGCATCGAGAATCGAATAATCAAGTGTACGAGAACTTACAAGGAGATCAGGAAGCGATTCGATCGCGGTCCACGAATCGAAACGAGATTGGAATCGTGTCGGGACAATCTGTAACGCCGGACGGATCGGTGTTCCGGGGCAGGTATATCCCAGAGATCAGCATCACGAGCTCCTCAGGGAAAGGTCGGGACCAGGAGATGAACGACGAGGGATTCGAAGAGTCCCAGAGTCTGGTCTCGGAGACGTTGAGCCAGGAAACGTCCTCTGGTAATTACGAAACTGACACCCACGATTCGACTCGATGCTCCCCGGCTGAGTTACGGTTCTCTGGAAACGGCCCGGAACACGAACGTGTCGCTCCGACTGTAAAGAAAGCTGATGCCAAACAGCCGATCGACCAAACGTTTGAGTCGTCGATCAAAGGATTCGAGAAACGAACTGGTTCGACCAGAAGCACGGGCGAAAGGTCCAGCTTTCTACCGAAACGGACCAATAGCTTGAAAAGGGATAGTTCGAACTCGAAACCGGGCTTTATGACGTCGAACGGTCAGACGAGATACGAGGTGGAACGATCCGGGTCCAGAAGTAGTCTTCGTAGTTCGAGAAGCTCCCTGAACAGCGCCACCTCGGTGAACACTGTACGAAATTTGGTACCTAATCACACCCGTCTCCGAACCTACACGTCCGCGATTCGTGCGTTGACGAACGATCTTCGGAAAAGTCCCTCGAGCACACCGTTGCCCCCGAAAACTGTCGAAAAACGCCGAACGAATCCACGCTCGACTAACACCAGGATACCAGCCAGTAGAAGCAGTAGCAGCGGAAGTAGCGTCGGTCCTGCTGCTATGTCAACGAGACCACTTCGAAAATCTGTTGGGGTGAGTTTGAGTTCTTCGATCTGATTCGATGAATTGATTCTTGGTGTAAAATTATGTTTCTGGGAAATGGTTATTGTCCCCCATTTCACTTAGAATACCTGATAATTTTAGGCGTCCAGTGATATACCGAAGGGAAGCAAAGGACGGACAATCGGTTCACCTGGCAACAATAATGCCAGCAATGGCAGCGGTAGTAACGTTGGGCAACGATCACTGCTTCCGTTGAATCGATCGAACGCCGACAAAATGCCAACCACGAGAAGCAAATTGATTCACCCCCGAGCCAGCACGAAGAATCACGGTTTCATGAGACCGACAGCCGCGAGCGCGAATAAGGGCTCTATTTCGAATCTGCCCAAAAGCATCAAAGGTTTAGTCAAGTGATGAGGCCTTTGCAATCGGGACCAGTGGTTCGTCTTTGAGATCTATCTGTAAAATCACTCGACACGCGTTTACCTATCGAGAAATACATATACGGTTGCTCGATCCACCAACGAATCGACTGACCCAACACACATTTTACGCTTCCGTTTATTCTATAGGTTATCTACGATTTAGGGAAATTTTCCACGTGTTCACGCAGACAATTTATACCTACGTTGCCAACGCGGGATTACCACTCGGCTCAATTATCGTTTCAGTTACCCGAACGAAAAGTCAAGCGAAGTTTCTTTGTAAGACACGGTCGACGTTAGGCTTTCCATGACGTTGCGCGATTATATTACGTTTCAATTGGATTTAATTGTGTTAACACCGACGAGGTATAAGAATAGACTTTTCATCTTGTGGGAATTGGCCCACCTAAACTTTAGTACCGACACCTTAAAAAGCTTATGATTTTAACGAGCCTCTACTTTTTGAGACCGGTGAATCTACGGTGGGTAGTGACACTAAAATGGAAATGGGGTACGTAACCGCAGGAAAGTGGGCCACAAAAATACATTCGATGAAATGTCTACTCCTATACCTCGTCTGTGATTGGATGAAATGTTTACTCCTTTACCTCGTCTGTGGTATTAATCATACGTTACATGTGTAGTGGCATTATGCGCATACGTAGCCGTGAGACCGGCAACCATCTCGACACAGCGTGTGTATGGGGAGTGCAGACAGTCCGTATGTGCACGTTCGACCCAGTTCAAACGATGTAACTGTCGCTACGAGGGACAGAAATCGCGTCAAGTTTCTTACGATTTCCGTCGATTTATACAGTACGTACTTATTAATAATTCCTTCCAGTCCCCTTGGGCCTCATTTACAAACATGTAATATATGTATAAGCGTACTAACTGAACGTGTACCGCGTCGTTTCGTCGATGACAGCGCGCAGATTGTAGGACAATGATGATCGTTAGTAAATTGACGAGTTGAAATAAACGTAATTTAATTTTGTTCGACGCAAGATTCTTGGTTTCCATTATCGAGCAGGAATAATGCGGTATACTGGGGTAGGTAGTTGAGATAAATTTCTATTTTCGTCGCGATTATCGCTATTATTCAACAAGAAATATCTACATATATTACAAAGTCGGTAAAAAAGAAGTATTCTAATGTATGTGAGGTTATGTTGTACTGTAACGGTTTCGCGTTATCGCACACGTGCACGAAACGACCTCGATGAAACGATAACAACCGTCTTTCAGACTTGAAATGCAATTCGTCACCTATCGATGGTTAACCTTTTATAGCTTCGAACGACCCGTAGACATACGATACAAGCTTCTGAGTAAATCAGTAGTCGTGTGCTCTCCACTACAGTCAATTCCTGTACAATTATTTCGGAAAACTGCCTATGACGCGACATGTACCGTAGGTTTCTCTTTAGCGTGCAGTTTCCATCCTTTGACAATCTACATTTCTCGGAAGAACAAACAGGTATGATATTCTCAAGCATCCCGCGAACAATTAAATATAAATATTAGGATACGTGTAACCTGTAAGCACAACGATAAATACCTTCTCGAGTGGACGAACGAAATCACTTAACGTATCGAACAACAGAAAAAAGAAAACACGAAATAACAATTTGAACGACGAGGAGCAGTACTTGGACAGAGTGAACGGAACGTACCCTCAGGAGCAAACTCAGCTTCCACTAAGGGAAAAAGTGACATAGGGGAAGGGCCATATTTGGTATCGGGAACTATTGAAATGTATGCCAAATTAACATTCGGTTTAACATTTATTTCAGTGCTTAAAATAAATTTAGTGGCCCTTCCCCCACGACACTTTTTCTCCTAGGACAAGTCGAGTTTGCACGTCAATGTATCAAGCGATTTATATTTTCTGAGGACGGTCACGGAATCCAAGAGACACTGGAGCTTGCGGTGCCAGGATGAATTGGAATTGTAAACCGAGCTCTCCGTCCACGACGATGTCGAACTCTCGGATAATCTGGAAAACATAAAATTTTTATTGGGATTTAGGTCGTACGAAAACCGAGATTATTCCATTAAGAAATACGAACCTTGGCCAGAATAAGCTGTAACGCGAGCTCTACGAAACGTTTTCCCGGACATATCCTTCTGCCAGCTCCAAAAGGTGCGACCAACAGGGGCGAATGAGGAGCGACTGGTTCCAGCCACCTCTCCGGCATAAAATTCGCGGCGTCTTTGAAGTTTTCTTCACTCAAACCAGCTATCCAGGTGTGTAGGATGACCACAGTCTACATAAGAAAAAATCTTTCGAAATTAACATGTCTACTTGTCGTCGAAGGACAAAAAAACGATAATCATAATCACTCACTCCGGCAGCAAGATGATACTCCTCGCCGAATTCGATAGGCTCGTCCAAGATTCGAGCGATGCAGGGCGTCGTGGGAATGACTCTGAAGATGAAACATTAACTAACATCAGTTACACAACCATTCTAGGAAAATAAGGGTAAGGAAAAAAAGTCGACGCTTGTACACACCGAAAGGACTCGTTTATACAGGCACGCAGATACTTGGCGTTCCGTAGATCGTCGATCGTCAGATCGCAACCGGGCGGTGCCAGCGAGCACACCTCTTCGTACAGTGCCGCCTGTACTCTTGGATTACGCCCGATCAAATCGAACAGAAACACCAGAGTATTACCAAGCTGCGAACAATCAAATGAATCGTAAGGATCTCTAGTATTTTGTACAATCGCGATCGGCTTCTTACCGTGTGAATGCCAGCCGCTATGAAGTCCACAATGGCCGCCTTTTTGTCACGCAAATCGAGGCTCTTCTGCTTGAGAATCGATTGGAAAACGGCTTCCACGGATTCGTCCTTGGCGTCGTTTCGTTTCTCCTGTATCGTGGCCTCCACGATCTCCGAGATGATGCTGCAAACGGGAGGGTAAAACCGAAACCACTCGAAAAATTGGCTGTTCTCGAAGAAATTATCTTACCTGTATATTGTGTCCTCGCTCTCTATCAGCTGTTTGTACGCGCAAGTCGGAAGCAGTTTCCAAAGGGGCAGACCGTAGAAAGCGTCCCTCGAAGCCATGAAGTGGACTCGAACAGCGTCCGCTAACTTCATCGTGACCGAACCGTTGGAATCCGGCTTCAGGAAACCAAGGTGTCGGCCCAAGATCAGGGTGCAGGTACCTAACGAAACGGACGTGAGTGAAGTTTGCTCCTAAAATTTGGAATCGATTCGAATATGCATTTTGCGTACTTTCCAGACCCATTTTGTAGGCGAGCTCCTCGAAACCAGTTACTTTGTATCCCGTTCTTCGTCGACGAATCTTCGAAGATCGTGCTACGTTTGTCCCTGTCTGTCGACACCAATCGATCGTCCCATTTCAATCGATCGAACTCTCATTTGATGTTCTCTCGTGTCGAAGTCGTGTTCACGTATCGATCGGAGATTTAGCAAGTTCTGGGATAAATGTACCCTCACGAGCAAACTCGGTTTCTGCTAGGGAAAAAATTGCGTAAGGCTTCCTATCACTAAGTAAATTAATTTCAAGTACTGAAATAAATGTTAAATCGAATGTTAATTAATTTCAGTAGCTCTGTGAGCAAATGGTAGAAGGTCTTTCCTTTACATCACTTTTTCCCCAAGCGGAAGTCGAGTTAGCTCGCGAGGTTCCGCGATCATGAAACCGTTGAACTCGACTTCGATCGCGACGCATTCGCTCGATTTACTCACTCGTTGACCAGACCGAGATTCGTGTAACGATCGCGACGGGACCGTCGGTAATGGGATATGACCTCCTGCGGAGGACGAAGCGGGTACTTGGAGCTTCGTCTTAGTACCGCCTCGATGTCGCGACGGGAGAACACCGAGATCACAGGGAAGTTCCATAATGCCTCTTCTTTGCACAACGGCCCGTACCGTTGATTCAGATCTGTTCTTGAATCAGAAAACAGGCCGATACGTTCAAACATTCGACTCCGCGATGAGAACAGCTCCTAATACAGTGACATTCTTTAGTCGCGTTACAGTAAATCCTCGATGAGTGTTCGGAGGCTCCTCGACACTAAACATTAAATATTTCCTAAACTAATGGCCGTATGCGGCTGATACAAATATCACTGGCTTCAGAATTCCAAGCTCTATTACTGTGCTGAAGAGGTTCAATGAGGATTAATACTAAACCTACTGAACCCTTCAAAGAGATAGGAATTACGACGGCAAAATCGGTCATTTGACCGGTCGTGGTAGGTTTAGTGTTAAAAAGTCAGCGTTACACCTGGGAACCTTCTTAATGCCGAGAATTCTTCAAACACTCATCACGGATTTACTGTATCCGATTTTCACGACGGCCAAACGTCTCACCACCGACGAGGTATAAGCATGGACCTTTCATCTTATGGGAGTTGATGGCCCACCTGGACTCTACTACCGACACCTTAATAACCCTGTGACCTTAATAACCCTGTGACCTTAATAATCTTTACATTACGGAAACGGTAAATCTACGGTAATGACACTTGAAATATAAATGGGTTGATGTAACCCGAAAATAGTGGGCAGCAAAAATACATTGGATGAAATGTTTACTCCTATACCTCGTCTGTGGTCTTACCTTTATAAGCGTCGTGGACCTTGTTCAGTTGGTAATAACCGAAACAGGAGAATATCCATCTGGTACCGAGTATCGGCAGACAATAAGGCCCCGGCACGTCGACCACCGTCTTGAATTTTCTCGGGTGTTCATCCTCGGCCGTAGTAGCTGTCGATTGGTCGCAAGAGCTTGTTAAGGTTAAGGCTTAACGCGGTCCGTGGCGATGGTTAGGTGGTCCCCGATTGCGAAAGAACGCGAGCAACGATTTTACGTTCGAACCGTCACGGTTTCTTCGTGGACGCCCGCAAGAAAGTCGTTTCTAAGGTTGAAGGACAGACGGCCGCGAGGAAGACAGCGCGCCGCCGCGACCTTGTCGCGCATAACCGCGAGGCTCGTCCACGCTTAGAAAGGGGACCGTGACCGTAAGCGCGCGCGGTGTGTGGTGAGTCGCTTCAAATTGAAGGTCAAACGCCTTCGAACGCCTCTACAAGCACAATTTTCTCACTTCCTTTTCGTTCGTTCTTTTTTACGCCGGGAGGACAAAGTCGCCGCCACAGAGAAAGCGTGTAAGTACACGCCTCGCGTCTGTATATGCTCTCTCTTTCTCTCTGTTAGACGATCTAACGTACATACGGCGCGGACCGAGGCATTTACTTTCGCAACGTGAAACGTTTATGTCTAGACCTCAGAGTGTATTAAGTCCACTTTTTCGTAAAAACGATATTTGACATGTTTCCTGTGTCAAATTTTTTTTTAATATTCCTTGAGGGAAAACTTATTTCGTTCTAAGTCGTTTAGTTTTCATATAAAAGTATATATCATATAAGGGACTTAAATTTTCACTGTTTCTAATTCGAAGATAGCGATTGTTTTTCGTTGAATTCTTACCGAACGATTCCCAACGTTACAAGATTTTTGCACCTTTGATTTGCTTTCCATTGAAGTTGGAAAAGTGTGACTTAGTACAGTCTGGCTCTGGGGTCCAGATGTATTGTATAAAGACAATAATCGACACTTAGCGACACTAATCGAATATGCAGTAAATGTTACCAGTCATTACGAAATTGCTGGAAGTCTGATATAAATATTATATCACATTTTCCTAGTACATTCACGAGCAAACTCGGCTTCCATTAGAGGTAAAAGTGATGTGGGGAAGGACCTCCTGCGATTTGATTTCGGGAATTATTGAAATGTACGTCAAATTAATTGATCATTTTGTAGGAGGTCCTTCTCCTTATATTAACACTAGAACTACCAAGCAAGTCAAAATGACTTGTCAATACACTCTTCAATCATATATCGTCATAGTATCGTCGGTAGTTCTAGTGTTAACACCGTATATTATTTAATCGAAAACTCACCGTTCTTCTTGTTAAACGTCCCTGTCCAGGACCACCAGGCTGGCCGATAACTGGTCGCGAGCACTAATATCGTCAGTAGAGCGGCAGCGACCGCCTCGAACCAGAGGCCCAAAAGTAACATCACGAACTGGCCGAGACACACACCTTGTGCGTGTGTCAAACACCTATTAAAAAACGCTCGATCAAAATAGTTCGTAATACGAGCCCGTTATCGTTTACGGAGGCTACGTTTCGCGAATTTCGCGAACGAGTCGGCAAACGTTATTGGCGCCAGACGGAGTTTACGCGAGGAGATAGATCGTACAATCTGATGCCCCGACATCGGCACGGGTAAACAGATCTCTTTCTATTCTCACAGAGGCTCGTTTGTTATCAGCGTCGATAAAAGAATACCCAAGGACACTATGGAACGGTCGAAAGTTTGAATATTCCATGAAAATTCACTGTATAGGTTAAGAAAATCACGCGGTAAGTTACCAATAAGTTAACCGGCACTCGACGATATTACTGAACGTTTCCGAACAAGTCTCGAGTAACGCGTAAGTATCGCGTAAAGCGAACCGATCGCTCGAGCACCAGGCCTCGAAATGTAAATCATCGAGATTTCATCCGTAGAGTCGAAAACTCGCGGGATATCTGGTAGCTAGGCGGAGGCGATTTCTCATGGATGGGAGGGAAAGTATTTCCGTGGTGTTACCACCAGATGCAGAAGAACCGTGGCCGCGAGCAATGAATCGCGGGGATACCACGCGGAGGAATGTTGAATACCGACCGCCGCAAACCACGTTCGGCCGAGTGAAACTGTTCACTCGCGAACAAGGGACGTAAAAGAACGACGTGGTCGTTGCTTCTGCATCATCTGCTCGAGGCTGACTGACTTGAATGACTAGGTCCAGCCGTTATTTACGGACTCGGACGCGTTCGTTTCTTCGCAACGTGCATATTTCCAACGGGTCGATAACAACGCGTGTCGTCGCGATGACCCAGCTGCTCTCTCGGCTCTTAAGACTCGCTAATCTCCCGGAGCTGTTACACGGATCGAAGAGAAAATGTTCGTGGACAGATTCGCGATACGTACGGACACGATGCGTTCTTGCTAGAAGACCCTGCATCCCTCCCGATATCGGCGAACAAATTGAGGGGTACGGTGCAAGGAGGAGCTGTGTCGTAACAGTAGCCGTCTGAGATGTGGAGGCTTTTATGGAAAGTAGCAGAAGAATTGATTAGACAAATGAATTCAGACAAAGACATTTTTCGTTAGAGGAAAAAATGACGTACGGGAAGGACCTTCTACTATGCTTCTACCTTTTGAATTGGGAATTACTGATATTTATGCCAAATTAACATTCACTTTAACATTATTCCAGTTTTATTTCTTTAACAAACAGATGACAGATAAAAGGTTGTTCATCGGGAAAGACCACTGCTTGTCCTACACTGAGAGTGTATTTTTTAATTCGCGGATTTGTGTGAGTGTATTTTTTATTTGTCAAACTTTCCATGTAAGAAATCTGATTTTCCCCGATTTTTTTACTAATTTAGGTCCTATTTGAGTCAACCGCTCTCAGGTTATATTTTCGAAAAGATGTACTACCACTGTCATCCGACATCAAAGTGTTAAAATTACTGGCGTCTTCGCCTTGTCAGTGCTGAGGAACCTTCGAACACTCATCGAGAATTTGCTGTAGTTACAAAGTAAGGGATAGTAAGTAGACACCAAAAAGTGGCAGAATGATTAAAGATCACATTTTTCAACATTTTCTAGCTCCCTCTTGCACCGGACCTCTAAATTCGATGGAAGACAACTTTAATTGCGGCACCCTATAACGACGAATAGATCGACGTTCCGATGACAATTATGTTTCATCGAGCATTTACTATAGTTACAAAGTAAGGGATAGTAAGTAGACACCAAAAAGTGGCAGAATGATTAAAGATCACATTTTTCAACATTTTCTAGCTCCCTCTTGCACCGGACCTCTAAATTCGATGGAAGACAACTTTAATTGCGGCACCCTATAACGACGAATAGATCGACGTTCCGATGACAATTATGTTTCATCGAGCATTTACTATAGTTACAAAGTAAGGGATAGTAAGTAGACACCAAAAAGTGGCAGAATGATTAAAGTTCGTATTTTTCAACATTTTCTAGCTCCCTCTTACACTGGACCTCTAAATTCGATGGAAGACAACTTTAATTGCGGCACCCTATAACGACGAATAGATCGACGTTCCGATGACAATTATGTTTCATCGAGAATTTACTATAGTTACGAAGTAAGGGATAGTATGTAGACACCAAAAAGTGGCAGAATGATTAAAGATCACATTTTTCAACATTTTCTAGCTCCCTCTTACACTGGACCTCTAAATTTGATGGAAGACAACTTTAATTGCGGCACCCTATAACGACGAATAGATCGACGTTCCGATGACAATTATGTTTCATCGAGAATTTACTATAGTTACGAAGTAAGGGATAGTATGTAGACACCAAAAAGTGGCAGAATGATTAAAGATCACATTTTTCAACATTTTCTAGCTCCCTCTTGCACCGGACCTCTAAATTCGATGGAAGACAACTTTAATTGCGGCACCCTATAACGACGAATAGATCGACGTTCCGATTACAATTATTTCTCATCGAACGGAGTCCACAATTCGGTACACGTAACACAATGGAACGTAACGTTAACGTATTAACGCGATATACCGTAACAGGAGGTTCGTTGGCTCCAGTTTCTCTTTCACGCGGTTATCTATAACGCTCCCGCGACATTCTCGAAGGAGAACCGCGAATTTTATCTTCTCCCGTACGGTGTCTGGTAGACGGCGAAACTAATATTTACGTCGTCCTAGACGGTCACATCGAGGATCGGTGCGTCGCTTCGGACAAACAGAGAAACTCCCGTGTGTATGTGTATGCGCGACGCAGAACGGTGCCTACGTGTCCCGGGAAAGGACGGTACAGATATATCTGGGAACGTATCTGGTTAATTGTGCGCCAAGATAATGAAACGGTTGGAATGTCGCCGGCGGGACGCGCGCGTACGACTGTCTAATGGCAAACAGCGATTAAGCGTGAAGACGACGCGACAACAGGAATTCAAAGTTCAGCCGGAGGTGTTCGTAGAGACTTCTGGTTCCGACACTTCTCAATTATCGTTATTATTTTCAAATCAGCCGCTTCTCCGAGTAAATAAGAGAGCCCCTCCCATCGAGATTACAGACATTACAGTTCTCCATCGTTTTGTAGCCAGGCCCGAATTAAGATTTTTTGTGGCCCAGGGCACTCTGATTTTCGGGTTGAAAAGCGTGTGGAGGATTTTAGTAATACAGCACAAGAAACTATATAAATCATAAAATTTATTTTAAATACATTTAAATAACATTTAATCATAGCGAAATGAAAGGTTCAGAACGCGACCCCCCTGGAACGTGGGGCCCAGGGCTCTAGCCCCTCCCCCCACACCTAGACCCCCTCTTTGATCCGGCGCTGTTTGTAGCGGCAACTAACACGGCACCACCGCATCGTAATCTCTTCTTCGGTATTCGCTAACGAGCGCAATTGTCGTTAAATTGCCAGGCGTCTGGGCGCGAAAATTTCACCAATGATCTTCGACACGAACAAACGTTTTTATTCGTCGTGCATACTTGTTACGATGAACGAAAAATATCTCTCGAATCATTGATCCCTTCGGATACGTAATAAAACCGCGACAAGAAAGTCGAATTATTTATCATGTTCTGTTAAGACGCGTCTTATTCAGCGCTGGATTAGGGGAGGAGGGGAGCTATAGCACCGAGTTCCATATTCTAGGGGGACCTCGGTCTGTGCCTTCCATTTATGTCAAAAAGTAATTGAATGAAGTTTTGTAGAAACAAATCGGATCAAAGTTGTTAGAATGTAACGAAGCATAGTTCGTTATGACTAAATGTTATTTAATTGTATATAGGAAAAATTTCAATTTTTAAATATTTATGTATTTACCCCTCTCCCCTGCAGCTTTTCAACCAAGGGGGCCCCCGAAGGTTTCACAGCCCTGGGCCACAAAAAATCTTAAACCGAGCCTGGTCTTATTCACGGCTAGTCAGAGTTGGGCAAATTGTATTCCGAATAACAAATAAATTTAGAGTTATTCGTGAGTAACGAATAACGATTTTATTCGACGAAAAATTATTGGTTGTTCACGTATAAATTTAGAGAGTTAGCTCGTTATTCGATCTGATTGAAAGGCGAATAAACGTGACTCCTGACATCTATCGTGGAAGTTGAAAAATGCTCGAGATAATTTGAAATATTATAAAACCGGACAAGTCTATCTCCCGCTGAAATTATTCAAGCGCGTGCGCGCGCGCGCGCACGAGGCAACGTCGCGAGGACAGTGCTCGGAGGAGAGATTGAACCCGGAAGTGTACAGGCGATCCAGTCGAACTTGCCCGCCGCGCGTCAGAGGTATATACATATATGATCGTCGAACGAAGCACAGGATAGTCCCCCAACCGGTGAACAATAATGAAAAAGTTCTTGTACTTACAGAGGGTGAACGATGTCCGAGGGGATAGTTAGAAAGAGACACACACGTAGCTGTTGTCGTTCCCGTGGTTGGTGATCGGTGGTAATGGTGGTGTTGCCAGCGGTGGTGGTGATGATGACGACGCGATGATGACGGGTGAGATGTGATGATGATGATGTTGGTGACGATGATGCTGCTAGTGGTGGTGGTGGTAGGGATGGTGGTGGGTAGTGGTGGTGGTAGGGATGGCGTTGGTACCGGCAGTAATGGTGGTGGCACAGACGGCGGAGTGAACCGTAGCCGATAGGACGAGCAGAGAAATTCGACTGTACCGTGTCGATTGATATACCAAAGGAACTGATACGACTGGACGAGTAATCGAAAATATAGTTCGTTCCTCAGTGATGGTGGTGTACCACGAACGCAAAAAAAGAGTCGAGAAGAGGTTACAAGAAACGACAAGAAAGTGTCGGTCAAGTTTCACACGTCAGAACTGATACAAACATCGACGAAAGTAACAGTCTTCGAGACACGAGTCGAACGTTAATTGCCATTAATTGGCATTCCAGCCGATCCACCGAGCCACGCATCTCGATTCGATAATATCGGGAATCGTGTACAAGAACTACGAACTGACCCTCCCTCTCTCATAACGCGACGGTTTTTCTGTTTATTTTGAATTTCGATGGGCGGGAATGTTGCGAGTAGACCGCCGACGAGGTCCATCTCCGCTACGTCACAACTCCTCGGAGAACTCTGTTATCTTGCCCGACGTTTCTCTGTTCTGTTTACATGCTCTGTCGTTCCCCTCTTCGGTTCTGGTTCCGGACGTCGATCCGCCGATCGTCTTCGACGGTGGGGGGTGGTTTCGTCTGGGTGGGGATCGGAGGATGCAAGAGGAACGGGCATGATACGTATGTAGTTACGACCGTGAGATGGCGGACATGCCGCTATCGCGGTTTTCGGTGTACACACGGTTTCTTGTTCTCTCGCTCTGCCTGTGAACAAGTTCACCGGCGGCGATGCAGGAACTGTTTTGACCATCGACAAATTCCATCATTAATTATTCGATTATTTTAACCCTTTGACTGTGGCGTACTCTACGGTATCAGTTAGCAGTGACTATATATAATATAACAGTGATTACAGATATAATAAGACTATAATATGGATGCCATTGATGTCGAGGGGTCACCGAACATTAGTCGAGGATTTACTGTAATGCTTTAAGGGTCGACCATGTTTCTGGCTAACGTTGTGTCTTTGAAGCAGCTTACCGACGTTTGCCAGAAGTTTGACCTCCCCAGCCTGGTTGAATACAGCCAGCACACGTGGCACACCTTTTACCAGCGTAGAACGAACCCACGTCCATACATACAGAGAAACCACGCGCGTACAGTTCACGCACGCACACAGATCTTCGTCTACAGTCGATGTATCGCTACACCGAGAGGATGATCGGGCAACGTTGACCAACCAGGAAGCGATCACGGATAACTGGTCGCTCGCCGGAATTCTGTCCGGGACGATTACACGTTTTCTGCGGTCTGTTTTAAAATTGGAATCCTCCATCGGAACTCGTTCAACGCCACACGCCATTAAACCCCATAGGAATCTTTCTCGCGTGGCCAGATCACGATCCGAGCCGTGTCGTGCTTCCTGATAATCGACCGGTCGTCACGCAACGGAAAACTCGTTCTGAACTATCCGTCGAATATTTCGTCCTCTTACTGAATCTACATATCTACATCTACAGTGGGTAAAAAAAAGCATTCGCGCACCATTTAAAACGGAACAACTCTTTCCAAATTGGATCGAGTGACTTGTGTTTCGTTGTGAACTTAGAAGGATTAGTGCACTAAATGATGTGTTAATAAAATGTTGTAAAAGTTGCGATTGATCGGAACTGCGATTGAAAATAGTAAAGGTAGCTTTTTGCGACTTTTTTATCTGAGATTGTAATGGAAATTTAAAAAATACATTTCTTAACTAACGTAAAAATCTTCGAAATGTATTTATTAAATTTTCGTTACAGTCTTAGACAAAAAGGTTGTAAAAAAAACAACATTTACTATTTCTTTCGAGAATTCGAACAGTCGGAAATTTTTCAAAAATTTTTGTAACACATCATTTAGTAAACTAATCCTTCCAATTTTGAGAAAGTTGTTTGGTTTCAATACTTTTTTGACTCACTGTACATTGTATTCTACTTGTGCTTGGAAGAAAAAAATACAATATATTTCATCGTGTATTTAATTGTCCTGTAGAGTATTAGTGAAAATGAACGGTAAAACTTCCGTGAAAATATCGAGATTCGGATTTAGACTACGCCCCAGACCCTCGATCACCGCCATACTGAGAATTACGCTGCTAAACGAGCCGTCTTGCTTCACTTTGTGTCGAACCATCGCCGAGAACAATTCGGCCACCACCGTGCTCACGTTCACCTGCGAAATTGTTTTCGTTTAATCTCATTGGGAATTCAATTATAGTTGTAATATTGTCTGTTATTGGTCGACAATTTCATATTTCGAGGATTACGTTGTCCCGTTTTCGTAGATGAGTGTTGACGATCTCACGCATCGTACGTTTGAAACCGTCCGGATCGGGACAAACCTGCGAACTGTGTTCCAGAATGTACTCCGCGGCCAGTTCACCCTTAAAACGCAATCGACAGAGTGGTGTGTACAGGGTGTTCGCGGTAAATTGCACTAGCGTTTTTCTTGTAAACAGTAATTACTATATTTAATACTTAAGTGTTTAAAAAAAAAAAAGAAGAGTCAATTTTTATATTTACATTATTATTAAAAACATATAGAATTCCATTTAATTTAATTTAATTCGTACGGGTGAAAACCCTTTTTTACACTATGTGATTTAAAACGTTACGGCACACTAATACAACAAATCATCAAATGGAGTATAGCGAGATATAGCAATTATTAGAATAGAATTCAAATAGATGTAAAAGCATTTACAAAACCGAAGGGCACCTTCGTTTCTCAAAAAACAATGTAAATATAAAAAATTGGCATAGTTTATCGTGTAGCCAGTAAGATATACTGTAAGTTCTTGCTGTTTCATTTTTTTGAAATACTTACTGTTTACGAGAAAAACGCTGGTTCAATTCACCACGAACACCCTGTATATTATTTTATATGCCAACATATCGTCAGAATTAAAACCGAAAATACATACGTTACCCATCAATACCGAGCGAAACACATCTTTAAGATTTTGCTGACAACGGTCGTTCAACGATACCACGAGACCGCAGTCGAGTACAATCAGACGCGGATAAATTGGCCAGTAATCGCGATCGATGAATCTCCAAAGCCAAGCACGCGTTCCTTCGGTTGACCCACGATCCGTTTCGACCAAGATATTGCCGGGATGCAAGTCGCAGTGAATGAAATTATCGTTAAATACCTGCAACCGACAATAAATTACCATTTTGGTGAATAGTGAAATCTATCGATCGTGAAATCGATCGATCGCCAACCATCTTTAAGACCATCTTGATTCCTAATTTAGCCAATTTCTTCTGTAACTTGTTGTCTTTGTATTCGAGATACTCGGATATGGAAGGGCCCTCGTGGTAACTTTCTACGAGTATGTCGCGTTTCGTGAAATTCCTATAAGGTCGTGGAAAGAGGATGTCTTTCTTGTAGGAGAAATTTTCCGAAAACTTCAGCAGATTAACGGCTTCCCGATTCATATCGACCTTTATGAAAATCGTCTTCATTTTAAATGCATTTAAAATTGACCTTCACGGAAATCCATTCGAATTATGATTATATTAAGTCTAAGGAATTAAACAAAAATGATCACTTGATTCTCCATTATTTGCGAGAACTCGTCGATACAATCGGTTAGACTCAGCCAACGCAACCGCGGGACGACGCTTGTCGCGAATTTACAGACTCCTCTCATTATGGTCAAATCTCTTCTAAAATAAACGAAACAAGGAGCGACGATTTGCTATTGTATTCGAACGGGCTCGAATAATGTTCCCGCATTACCACCTCAGTTGACCTTTGATTCCGGGGTGTAAAATTTTTACTGCTACCGGCTGCAATTTCCTGTTTCGCGTAACATCCTGCTGACTCTCGTTGTCGCTGTCGTCGTTCGCCATTTTATCTAAAATGTGTACACGTTCATCTGACACCCGTGGTTTTTTAGCTCGATTTGTCAGAATCATGAATTTCATTGTATTTACCGATCGATGTGATCAACGATCCGAGTTTCAGATATTCGATAACTGTAACAATATTAAAATCGTTGACAGAGAATAATGCAACTCAAACTACTGATTGGTCGGTTGGTCGTTAGGTTAACTTTTACAGGAGGAAATCTTTCTAATTTACTTTGAATGAAAACAGGTATTCGGGACTCTTGCGTTTCTTCGACTCGAGCATTCAAATCGATCCATGCTTTGTACACCTACCGGCGCGATGCAATTACAAATTAATTTGAACGAAGAAATAATAAATTTTCGGTGCAATGTACTTGCTAAGAGCGTCAGCAATGTGCTTGATGTGTCTACCTGAGCACAACATCCGGATCCGATAGGTGTTTCATTCTCGAATTTAACAAATATTTTTCTCCAATTTGGACCGTAAATCGATTTAAGCAGTTGCTCGGTGTAGAACCAAGAATGTGGCGGAACGGTGCGTTGTAACTGCGATAGCGTGCAACAAATGTCCTCCGGAAATATATCTTTCCGCGTGGATGCCCACTGACCAAACTTTATAAAAATCGGTCCCAGGAATTGGATGCCTGCAAATTTTTCACGGAATTTTACTTAGAAATAATGTAATTAATATTAATAAATTCGTCTTTTTTTTTCGAAGCGTACGTTCGTCACAATTTTTACTACGATCGATTAATTACTTTTCAGAAGAACGGTCGGAAATATGTGTCCATGTATTAACCGCGTGATCAAATAAACAACAGTCACTCCAGTTAAGATAGATCCAATTACGAAAACTCTTGCAACAATCAAAATAGCATTCTGGATTACATCGAACAAATTTTCTTGATCTTTCTCTGCAATCAGCGAGTCGTTCTCGTAAATTAGGGAATGTCGCTTTGGCTCGTAAGAGAGGATCAGAACAGTCTTGACTATTCGCTTGGAACCTTCCAGGTTAATGTGTCTCATCGTAATAGTACGATGAAGTCGAATCGCTTCTGTATACTTGGACTCTCTTATTTGCCAATTTTCTCGTCTACTTTGGACGAATTTGGTCGTGCGAAGCACTTTTGACACGTTTGAATAAAATCCCATTGTTAATCGTACTAGGTTATGACATCATCATCATGCAACAACCAATAACTTCCAAAAATATGTCCTTTTCGAAATCCATTTTCGGGTCCAGCACTAAGTATGCATTTAACTAGATCTGTTCCTTGAACTATACAGATTTACACATTGTGAATTGATAAAAAATCATACAACAAATAGTACGTGAACTTCCTAATGTATCATTGCTCTACAATCTGTCCAAGATAATTCTGTGTGCCAGAATTTAATCCAAATTCAGTCGTTTGTCTTTTTCTCTTTTGGTAACACTGCCTAATGATGAATATTGGCGTCCTTTTTTGTTCGTGAAACAGCAGAGTTACAAATTGCAATAAATATTGTCCAACTACATGTGGATAATAGAAGAGTTACGTATAGAATTTCTATGTTTATGGAGTCACCAAAGTGCAAGCTATTTCTTATGACCCGGTATTCAATTGTATATAATGCATTTTGATTGTAAGAAATAGCAAATAATGTCAAGAATCATTAGCGTTTAAAACTCATTGATTCGACTGGTGCTACCATCCGTGGTAAAATGGTCAAACTGGTAGGCAAACCGTACCGATTGGTAAATTTGAGTCAATTGATGACTGCGGCATCTATCGTCAGTATTGTCTATTAGTTGAGTAGTAGCTTGGGTATTTTGCCGTAGATGGTGTTACGAATCTTTTTGGCCTCATTTATGCTCGCTGAACCTAAACAGATGATTTTGATTGATTTTGATGGTAAACTTTATCCTTATAAGAATCTGAAAAGTGTCAGCAATTACGATGCCTGCGACAACTCTGCATAAACTTATAACGGTCGTCGGTTTAATGTCAATATTACATGCTGCTTATTCGGCTGCACAGCGTACGTATCGTTGCTTAATCAACTTTTCATCTCTCAAATTCTTAACGTGTTAGGTTAAATGTAGTACTTTTACAGACCGTTCATACTTACGAATAACGGAGCAAGAATTTATCACTTTACCAATTGATGTGAGTATTCATCGGTAGTTGAATTTAATGCATAAATGGTATGATTGTAAGACATGTCGTGTAATTTTATCGCAGATTTTGATACAAGGGATTGCCAGCTTATTTATGGTTATGTACGGAGTTATGTATATCGCCGGTGATTTCAAAGAGATTCGAGCAGTAGTTGACTTGGAAAATAAGTCTTGGGAAACTTTGCGAAACCTCCCGTCGTTTCAGGTGTTCACTCATCGTGGCAGATATTTATTTCCACCTACTAAACTTTATACTTAAGTCAGGTTTTAGAAGATTGGAACCTTTTAGAAAAAAAGGTCCTTAACGAAACTAAAAAACGTTGCGTAAAATATAATGTACAAATGAAAGGGAATCACAGTGACTAATACGACTTGAAATTTAAATCATGTATTTAAATATATCCGTAAATATACACATACTTTTTATGAACACTGCTGTAAAGTATAAATAAAAAAAAATTTGACATATTCATTCCATTTTTTAGATGTGAGTTTTATATTTATTTTATGTAAAACAACGAATGAATAGGAAAAGTGTAACTCGATACAGAGACATCACTTTTTCTGCTTCTTCTTTTCAGCTTCTGCTTCTTTTTCTTTCTCTATCTCGGTAACATATTCGTCGATAGTGTCTGAATCTAACATCTGAAATGTAACAAAATTACAGGAAGGTTTGATTTAAAATAGTTGGACGATGTATTTCTGTTTCTGAGATGAATATATTTATACACCAAACTGTATACCTGTAGAGGCTGACCACGTCGCATTACAGCTATTTCTAGGTTTTTCTGTCCAGATTGCACCACTTCCAATAAAGCTCTAATAGCTAACTTTATGGAGCCTTTCTCTGTTGCTACTTCTTCAGGTGTGTAATATTTTTGTAGAAATTCGTGTACTGTTTTGGCGCTTCGACCTGTAGCATTTGCCTATAAGAAAAGAAACATTTATTTCGATTTACCTAACTTTTACTATTTATGAACACGTTATAAGAAGCGTACCTTCCATTCATAATAAATGCCAGAGGGTTCTGTTTGATACAAGTGTGGAACACCATCGTAATCGAATCCAGCTAAAAGACACGATATTCCAAAGGGTCTTCTGCCATTGCTTTGCGTATATTTTTGTTTCAAACCTGTACACAATTACTGGGTTATTCTATGGCCATATTCATGGGTATCAAAGAAGTAATATACAATTTCTTACCTGCAATATACCTGGTTATATATTCTAAAGTGACAGGATCTTCTACAGTTAATCTATGACTCTGACATTCAATTTGCGCACGATTTATTAAGACTCTCGCATCCGCAGTCAAACCTACCGAACAAAAACAACACACAGCGATTACCCGATACGTATATTTTATTTGGGAAAATATAATTTCTGATCGAACCTGCGAATGCCATTACAACGTGTTCGTCTAGAAGACATATTTTACGCACAGTCCGTTCTTCTTGGAGCTTTGCGATCGACTTTTTCTCGACACCTAAAACGACCACATCGTTACCACGAACACCGACCTAAAATCAATGAAATAAAATCGCAAAGAATTAGCGAAACGGAACCGTATAACGAAGAAATCTGTATGAAAGATGTGTTTAACATGACGGGTATAGAATCGATTGTGGAAAGTTTTACCGCAAACACCACGAAGGAGGTTAGATGAAATTTTCCAACATACCGCTGTCGATCCCTTTCTCACTGCTTCTTGTGCGTATTCTACTTGAAGCAAATGTCCATCCGGCGAAAATACCGTGATGGCCCTATCGTATCTCGTTGTCATTGTTTGGACTTTTTAAACAGAATATCGAACCTATCGAATGCAGAAAATGACTTCGCCGTTTTTCAAAGTGAATGCTACTCATCAAGCGCGCTCTGTTTCAACCTTTTGCCGATAGAGGGTGACGCGACGCGTCTTACACAAACTCTTCAATTTCTGCTGTTGAATATTGTGTGTTTTCTGTAAAACGGAGAGTGATTTCGGTTTACGTTTATGTATTTCTTTTTCTTCTTTCTAGTTTTAGTTCCATAGGCACGCAAAGTAACGACACCGGGATGTTGATCGAATCGTAAAATCGAAAAAGCACGCGTGAAGGTGGTCGCAATAATATTTATTTGAAAGTTCGAAGTAAAATTAAACTTTTTATCTACAAACGAAGTAGAATATTTAAATAATATTGATTATTCGTGTGTTTTCACAGTAACATGTATATTTATATCTACATTTTTGTCATCGAAATGCAAAAAGAAATAGTACCCGGATAACACATGACGCCTTGAAGACGTCCATTTTACGGCCATTTTACGTCTAAGGCGCCTTTAAGCCGTCTTTAAGGCGTTATTAGGCGTCATGTATCTGGGTAAACCATGAGAAAGTAGAGCCAATTGAAAATTGTAAATTCTTCGGTATCTGCACCGTAACGATTTCAATTTACGGGCCATTATCAAAGACGCAACATTATCACAGTGAACATGCCAAGTCATAAACGGACGAGTAGCGAGCATTCAAACAAACGGCACGAACACATTTGAAAAGTATCGGCAGACAATGAACCTAAACGAAACATATATAGCGGCAACTGATGATACGCCTTATCATAAATATTCACGAAATTTTACTTTGATTTCGAAGATGTCAAATATGTGTATTCGAAAGAAAACAAGTTCAAGATCAACGAACAGAAAATGGGTGTAAACATTTCCCTATTTGACGCTTTGCAATAAACGTAATTTCGATCGGAAAGAAACGGAACCGATTACGGGATACATTTGAACTTACGATCGTTCGATCACGATACAACTGTTCAAACAAATGGGATCGGTTTCAATTTTCGGACTATTATCGAAGGCAAACATTGTAGTAAAATGGGAAAATGATCGGCACTCGCTCAAATGGAAATTAAACGTGAGCGTAGCTGGGCCGACGCTTTCAGGACCATCAAATAAATTGTTTGCATTTGATAATCTTAAATGTCAGACAGTAGTGGGGATGAATAGGAAGAATCTGTATTGCAACTAGTACATATAAGAGGCAACGATCGGCTTAGTGAAACGTTTAGTCAAGGTTGAGCGCTCTCCCGTGCCGCATTTGATCACGCAACATGATCGGGTTTGTAACGATTTTTTTTGGTTTCTTCTTTCGACCGATCTTTCAGTCGTTCGATTTTACGAAACAGTGCGCGGGATCAGTGTAGAAGTGCGTAATACTCGAAGTGCAGTTACGTTTCAATAATTTCACGAGTTTTCACGTAAAAGGTGTGACACAAATTGTCAAAGACAGGCGATCGTACTTGGCACATTTCAAATATGGAGTTACTTTACACCGTTTAGATAACGTGTCGTACTTTCATCGAGATTCCGTCGCAGTCTTCGTGGTACAATTTAAATCAAAGTATTCGTTATTGTTGCACTGACGTGTCGTTAGAAGTGAATCTTGCTTGTGTGCATCCGGGTATCCGTCATTGTCGAACAAGTACCATCAATCTATGAAACTCGTTTGCAGAGTCACGTTACATTTAACACAAGCTGTTAGCTTCGGTTAATCTCAGCGAAAATTTTCTGCCAGGAATCGCTCGTGTTCGAGTAGAATGTTCGTACCTCGCGGCGGATGCGATTAGATCGTTCTCCGGAGATAATAGGTGTCTTCGGTATCTGCACCGTAACGATTTCAATTTACGGGCCATTATCGAAGACCCAACATTATGACAGTGAACACGCCAAGTCATAAACGGACGAGTAGCGAGCATTCAAACAAACGGAACGAACACATTTGAAAATTATCGGGAAACAATGAACCCAAACGAAACAGTGTTTGGGAACTGATGATACGCCTTATCATAAATACCCACGAAATTCTACTTCCGTATCGAAATAAAACAGTTCTAAGATGAACGAAAACAACACGCGTGTAAACAGTTCCCTTGAGTTTCTATTTGACGCTGTGTATATCCATAGACGTATACTACATATCTCTGTATATATATACATATATTCTACGTGGAAAAATAAGTCGAAAATACGGAATAACATTTTTTTATTTGAGACTTCGTTTTTAAGGAAATCGAGGGTAAAGATTCGTCTGTAACGTGTGTGTATTCGTGTTGGCAATGAACAGACGCAGCAGCCGAGTCCTATTCAATTACACGCGTATCTCGCAGATTTTCAAACTTATCTCAAAAAACGAAGCTTCATACCACAAAATTTTATTCCACATTCTCGATTCAGTTTTTCACGTAGAATGACCCCCTGCTCGCTTGTACCACCAGTTTTACGGGACACCTTGTTATGCGTCTACGTATGTACCCATGTGATTTCAATCGAAAACAATCGAACAGAATACGCTTGAAGTTAGCAATTGTACAATCGATTTACCCGTGATACAGCTGTCCAAACAAACGCGAACTTTACGAAAGTGACCAGATCGGAAGAGACGGGAATAGAATCTGTCGTCGTCGGCAGAATTCCATTGGAATTCATTCGTACGTTTAACCGGATACTTCCTTTTTATGCAGACTATCCAAAAAGACGATTATAATCGCCGGGGTGGGCATCGCTCTATTTTTAATTGTGATCGTAGTCGTACTAATCGTTTTTCTGACCAACAAATCCGTATCAAACCCGGAGAACGCCCAAAATTACGGCGTTTACTCGAAGGTAAGCTCGAAACCCAATGGATCATTGAACCGAGTGTAATCGAGAGATTGACTTATCGGTCAATCGCTGATTTTTCAAGGGTGCAGTGTCTACGAACGGAGAAGAATGCGCGCAAATCGGCGCCGATATCCTAGCGAGAGACGGTTCAGCCGTGGATGCGGCGATAGCTGCACTTTTATGCGAGGGAGTCGCCTCCTTGCACAGGTATTAAGCCACCATCTTGTATACAGTAAATCTTCGATGAGTGTTCGAAGGCTGCTCTGCAGTGAACATTAAATATTTCATGAATTAGTAGCTATGTGCGGCTGAAACAAATCAAAAAGCTCATTTAACCCTTGTTTAGGTAACAAAAATATGCACGGATATATTAAACTAAGACTGCAGAGCCTTCAACACTCATCGAGGTTTTACTGTATACACAAAGGTACTTGTCCCATCACCAATCCGTTGTCTCGATATTTCAACGGCGAACTAATGCTCGTTTCGGGGTTTCTCAAGTATGGGATTAGGTGGTGGCTTTCTGATGACAATTTGGGACGCGCGTACCAAAACCGCGGACTATTTAGATGCCCGTGAAACTGCACCGGCGAAAGCGACCGAAAATATGTTTGATGGGGATCCTAACCTGGCCATGTACGGTGAGTTATTACCCCAGTTATAGTAGATACCAAATCGATTGGACACGATATGAACATTATCGTAATTAATATAGAAATAATAAGTAAAATATTAAATACAATTATTATCTATATAATTAAATTAAAAATTTAATTAGACTCATACACACGTGTAAAATTTATGTTACGAAGATATATAACTCGAACTTTTCTGTCTCTGATCGTATTTATCGCATTTGTGAAACAGCGAATTCCTTCTACAAAGACTTTGATTTTTTTATTGGCTCTATCCAGTCTTTCAAGGACCAAGTTCATAGTGTTTTATAACTACCATTTGGCTTTTCTCTTTGTAATTACCATTTTCTTGTTCTCTTTTGTATTCACCAGTTATATGTTTCATTTAGTTTTAATATTCGTCCGATTTATATTTTATATAAACATGTTTACATTTTTTTTTCTTATATTCTAATGAAAATTAACCCGTAAATAAATAAATAAAAAAATTGACAAAAGGTGGCCTGGCGATCGCAGTCCCAGGTGAGCTAAGGGGCTACTGGGAAGCTCATCAAAAGTACGGGAAGCTACCGTGGTCCGAATTGTTCGAACCCACGATCTCTCTCTGCGCAACAGGATCTCGCGTGAACAATTACTTGGCCACTTATTTGTCCAACAAGGAGTCGATGATACGGGCGGAAAGCTCGTTGGCGGAGATTCTCATAAATCCAGCCACCAACGCCCCGTGGAAGGTTAGTTTAGTTTAGTTCAGTTTAGTTTAGTTTCGAACGTGGTCACTCGAGAAAGGGGATTTCGGTATCCCCTCCAAGGCCACATGGCTCATGCGCAATACCTTTCACAAAGCCCCGCAATTGAGGCTAGGGGTGGCGTTACCCAGGGATTTTTTTACCCCGACTCTTCAATCATTCCAACTTTATTAGGCCATGGAAGGTAACAAGGGTTTTTGTTATTCAGTCTGAGCTGTGTGTTTTTGTAACGAAACTAACCGATTGGTTGTTAGGTGGGGGACAGAATAAAACGGCCTCGTCTAGCGGAGACGTTGAAATTAATCGCGAAACACGGACCCTGGATATTTTACAACGGCACCATCGGTGATCAGCTGGTCGAAGAGATCCAGGCAGCTAAGGGTATCATCGACAGGGCAGATTTACGTGATTACAGGTTCGATTCGATCGTTAGTATGCATGATTCATTGACCGAAGAAGCAAGGCAAGTGGGGAAAAAATTGTTGTAACATCGGATATATTTTGTAGGGCGAAATGGAAGAAACCGATCGAAACGAAACTAGGAAATCTGACGATTATCACAGCCCCGCCACCCGGTTCCGGACCGATCTTAGCCTTCATCATGAACATCCTCCGTGGATTCGTGCCGGTTTACGACGAGGGGATTACGTGGCAGCGTTTCGTCGAAGCGTTCAAATGGGGTTACGCTCGAAGAACGGAATTGGCCGATCCTGATTTCGTTCCCAGTGTCGGTAAGCCGATAAGAATTTCAGTTTCTATGGATATTTCGCGCGTGAATCGTAAAAAAAAAAATCTGACGCAGAAATATTGTCTACGACCTTTTGAGTCAGCGATTCGTTATCTCGGTTAATACCACACTTAGAGATAATGTGCCGTAATTTTGCCGATAAGAGTGCGTGTATAATTGCATAGATTGTTGCAAAAAATAAGGATCATCGTGTTCAGTGGAGATAACAAAGAAGACAGCAATAATCGCGATGATCACAATTGTTCTCACATAATTACGAATTTCTTTATTGCTGTCGGCCCTGATAAGCACTTCGCATGCCTTCACAACGTCTGTATCCTTGATTCCATTCCTTCAACCTATAAAAATCGTTAGCGCCTGTTACGCGTCAACTTCGCCGACGATCAATTGTCGTGATAAGAGGGAACCGCTAACACCCGTTCAAGTGTAATTACAACCGAACGATTTATCGTGAAACGTGCCTATAACGGTCTATTATAGGCGCAACATAGACGCGTCTTGCGTATCGTATACAGACTCGTCTCGATTATCGTCCCAAACTCAGGTCCGCGCCGGGACAATAATCATATAGAGAGAAATGCTTTAGACCCTCATAAATTCGTTTTGACAATGTATACGGTTGATAGGTTTCACGACCTCCCCCCTCCAGTGGTGGGGATAACGCCTGGACAATAATCGTGTAAACGAAGCCAGACGATAATCGAAAGGAGTCTGTACACTCGCGAGCAAACTCGGCTTTCACTAGGGGAAAAAATGACGTAACAAAGGACCTTCTGCCATTTGATTTTGGGAATTATTGAAATATATGTCAAATTAACATTCAATTTAACATTTATTTCAGCAATCGGAATAAATTTATCAAGTTGTAGGAGGCCCTTCCCCTACGTTACTCTTGCCCCTAGTGGAAGCCGAGTTTGCTCGTGAGGGTACACCGAATCTAAGTGAATTTCTGTGTCTAGACCTGCTGGTCGAGAATCTGACGTCCATCGAGTACGCCGAAACGATTCGTGAGAAAATCAAAGACTATCAAACCAGCAACGATCCGAAACACTATGGCGCTGTTACGGCCACTCCGGAAGATTCAGGAACGTCTCACGTGTCCGTACTCGCTCCTGACGGATCGGCTGTATCGGTTACGTCGACCATAAATCAGGTGTACGTTGTTTATTCGCGATTTTCAAAAGGAAAAACATGTATAGAAACGATTATGTACGAACTATACTTTCTAATTGTCGTAATACTTCTTGCGATTCGACAGGTTCGGCGCTATGTTACGTTCCAAGTCCACGGGTATCATATTCAACGATGAAATGGACGATTTTAGTTCGCCAAATATTACAAACGGATTCGATCTGCCTGCATCACCGGCGAACTTTATTCGCCCAGGGAAACGACCAATGAGCTCTATGACTCCAACGATAGTTGTAAGCATCGTTTCGTTCGAAACATATACTTTTATTTTCACCCAGTCATTTATTGCTGGATTTATTTGCTCGAAACTTGTACACAACTAGTTATCAGAGCGTATGCGTATTCCGTTGCTATTGCCTAACCTCTATGGGCATACGTGTATCGTATATTTACCAGTCCCGCAATACCCTGGACACGCTTGTTTCGTTTCTCAAGGTTGACGAAAGCAGAAACGTGCGTTTGGTGATCGGTGCCGCAGGCGGCACGAAAATCACGACCGGTGTGGTGATCGGAATGGTGTTGAACCTTTGGTCAGGATACAATATAAAACAAGCGATCGACGCGAAACGAATTCATCATCAGGTGAGCTGAAATCTCATCGATCGTACCCACGCGATTCACAGAATCAAAGGACACTCGTGTGAATTTTTTCAGCTACTCCCGATGAACGTTCAAAACGAAAAAGGATTCACTCCGATCGTGTTGAACTATTTATCCAACATTGGTCATAACGTTACCACCTTCACCGGGATCGGAAGTGCGATCACGGCCGTGTCGAAAGAAGACGGAAAGCTGTTCGCCAGCTCGGATTTTCGTAGACAAGGAAAAACCGCTGGTTTTTAGGCAATTATTTCCATGGTTTGTTTCCGTTATCTGCCTATGGTAGACGATGACCACGTGTAAACAAAACAGTCGTCGCACTATAACGGTTTGTTTAATGAACTATGTACAGACACCTCTCGATTATTGTCTGGCTTGTTCTACACGATTATTGTCCAGGCGTTATCCCCAACACTGGAGGGGGGGCGTGGAATTTGTAAAGCGTATACTTTGTTCCCCCTCCGAATTTACGAGGATCTGAAGCATTTACCCCTAAAAGATTATTGTCCCGGCGTAGACCCGAGTTCGGGACGATAATCTAGAGGAGTCTGTATATCGAAACGACGCGCCGAAGTACTTTTTAAATACCTCGAAATACAAATGACAAGTTACCATTTCGCGATATAACGTATTAGTGAATTTTAAATGTATTAGTGCGATATATCTCGGTAAAAATAGAGAATCTTTCAGTAGGAAACTTGAACTAACGTACAAAAAGAATACAAAGACATCGTAATATATATATAGGGTATAAAAACAAAAATTGCATTATATTTTCAACGTTTCTCAAAGACGAAACGCTGTATCTCTTGTAAAACTACTAGCGTATAAGTGTGTCCTGTGTTAAAGGTTTCGTTCAATTTTGTTTCCCAAGAAAGTGATAGACATATATATTATAAAAAAATAATTTATTTAACATGACGCATTTACAAATCTGTGGTGTTTAATGTTTTTGTATGAATAATATTTACCGTTCTACAGTAACGAATATTCATCAATATATTTATTATACACGATTGATACACGTGGGCAGTTCAATAACAGCAGTATTATAAATAACATTAGGAGCTACTGTCGCTTTCCGAGAGTCCAGCATCTTGTTTCACTTTCCTTACGCAACGTCTCACTTTCTTCGTTTTATTTAATCCTTGCTTCGACTTCCTTAGTACTTCGATGGCATTCAATTTTTTCTTTAAAGCCACTGCTCTATCCTTTTCCCTCTGCGGTATGTATTCCTCGACGTTCTTCTCATCACTCGCGGATAGATTCGAGATTTTCGGCTTGCTGGAATCTGTTGCATCTTGCATGCTTCCCGATGCTCGTTTCTTCCTTCGACTTTCGCTCGACGCGATCGATTTCTTTTTCTCAATTTGTTGTAACGCGCTCTCCATGTCTTCTAACGGTTCTTCCGTATTCGGATTGTTTAACCTGTGCACAGCTTTCTGCACTCGTTTGCTCAACATCACATCGATCGGCTTCGGAACAGTTTGCAACTTAAAATAAGTATGTATCGATTTCTGGCTCTGTTTCTCCTCTAGCCTCTTCAATACGGGCTTTATAATTTCGTTAAATTTCTCGGTGGTCCAACCGAATTTCTGTTTCGTATAATTGGCCAACAATATCGTATTCGGTTTACCCCAAGTAAAGCCCTCCCTCGATTCGTCCACCTTGGGAAACAGATATGCCTGCACGACGGCTTGACTCGGAAACCCTGCATGTACGAACAATTAAAAGTTAATCTGCGTACGTAAAAAGAAAATACATTCCTGTCCTACATACCTTTCTGTATTTGTAAGTTTTGTAACTTGTTTCGCAAAGCAGTTCTTCCGGGGCCTGCAGATCTACCGCTTTCGATCCATGAATAGAATTTTATTAGACCTTGCAATAAATCGTCACCTTCCGAAGGGAAGGCTGCTAATATTTCCAAGGCCGTAACTGGACCGATACCGGTTAAACCTGTGGTGTAATCGCTACCGACTAACAGAGCAAGTCGTATCATTTCGTTACGCGTTAATTCTGGAAAGTAGTATTAGTTTTCGTAACGAGACCTTGAGATTCGTTTCACTTCCGTTCAATAGAAGATAGTTACAACTCACTGAAATGATGCTGTATATCGTGAGAAAGATATTGCAACACTTTTTTGTTGTTGTCGAAAAAATTTTTGTAAACGCACTGTCCTCCGAACAGCCAGATATCCGAATCGTCTGTAATCGTACCATCGGTGAGATTTATTTGTTCCAAATATGCGCACTGGGATTCTGCTTCCATAGGTGCTACAACGTATGGTATTCCAAATAATCGTAACAATTCCTGTAAAGGAATCATTCCTATTATATTCCATTAACAAAGCAGAATCGAGCTACATAAATTGAATATACATATCGCTGTACCTGAGCTTCGATGCATATTTGGTTAGAAATATCAATGCCCTGTCGTTTTAATTTACCAATGTTTGTCATCAACTCCGATTGTTCATCTTCCAATCGCATCTGAAAGCAAAGCATATAAAACATTTAAATTATATTTCATTTACACTTACGATTACAAATCTGAAGCAATATTTGCATACTTTTAATGACAAAAGTTCTTCTTCGTTCGTTGGTAAAGGACTGATGTTTCGCGACTCCGCAATCGATGCGCTTATATTTGCATTGTCTTCTGTATTTGTAATCTCTGCAATACTTTCAGGAGAATTAATTGTATTTTCTATACTGCTCGTCTCTTTTATGGGACTTTCTTCCAACTGCATATCTGTAGTATTTTCCGTAGGTATTACTACCGCATCACTAATTTTCCTTGCAGCGGATTGATCTTCAACTTTGTCTTCTATCGTTTCTACAATTGCTTCATCTGGAACAGCTTTATCTTCCATTGCCTTTAGACGCTTGGGTGAACTTCTTTCTAAGTTCTCGGAACACTCATTGGTCTCTGATATGTTTTCAGACATTGATTCTGCTATTTCACATTTCGATTCATTAGTTGCCGCTCGGAACACGTCTGCAAACATATCATCTTCTATGTTTTGATCAGATCTAAACATTATTTGAATTCCTTGTCGAGGAACATTCTTCTTAACAACAGGGTCCAAGATTAACGTCGGTACATCTTCTATTTCCACAAAATCTGAATCCGAATCTGTTGAACTGATTATCGTTACTTCTTCTGTTTTCCTTTCATTGGCATTTGAAATGTTTGAATTGACAGCACGCAATAAACTGCTATCGGTTTTTATATTTGAGCCTGGAAATTTAATCACTAAATTATCTAACGGTTCTGCAGCTTCTGTATAATTTACCTGTGTCAACTCTTTACTGTCATCTTGTGCTTCAACAGGCTCTATTTCCTGCGTGGCCTTTAAGCAACATTTTGTATTTTCACTTTCCTCCTTTCTATTCTGTTGCGTGGCCTTTAAGCTACATTTTGTATTTTTGCTTTCCTCCTCTCTATTCTGTTCAAGAATTGTAAGAATTTGATTTTCTGTTAATCCGCTATGCTCCAACATATATGTTAGCGCAGGATTCATAGTATTTTTTCCATAATACTTCTTAGACAGGGCTGGTGATTCGTTTAATTCTATTTCCGATTCTGTCTCGCTACTTCGTTCTTCCGCAGCCAGGTTGGAACAGCTCGTAGTCGTTATTTCAATGTCGCTGTCCCATTCATCGTCTAGTTCGTATTCGTTCATATCTTCGCATATTGGTACATCTTTACTAGAACCAGCAACAGGTTCTACCACCTTGTCTGCATTAGTTGCAATACTCTCAGTATTTGAATTTTCGCTGCTACTAATGCTTTTAATATAGGCATTTTTATCTATAACATATAGTTTATGATAATGAAGGAACAGTTAGTCTGAGGTTGAAAATAAGAGAAGTGTCTGACAACATACCACTAATATAAACTAATCTAGTTGTACTATCGGCGGCGACACGGTAAGTACAATTGCAACCGCTGGTATCTATACCCTGCTCGGTTAATAATTTGTCTAATTCCTCCAACGTCAGTGTCTTTCCTCCCATTTCTTTTTCGGCCGACTCTAAACTCTGTTGCACTAATCTACGTTTCAGTAGACGTTGCATTTGATAGCCAGAAAATTTATTCGATTCCTACACATAAAGACATTTTATGTGAAGAAGGAAAATTAAAATTTCGCGTATTCTTAAAACTGAATAAATACTTCGGGCATCTCGTGTAAACGACCCCATGAATTCTGTTTTCTTGTTTCCTTCAGGTCAGTGAGAATTTCGTAACGCACATCAGCTGGTAACGCTTTAAATTCAGCGCTGGCGACATTCACGTTATGAATATTTCCAATCCATTTCGATTGTTTTCGCGGACTCAGATCAATAGACGAATCTGAATCATAATCGTCGCTGAGACTTAATTCTGCTTTGCTCGTGCTTGGCATGTCTGGTAATTTGAAGATATCATCTGTAGAATCTTTATTTTGCATGTTCAAAATTACTTCTGTAGAGTTATTTGTAACATTTTGTTCCTCTGTATTGAGAACTGTTTTTACCGCATTGTGTTTCATCAAGTTATTTATTAATTCTGTCCTCATCTGTTGAGCTTTACTCTTGGCCACAGATTTCTGCTTCCTGCGCAAGGCCTGTGAACACAAAAGAATAAGAGCCTCTATTCTCACTACCTGGTTCCCACAGTAAACTAATTATGTACATACAACGTTAGAGTCAAGATAAAAGTACAGTTTCATTAATATACACACACATTATATACCTGGAGTTATTCGAGGCATATTATAGTTATTCTTTAGAAAGTTGGATTGAACAAAATTCATTAACTAATTTATTTTCATATGTTTTATCTCTTGGGAAATCTATACTAATAATCGATAAAGTTTAATGTAAAATTAAATGTATACTCACAACTGTATCCTTCTTTAGCATTGGTACACCTCCATCAAAAACGAATACAGGTTTAATTTTATAATACAACAGCTTACAAATTCTATTGAACAATCCAATTAGATGTGCATTAGGCTTAGGATTTCCAAAACGGTCTTGATATCCTTGCAATACTTGATGCATCCAAATGGAGATGTCTACAAAGTCAAAAATTTGTATTAAGTAAACGAATTATTTATGAAATTACAAGTGTAGAATGTTACATATAGATATTTAAATGTACCAATAGCTAAAACTTTTCCTTCGAGCGTTTCCAATGGAACCTGCTTTCCTGTTGCATCTAGTAAACGCCAAAGACCGTAAACACCCATTATGTTTGATGGGACACCTGTAAAAAAAAGAAGAAAACAGTACGTCAAAAAAATTACATGTAATACAATACATTATCAGGGTCGATTCTAGGAAAGACGGAGATTTAATGTCACTTGCTATATTACGAGCCGGAACTAACGCAAGATTGTTCATAACCTAATAAGTAGATACTTCTTAATTGATGACAAACTTAACATTGATATATATAAATAGTTTAACCGGCACGTATTTTCGGTATATCAACGTCACGTGTTACTGGACCGTTTACTTTGCAGCGTATTATTAACAAATACCTCGATTCACAAAGTTCTATACGCATCGACATTGCACGGCATCGGTCAGCTGGTTACTGAAACAATACGCATGTGACGCGCCTACATTTGCATCTATAATATGTATACAGAGAGAAACACTCTTCCAATTACATATACAGTAACGCAGTCTTTTTGTATTTACTGATCGAGGAAATGACAATAATTTCTTAAAGTGTATTAACAAATACGTGACGCAAACCGTGTAAACTTATAATTCGTTTTATTACGTCTTTTTTAATGTAGTATACTGACGTCTCTCTCACCGAAAGGATTTTCATAAAAATATACTTTAACGCATCATACTATGTATTTCTATGTAGGAGTTATCTGTTACTTAATTCAAATAACAATTTAATTTTAATACTTTATTGTAATCATAAAACTTGTACACCAAAATCAAGTGCTAAGAAAAAGTAGATCCAAATTAAAACGAAAGTAAAGGCAGATCAGAAAAGAATGGCGTACAATTTAATTTATATATTTTATTATAAACATTCGTACACAAAGTTAACCAATGGACACGGTAATAAACCTCGTAAATATGTATAATTTTACCGAAACGGCGACATAGTCAATAATAGTGTTTATAAATGATTGGCAGATTTTCTATTTGGATGGAATAAAAAAGTAGACGTATGACCGTTAATTTGCCTGTTGATACGAGCTTGTCCTATATTACGTCGTATCAACTTCTCGAATAATTTGTGCGACTCGTGTACGAACACGTAACGCAATACGTGAAATATATTTGTGTGTTTCCTCGAGTCTTCCGCAGGCATATGCACACATTCTCCCACAGCAGGTTTTTCCCACGCCCCCCAGGGTAACCCCAACATCCTTTTGCGGCAGCAATTCCACGGCACCTACGGGGTGGAGGGGAACGGCTCACATCAGGTGGGGAACAAGAGGGGAAACTGGAGGCGCTTGGGTCGAGCAGGCCATTGTACAACACTAAAACAATAGAATCTGCAGCTCTCAGTGTCGTAACAAACCATCTAAAGTCCATAGTGCATGTAGAAGTACACGAGATCGTTTCCAAAATTGTTCCTATCAATGCATTCTTGATCCACCAAAGTCGTGTCGTTTGGTTTTCTAGAATAGTCACTTATAATTGTATAAAAATTGTAAATAATTTCATGAAAAGAAGTATACTTAAGTGGTTAATCTTTGTTAATAAACATTTTTATTTTGTTTTCAAAGCTTAACCACAAACGTTGTTCTACGTAAATTATTTGTGTGAAAAACAAATGATTTTAAAGACGAATGGTATTAGAAAACATTTTCGCCCTGAAGCACCTTGCCGTCCTTCGTAGGTACGCTACTGTTACAGCCACTTACGCGGTAGTAATAACTCTACGTTGTCGTTTCAAACTTTAGTTAGTTGGCGAATATCGTCGGGAGAGGTTGTGTCCTCTGTCTGTCGGATCGTTGATTGGGACAAGTGTTCGCGACTTGTAGTTATGTTGATACTAATGGAACCATAATATTGAATTGTTTATGGCATTAGGAGATTCACGAAAATTTTTAGACAGTGCCTCGAGATACTTGTTGGCATGCTGGATTTAAAGTGGCGCGCGCGACGAAATCATTTTTAACAGTTGGCAGGACTGTTCGGAAAATTCGGAAAGTGAACAGGTGTTTTTTGAATGGATTAGGGAGAGTAGACGACGAGGACGCAAAAGGATTTGCGAATGGTGAAAGATCGACGAACGGCGCGATATTTGTGATTAAACAACGGTTTTAAAAATGCATTGGGATTCATGCTCGGATTTAAACTGTTACGGAAAATGAGGTGAGTGTCAGGAACGTAACCTGTTTTTATTCGGAGTAACCTTTCCGATGCCGAAATGGTAAATACACGGTTGTTGACGTTTTAATGGTTCTTTAAGGAAAGATCCAAACAAGTTTTTCACGTTGAAAACATTTTTAGACCGCTTCCGTTGATAAGAAATTATATTACACGTATTATATGGACATGCGTAAATATATATGTATATATGTGTAACACATATATATGTAAAAATAAAAAGAGAGAACAACATAATCTTTAGATTTTGATATTAATATGCTTTTAGAAATGATTAGAATGTTCCATTTTTAACCAATTTTTTATATATTACATCATTTTTGCTTGTATCTTTCTTCTGTATGTAGAAATCTAGATTCTCTTGTGTGGTTAGATGTATTTTTAAAGTATTTTACTGTCTGCTTGCAAAATTTTTGCAGCATAGGGTTTGCGTGCTATTGTGTTTGCTTCATTGGTATCATTCAGTGTAACGTATTCGCGTTTCTATTCTTAGTGCATTTAATTAACAGTCAGAAGTAACACGTGCACTATAGTCAGGAGACTCATGTTAGGAGGTACACTAGAAATTGATAGTTTGCATTTTCATGCAGCATCATGTTTTATACGTGCTTAATCATTTCTTTGAACTATTTGTTATAGTAAACCTTTCATTTTTCTCAATGAGAAGCAGAGGAAATATTTCATTTAATAATTGGAATCTTCAAAAAATTGTGCAGGAAATAGCACACTATAAACAACAGAATGTCTTTGTATCAGCAAATAGTGCACACAATCGTATAGATCCAACAAACAAGGGTGATTTAATTCATGCAGGAAAAATGAGCTCAGCTTGGTTCCCACAGTGCGTACGTGCGTTTCCTCTTTCCTGTACTAAGACTAGCAATTCTTGGTAGCTAGTTTAGAAAGAGACAGCCTGAGTTAATTACATCTTCCATCGTGAAAAACAAAAATGTTTCTCACATCAAAGCTTTCAGCGAGCAGACTCTTAAGGTTCCATGTCTATTCAAACTCTTGCAACTAATAACACAGTATTGTTCTACCGTTTTACTGCACAGTATTAGAATATTTTCTGGAAATTATGCCTGGCTTTCTAGAACAAATTGGGGTATTTGTTTCCTGAGTTCCTAATATTTTCATCGAACAACCTATTTGCTTTTTCTCATTCGTACTAGATTATATATTTATGTTTTTTTTTTTTAAATATTAAATAACGAAATATTTCAAAGGAATACGCACGCGATGTGAAGAGGTCTGTAGAACAGTTGTCCACTGAATGAAATTTATTCCAGGTACAAACGGGGGACGCAATTATGACGTGCACAGATGACAAGGATAGGACACGGGCGACCTAGTGATTCTGTGGTTCGATAGAGGGAATAGAAACGGAAGTTAAATATGCCACACCAGTTTGGATTGCCCACGATGGCGCATGGAATGCAATCACCTCCTTCGCCGACCTCGGTAATGTCGGTTTATCCTCGTTTCGGATCCGGCGTGTACAGACCGGACCACCAGGACCAGAGATTAACGCGCGAGGCGATGGAGCGTTATTTGCGCGACAGAAGCGACATGGTGATCGTGATCCTTCACGCGAAAGTCGCCCAGAAGTCGTACGGGAACGAGAAACGGTTCTTCTGTCCGCCGCCGTGTATCTATTTGTTCGGGGACGGCTGGAGGATGCGACAGGAACAGATGCTTCGCGAGGGGGAGACCGAGCAATCGGCGCAGCTATGCGCGTTCATCGGAATCGGTAATTCCGACCAGGACATGCAGCAATTGGATTTGAACAATGGCAAACAGTATTGCGCCGCGAAGACATTGTACATTTCCGACTCTGACAAGAGGAAGCACTTTATGCTCTCGGTGAAAATGTTCTACGGTAGCGGACACGATATAGGGGTATTTCACAGTAAACGGATCAAAGTGATCTCGAAACCGTCGAAGAAGAAGCAATCGTTAAAGAACGCCGATCTGTGTATCGCGAGCGGGACGAAGGTGGCGTTGTTCAATCGTTTGAGATCGCAGACGGTGAGCACGCGGTATCTTCACGTGGAGAACGGTAATTTCCACGCGAGTTCGACCCAATGGGGCGCGTTCACGATACATCTGCTGGACGACAACGAGAGCGAGTCGGAGGAGTTTCAAGTTCGGGACGGGTACGTGCATTACGGGAGCACGGTGAAGTTGGTATGCTCGGTGACCGGAATGGCTCTGCCGCGTTTAGTGATTCGCAAGGTCGACAAGCAGATGGCGAGCTTAGAGGCGGACGATCCCGTTTCGCAGTTACACAAATGCGCGTTCTATATGAAGGACACGGATCACATGTACCTCTGTTTGTCGCAGGAACGCATAATACAATTCCAGGCGACACCGTGCCCGAAGGAGGCGAATAAAGAGATGATAAACGACGGCGCCTGCTGGACGATAATCAGCACCGACAAGGCTGAGTATCAGTTCTTCGAGGGTATGGGACCGGTTAGATCGCCGGTAACGCCGGTTCCCCTGGTGCACAGTTTGCATTTGAACGGCGGCGGTGACGTGGCGATGCTCGAATTAACCGGCGATAATTTCACCCCGAATCTTCAGGTATGGTTCGGCGACGTAGAGGCCGAGACCATGTACAGATGTCAGGAGAGTATGCTTTGCGTGGTACCCGATATATCGCAGTTTCGTGGCGAGTGGCTCTGGGTCAGGCAACCGACTCAGGTACCCGTCTCGTTGGTTCGTAACGACGGTATCATTTACGCGACCGGTTTGACCTTTACCTATACACCGGAGCCAGGACCACGGCCCCATTGTCCACCCGCGGACGAGATCATGAGAGCTCCGCGTTCCATGCACAATCAGGCCAGTATGCCGCCCGCGATCGCGGACGTACCGTGGAATACGCATCAACCGCCTCAGCCGGGTCTCTGATGTTTCCTAGACAATTACACTGTGCATCACCAAAGTTTACGGCCCAGTGAAACGAACGCCGTCCGTCGGACCGACGACGATAACAACAACGACAACCACAGCACCGACAACGAGGACGTTCCGGTCTCTGTCGATAACGAGCCGACGAACGTGAACGGTACCGGGACGGCGGCATTCACAGCGAAAGACTTGTTGCTACGGGTCGATCGTGCGGCGACGCGTTTAGACAATACCAAGATGACGTAGCATACTTTTCGTCGCGTCCATTTTAATCCCCCTATCGCGGAAACGTACCCTATTCAAGTAGCACATGACGCCTAATGACGCCTTTTCAATACGGCTTAATGGCGCCATAGACCTAAAGTAGCCGTAAAATGGACGTCTTCAAGGCGTCATGCGGTATCTGGATATCCGGATCCGAAGTTCGAGGTACCGCGCTTGAAACAGAAGCTCCAAATTCCATATTTCGTGTACAGTGTGCCGTGTGTCCTTTACCCCTGATGTTCATACCGCAATCCTACCCGTAGGTTCTTTAGCTTTAAGTGTTGATACAGATTTACACAGAAACAGAGTGAGTGAGTGAAAGAGAGAGTGAGAGTAAGAAAATAATAATTTATAGCACTATTAGGATTAAAGAAGCTTTCTACGAAACGTGAATGTTTTTTAGCTAATTGCGCGACGCAATAACCAGAGAAGACGAGAAACGCGGCGTCGGGACCCTCGAATTTTAACGGCTCAGTCCGTGCACCGTTGCATATCGATGATCGCTAAAAATAAGTTGATATCTCACGTCGATTACTTGCATTCGTTCGGGAACGATACGTCAAGGTTGTCGGGAAAATCATTTTTATCTTCGACTCGACTGCGATACCGGAAGTGTCGCGAGTAGCGTGCGAAACGATTAAAACGCGTATACGTGTACCGTTTACTTTCTCGCGCGTTTTTATTTGGATCCAATTTTGTACAGTTGTACCATAGACGAGGTATAGGAGTAGACATTTCATCGAATGTATTTTTTCGGCCCAATTTTCCATTTTAGTGTCACTACCCACCGCAGATTCACCGTTCTCGTAACGTAGAGGTCGCTAAAATCACTGGCTTTTTAAGGTGTCGGTATTATAGGTGGAGCATCAACTCCCATAAGATGAAAAGTCTATTCTTATACCTCGTCGATGCTTGTTCAGACGACTTCGAAAACGGTTGCGTCGAGAAGTATTCTCGTCGATCGATAGTCGATTTCGAATTTCTTTGTAATTCTCCGATCACCGTTAACTTACGATATTTTACGTGGAAATCGACGTATGTATCGGGATAACGGTCAAGACTATATTACGTTAGAGTCACGTGTAATTTCGACGAAACGTCTGAATTAGTTTGATGAAAACTAAGGATAAAATTGTAGGATTATCGTGAGAGAGAGCATAAGTCGTTGAAGTCCTGTCGAAATAACGAATTGCATACACGAATCGACTTCACGCGATTACAATCACCGAGTGTCGTGTTTTCATATTGGCGTGACTTTATTCCCAGGTTTCATGTCATTTCGTTAGTAAAGCGGCATTTACACTAGACAATTTTCGATCGGCCGATCGAGTCGTTCGATTAAAAGGTTTACACTATACAAGACTTCGTCGTTCGACTCTTTTATTGCTTAAGATGGTTAATAATATGCTGAGTTGAAAAAAATCATTAGTCGCAAAATTAACAGAAAAAAAACGTTGGGTTAAAGTAAATGAATAATCGGCGATAAATTGTTCGCACGGACTTCATTTTGTCTTTCATACTAGCAACAATCCTCCTAAATTCATTTTGTTTTATTATTAATTCCATTGCGGTTTTTTTAAATTTAAATTCTTCTATGGATTACTCGGATATTCCGTGAATTCCAATCTAATTTAGACACTTTCGTCCGTCTCAGAGCGATGTCATGAAACGACAGTTGAAACTAGATTGTTCAGCCAAAAGTAGACCAACTTTTAGTTGAACGACTAATTGTCGTTTCGACTTGGTCGAAATCTTGTTTACACGGGCGACTTCGAACAACTTCAAGTCGATCGACCAAAAGTTGCTTAGTGTAAACGCCGCTTAAGACACCGTGGTCGGTTGTCAACTTATCGACATACCGGTTTTCTAGAAGTCGCTTATCCATTGTAAAGACTGAAGCGCGCAGATTTAACGAAAGTACGCGCGCATCGGTGCGTTTCGAAGCGGACGAGAGAGAGAGATAGAGAAAAAAAAATAGAGAATCTCCGCGTATACGTTCTAATGTCTCTCTATGTTTTACAATAAATTAGAAAGAATTTCTAGAATAAAGCGTGTGCTTCGTAACCTCTGTTACTTCCAGATCCCAAGATTAGAAAACGGTCGATTGAAAAAAGGAATGCTCGTTAACGTTGTTCAATTGACCTGTCTGCGAAGTGTGCAAAGTATAATACGCGGTCTGATCTTTTCTTACCTGTGAAAAGAAGAAAAAAAACCGATTTTTGTGCAACACAGAAATGCAAGAGACTATGAGGGGCTAAATGTGGTTCGTTTCTTGACTTCTCGACATCATCGAATCGGTACGGGCTTTTTTCCTAGATACCATCGAATATAATTATCTGCAGCCGGAAGCGAGATAGGATCGCTTTGGGAATTGTCTTCCTGAAGAGATCCATTGTGGAAAGAGGAATGTCGGTATATGTATTCCATGGGAATTTACCCACGATTAAAATTTGCACCGAGTACCTGAAGAACACGATTATCTTTATTCACAGTAATAAATTGCGTCTTAATAGTAAGTACATCCTTACACGTGTGTATCATTGGACGGATGATCAACGAACAATCATTGCGATTCGTTGTATCGGAAAAAAATTATTTTTGTTTTCTTTCTTATTTCGAATACACAAGTACGTCACGTGCGTGTAATTTCATAGTGCTCAATTTTTTTCGGAAGGAATGTTTCGTCGACTTTGGGGATTCTTGTTCGATCGGAATCGTTTCAGTTACGGTAAATATTCGAATCTCTCGACACGACGGAATACGTTTGAGCGTGAAAAAAAGAAAAAAGAAATCTTTAATTACATCTCCTATATATTAAAATAATATTTTACAAAAACTATATGAGAATCTTATTTGTAAATAAATCATATACAATTTTTTCAGCTAATCATTTGTGTACACGTGAATCAACGGTTTCCTTCATCTTCTGCATTATTGTGTGACAAACGAAATTTTTCTGTTGTGTGAAATTTCCAAAGTTCACGTATATAAAGTTTTTACGATTCTTGGAATGGGGGTCTGCTGACGATGAGAAAAACAAAAAGGGGAATGCTCGCCTAATGTTTTCTGTCATAATTCTGTACGAGAAATCACGTTTAGCGTGTAACGATGGATAAACGGTCGCGATCGTTGTCGTCACTGAATATATAATATCTTGTGTGTCGCGTTTGGTGACTCGTGAAACATCGGAGAAACACAGTCACGGTTACTTTATCCGTATCGTACGCTGTTTATTCATATTCGTGAGCATCAGTGAAATATACGAGGTTAACAGATCGTCCATCTTGTAGCCGAGCGAGGTTTCGCACAACAACTTGGAACCACGCACTAAGTTCCCGATGGTCATATGGAAATAAGTGTTGCCCGACGACCAATTTGAGATTCTGGTGAAAGGATGCGTCACTAGTATATCCTGAAACACAATTTTATCGTGAAACTAGTGTAATCGTCGGTGTCAATGTTGCACATTTTAAGGAACCGCGCTTTTTTCCCACCTTCGTCTGCGGATGTATCAGGCTCACTCCGTGTTTGTTAATCGCAATTAATAACAGCTCGGGATAATTCGGTTCCGTGCTTTGTTTAACTTCGAAGAACGCCGAACCGAACGTCGGCCATCGGTAAACGATTTTCAAGAACGTTATCTTAGCATCTTCTGGACTCATTCCTGTCACACGTACAAGAATTTATTAGATACTAAACCATGTATCAGTGTACATTCACGAGCAAACTCTGCTTCCGCTAGGGGAAAAAGTGACATAGGGGAAGCCCTCCTACTACTTAGTAAATTTATTTCAAGTACTGAAATAAACATTAAAATGTATGTTAATTTCGCATAAATTTCAGAAACTTTCGAAACCAAATGGTAGAAGGCCCTTTCCTTACGCCACTTGGTATCGGGAATTACCGAAATTTATGTTAAACTAACGTTCGATTCAACATTTATTTCAGTACTTGAAATAAATTTACCAAGTGGTAAGGGGTCTTTCTCTTACGCCATTTTTTCTCCCTAGAAAGCCCTAGTTTCTATCCCAAATTCTATCAATAACTCACCAGCATCCTGATTGTAGGCCGCGATTATCGATCTCTTCCAATCGTTGGAGCTTTGTATCTTTACAAGATCACCGGGTATAAGTTCTCTCAACATTTGTCTGAAAACGGATGGAAATTTCAAATAACTTATACAAGTTCCTTCGTTCGAGAAACTCTCGTTATGAGCGTGGTTCACTTACGGAATCGCTTGAAGTTCTTGCTTGCTCTCGCCGAAACGAACTCTGTACACTAACGCTGCCAGTCTCGATGCTTCTTCTTTAGTGCATTTATGATACCCTGTCGCCAAGAGGAGTAATAAGTAACGTTCGCAGAATACCGTAGCCATACGTCTTAGTAAAACACAAACACCTCAAACCACGAAATTTACCTCTTAACAATTTCGGAAGCTCCTGATGGAAATGGAAAATGAGATCGGCGTTTCTATCCTTGCCGGGGACGGTGTTGGTCCATAACTTTTTCATGAAGAAGACTTGGTAGGTAAATTGGGGCGACACGCCTGCAAAAAATAAAAGAGTTATGGGACTGATTCGGAGATATAAATATCGTTGTACAGTCTATTATCGTAAAGAAATCGTAATCGCCTACGCACCGTCACGGGACGGCCGAGCCTTCCTGATCCAATCCGTCAAATGTCGTACAAAATCGAAGAAGAAATCGCCTTCCGGTACCGAGATCACTTTGTCCGCAATTTTCACGAACAAGCTGAATCCTTCCGCGGACCTTAGATTAAGCCTTTGCGCGATATTCTGGCAAAAGTCCTTCGCCCTCGTCGACGAGTCCACCTCGAACGCCTGGGGAACGAGAAACACGATGAAATCGCGAATCGTTTTCTTTTATACAGTAGGCTCGCGTTAACGTATCGCTGCGGGGCCCTTGAGGCGGGTTTATCCAGGAAACGCTACTTCAACGTGAGCCAATGGGCACGCAGGATCTCGTGGCAGTTCGGTCGATCCACCAATTGGATCAGAACTTTCGTTAAAGATGGCGACCGGAGCTAGGGCGTTCCTACCGCTACTTTAACGCGAGTCTACTGTACAAAGATATAGTCAAGGCAACGCACCTCGTCCGTGTCGTCTGGGAAATAGACTTTGTGAAATATCTGAGTGGTTTTGTGCTGTATAGCCTCGACTTCCACTTGATGCGGGGGATATTTCCGTTGGCCGTTGCGCAATGTTTTTTGCAGTCTTTGCAACGAGTCCTGGGATATGGGGTGCCGTCTCGTGCGCAAAAACAGAGTCAATTCCTGGAAGAGTATAAACGGTAGGGAGATCGATTAAAACGCGAAACGTGTGCACACTCGTTTCCGTTGTTAGGGTATTCGTACCTTTAAAAGGCTTTGGCTGCAAGTGAAAAGCCCGCTGGCGAGCCACATTAGCTCCCAGCCACGCTCCTCGCTCAAACGGTTTCGGTTGTCGGTGAGCTGTTTCATGATCTGACAGTAGATCTCATCCCGGAGGATCTCGTTCTTCAGGGGCCCGTCGAAGATCAGGTCGGTGTACTCGTTGCCGACGCGTGGTCGTTTGGTCGGCAGGTCGCCCATGTACTTCAAGATCGCGTTGAAAGCGAAACACGCTTCCTCGGCCAGTTCTTCCTTCGATATTAATTTCTTCAGAAGCGGTTGCTTTATCGGATCTCGGGAATGATGCCAGAGCTCGTCGGTGTGCCCGCGACGCGCAGTTGTCAGAGTCAGGGCCTTCGACATTGTCCTCTTTGGAGGGGTTCTACGGAAGATCGGTCGGTTAGTGTGATTTGATCGGTCGAATCAGTTCCCCAATAGTTACCGGAAATGATCGATGGCGTATTCTAGAAGAGTATGGGGTTTGTCTCGAGGCTCTACTCCGTTCACTGGTTGCGGGCAGAGCTTGCGTCCGTTTTCTGTTCCCTCGATGCTGAACAAGGACTACGGAACAAAGTCCAGGAATTTTAAATGCGATCTCATGGAGACGTTTATTTAAGGAACAATATGTTTGTAAACCTCGTCTTACCAGTATATCGTTCGGTGGTTTCGACAGAGAAGGCAAAACGTAAACGGTCTCTGCTGGAAAATCGCCCTTTTCGGTGGTCCTCTCGCAGGTCCCGATGCACCATCCCGAATTGAGGACTGTCTCGCCCGTGCTCTCCTCCTCCAGTACGATAAGATCACCTTTCTGAAAGGTCAGGAACGACGAGCCTTCTCCCGGCGCTTTATAATCCTGCAACGCGATCACGAATTTGCTACGCTTCTTCAGACCCTCCAGAAAGTACACCACCAGGTCCCGGATGTCCTCTGCGTTCGGGCTTTGGAACGTGAACTCTTCTCCCCGGACCGTGGACAAATTGAACGTCTGCGTGAACATCTTGTTCGTTCTGGAAAATTACGAATACGACTGTAGAAAAAAATTCTAAAAAAACGGATGGATATAATCGATGCATGACAAGCGTACTTCTGACTAGATACGGTGGTGATCTCGGGAAAGGACAATTCCAAAAGCACCTGTTCTTGATCGTCCACAACGTACACTCCGGTCCAGTTCACGGCTATGATCACGTCGTTTTTCGGCAGATTCGGGCCTGAATTTCGGTACGCCTCGTAGAAACGTGAAAATAACAACGGCCATTTGAACTTTGCGTAGCCGACTATGTCCTCTTTGACGCGTAACGCGGGTACCTTTTCCTTCAGATAGTAACTCTGTAAATAAAAGAAAATTTTTAGAAGAAAATTTCTCTTGAAAAAGATTCTACAGAAGCAACGACGGATCAAGGGTCTTCAAAAACGCCCATGAATATCAGACATGTTAAAAATTCAACTAGTCCCGGTCTACTTGAACATGATCAGAGATCAATGAACGCAACACAAATCTTCAAGGATACCTTTTTGTACGCTTGCAGAACGAGGTGTCCCCATCGGTCGATCGCCTTCTCGATACCGGTCAAACAGTAGTCCGGTATATAATTCGGCAACAGTGTATACAGCCTGTCGACATTCATATCCGTGTAATATTCAATATAATATTGCTGGGCGGCGATCATCGCCAGATCCTCTTCCTTGTCGCACCGATACTCGCCGAACTTCACCCCTCTGACCACCTGTTGGTAAATTAGATTCGTGGCGACCTGATCCTCGGTGGGCTCGTGCCATGGGGCGAATATCTCCTTCCGGAAGAACAATCGCCACGGTGCGTTACGCTCCTGGGCGCCCTGTTCCTTGGCGTATTGCTCGCACTGCGAGATCGCGTCCATCACGTGATCGCCGCCGCTGCCCAGGGACGAGACCTTGTCGAACAGGGCGATATAAAGTGAGAAACCGAACTGATCCCGTAGGGAGATCTTGTCCGAAAGTTGGTTGCAAAGTTCCCTCGCGGTGGTCGCCGAATCGGCCAGCAACGTCTTCGTGTTCCCGTCCATGAACGTGATCGGTAGCATGATCGGTTTCTTCGACTTCGTCGCCTGCAGCTCTAGCCAACTCGGCGGCTGGTTACGGGTTCCGTTGTTAAATGTTCGTTTCAACCGATCCTCGCAATACGGCGCGTAACCGGGCGGTCCCTCGCGTATGAACGCGCGCAGATAATTGACGAATTTCTCGGACGGGGCGAAACAACCGACGCACAACGACAACAATATCCAGCCGCGTGCGTGCGACGACTTGGACGGGTTGTTCGTCAGTTGTTTGCAGATCTGACAGTAGATCTCGTCCCGTAGCTCGGCACGGAGTATCCCGTGGCCGATGATGAAGTGTAGCTTCTCGAGGTTCGAGGTGGGCCTCGCTTCTAGCCACGACTGATAGCTGTCGGCTGTGTACTCGTCATCCTGGAGCTTCCGTCTGACGTCCTCGCCTAGCTTGTTCTTCCGTTTCAGCGTGAGCGAGACCAGTTTGTGCCGTATCGATCGTGGCTTTTGCCGGAGAAACGTCTCCGGGTCTACGCCCATCATCTGAGCCTCCTGGAACTCTTTGCTACGGATGAAGTTGCGACCCAGTGTCGCCGTGACCTTGGACATCACGGAAGTCGTGTCACGGTCCATAGTGTGGAATCTAGGCTCTGGAAGATCGCCAGTGAAACGAAGTATCGTGATCCAGAGAGCCTGAGCGGCCAGTTGGTCGCCTTGCGTGTGCAACGGCAGTAATGGGTGCTTCAACGGCTTCCTCGAGTACTGATGAGTGATGTTCCCTTGGAAATATGTGGCAGCGAACTTCTGGAACTTGAACTCGGACAGATCCTCCTCGTCCTCCGAGGCGGTCTGAACGGGGCTGATGATCTCCTGTTGGTCCGCCTTCGGCGCTGGTAGATCGTTGAAAACAGACGTTTCCCGAGCGGGCGTCGGTGCTTCGCTGCTAGAATCGGGAAGGAAATCGAACATCGCCTCGACCAATTTGCTGTCGTCGACCGGCTCGTCTTGCTTCTTCGCCGCGTCGTTTATCAGATTCTTCTTTATCTCCATTCGACGCCGATCCTCCAGCTCCATCTCGATCTCCTTCCTCTCGAGCTCCTGCATCCGTTCCCGGTAGTTCTGCTCGGCGATCTCCTTCGCCCTCTTGTTCCCTTGGTCTTTCAGTTCACGTTCCTCTTTCTTCCGAAGCCTGAGAGCCTCGACGTGCAATCGGTACTCGTACTTGGTCTTCTTGTACCGTCTCTGGGCGATCAGACGCCGGACGTGCGCCTGTATCTTCACGATGGCCCACAATTTTTTCTGGAACATTCGGCGCACCAGATAACCCCTGGCTCGTGCCTGCAGGGCGACGATGTGACCCCGCAGATGCCTGAACCGATGGGAAAGTACTCGCGATCTGATCAACGCCTGCAGCCGCATGTAACCGATTCGCATACGTTTGTAACGTTGTCGTTGCGCGTAACCACGCCAATACTTCTGCACGACCGTCGCTGCTGCTCTCATCCGAAGGAATCTTCGTCTGTAGACCCAGCCGCGGATGTTGCGCTGCAGTATCAGAATCTTTCGGGTGAGCACACGGTCGCGTTCTTGCTCCAGGAACAAGTCGTGAGCGTCTTTGAGGAAAACTTTGGTGTGCCCCAATTGATAGTCCGATCTTCCTAGCACCACGTGACATATCTTCGAGGTGGCCGCTCGACAATCCACCTTGTGCGACGGAGGTATACCGGCTATAAGAAATCGATACCTCTCCACGAACTCCGGGAAGGAATGTCTGATCGGATAACCAGCTCGTCGGATACGAATCGTCTCCATCATCCCAGAGTATCTCAGTTGCCGGCAACAGAGCCCTCTGTCGAACATCATCGGTTTCTTGTACTCGTTCGGCTTGATGCATCGGATGAAGAACGGCTGACAGCTGCACAACGTTTTCATCAGCGAGTCCAGAGACTTCTTGAACTGCGTGGACAACGTCGGCGCTCTTTTCCGCGTCTCCGACCCCATACCGATGTCCTCGGCGAAGCAAACTTGTAGAAATTTGTTCGAGGATATATGAATCAGCTGCAACAAGTCGCCGCTGAACGTGTCCCGGTTCTTCTCCAGGAAGCTTCTCGTGTCGTAGAACACCACGCCGGCGAAGTGATTCAATCCGAACGACGTGTTTATGTCCGATTTCGGCTTCAAGTAATTCCGATGGCTGCCGTGGGTTTTGTGTATCTTCGCCAGCATCGTTTGATCGGTGCCTTTCGGGAACTTGGACTCTTCGTCGATCAACGCCATGATGTTCAGCTGTTTGATCGCTATCAGATCCAACGCGTCTTGATTGTCGACGAACTCGATGTGCTGCCAATTGATGCCCTCGTGATTATACTCCTCTTGTTCCAGCTTGAATATATGCTGCACGAAGAACTGCTGAAGATTCTCGTTCGCGTAGTTGATGCAGAATTGCTCGAAGCTGTTGTGATTGAAGTTCTCGAACCCGAATATATCCAGGACGCCTATCGCGCTACGGGACGTGTTCTTCGGCCTGTAAATCGCCTCGTTGATCTTCTTGACGATGTGCACGAACAGCCGTCCGTAGATCCCTTTCACGAACGCGTCCCTGATGTCCACCGATTGCTCCCTGGACAGCGTGGAGACCTGCGCAACGGGTTACGATTTGCCTGGATGGTTAAGCGGGTTTATTTTTCTCTCAATCGAAAGATCGGGGATGCCGCGCGGCGCGAAACCACGATAACGACGCAGAGTTTACTTGTTACTTACAACCGTCTCACCGTGAGCAAATATCGTTCTGCGAGTGAGGGCGTCTATCAACGATTGGACCGGTACACCCAACAGCTGCGCAACACGTTGGACGTTCGTCTGTTCTGGTATTTCGGTGGCGTCCAAATTATCTGGAAATAATCATCGTGGAGTTCAATTCAGCGTGTACGTAATACAATTTCCTATATTCTTAGGTAATGAATCGGTTGATTTGGTACATACCCACGACGGTAGCTCTGTACTTGACGTTCCCCATGTGCAACAGAGCGGCGAGCAGCTTCAGAACTTCCCATATTTCCGTGTCAGAAAACAACAGAACCTTCATCGCCGATCGAATGTCCGCGAACTCCGCGGCATCGTCTCGACCTTCGCACGTGATGCTTCCACCCTGAAAGAATAGCAATTAAGGTAAAAGTTTAAGAACGAATAAGGTAGAATAACTCGTACGATAAAACGAAGACCACCGGAGACCTTACCCCTGTCAGATATTTGTACGAAGACGCGTCCTCCAGCTCCAGTTTTTGCTTCTCCTCTTTCGAGAGACCGGCCAGCATGCAATAGAACACATGGTAATTTCTCTCGTCCAAACTTTGCGAGACTATCCGGGACTTTTCCAAAAGATACTGCTCTATCTTTGCCCCCTCTATGACGCCTTGCTCGTTAAAGTGAATATCGATGTACTTTCCGAACCGTGACGAATTGTCGTTTCGTACCGTCTTCGCGTTCCCGAAAGCTGCAACGCACGAGAGATCGAGGTCAACGATTTTTCGCGCCCATTCTGTCGATGCTTGAATCTTATCATGCCTGTTTTTTTTTTTTTTTTTTTACCTTCTAAGATAGGATTCGCTTCCAAAATTTGCTGTTCGATCCACGAATGCTTGCCGCTGATCGCTGCCAAATATTGCAAAATTAATTTCGTACTTTCCGTTTTGCCGGCTCCGCTTTCGCCGCTAAGACATAAACATTCGTAAATTTGACATGTCGCTCCGACACGTGGAACAGGAGGGATGGAAGATCGGGGGCTTTCGATCTCCTATGGATCGGTGATCTGAGCTCCATACTTTAAGAATCACTCGATGTGGATCGAAGGTGTACAACAGAAATTCCTAAAAATAACTTCTCCCTTAACTGACTCGCCCATGTCTTTTTTCTGTCGTGAATATAACCCTATGTCCAGCGACTTTATACTTATACTTTATACTTTGTACTCTATACTCTATACTCTATTTTAAAGCAGTTTTTTTAAGGCAATATTTCATACTATATTGTATATTTTGTATTTCTCTCATGTAACAAAAGGAACTTCCTCTGTATATCTCTCTGGAGGAGCCCAGGGGGTGAAATGTAGGGGTAAGGGGGCCAAGTATTCGATCTTATACCTGATCACTATACACTGGTCTTGTCCATATCGGTTCATATGCGCGTAACTGTTGTCACCGATGGCGAATATATGGGGCGGCAGCTCGCCGATTTTACGATCCTTGTACAGTTTTATTTGTTCCGCGGTGTAAATCGGCAGTATCTGATACGGGTTCACGGCTACCAGAATCGAACCCGTGTAGGTCTACGAAAAAACAAAAGACAAAAACAATATCTTAGAGTTCCCCTTTATCGGAACCGTTCTACAGTCGGCTGGATCGATCTTCATGGATAGATCGCGGATAGGACAAGTTTATAGGGGTCACTCACGTATATAAGGTTCTCGTTGTATCGTATCAGCAAATTTCGTAGGATACCCGCTTCATGGAGGTCTCCTAAACTGATCATATCCTCGACACCTTGCACAGACGTGGCGTGCATCGCTTTTATTCTTCTCTCCGGAGTCAGCCATTGTTCCTGCGAAAACGTTAGCTTTCGTTTGTCCCGCGCATTTCTTGAAAGTATTATACATGTAATGTATGTATGTACGTGTACAGTGAGAGTCAAAAGTGAGTATACATTTTGGAAGTATGGGATTCATTCATATTTACTTCACTCAATTTATAATCTAACATTTCACATATATGCTGTATTAGACCGAGAGCTAGTGACTGGAGAAGGACTTAACTGATAGTTAGAAAATTTTCTGGTTATATCTTCGAATTTTTTGGCTCCCTATTCAGCCTGAAAATGTTAAAAAAAAATCGTATCAAACTGTATCAGTGTCATGATCTTACTATAGTAGGATGCTACAGAAATATTACACAAACCTCACCCTTGTAAGGTGTATACTTAGTTTTGACTCTCACTGTATATTCGAAATCGTCGGGGCTGCGCGGCGCGCCGTACACTTTCTCGCGTTTCGAAGCACAAGGACTTTCCGATGAATCGAGAAACGACGGCGGCGCAGCAGCAGCGAACACGGAAAGTAGGTAACGATTTACCTTGTTATCGTCGTCTTTCACTTGAATCCGTCTGCCCTCCGCGGAAACGACTCTTGCCCCGATCGCAACGTCAAATTCCCTCCCTGAGATTGGTTCGATCCATATGTAGTCTCCCTGCAAATGAATTTTTCTGTAAGAGTGTACAATTCGATCGGTATCTCCGATTTTCTTCAAACTTTAATATGTTCAAAGGGATCCTCTAAAAAGGCAAAATATCGTATTAGAAAATGTCGCAAACAATTTTTAAAATTATATTTTTTTTTTATTAAACTATCTCCAACCAATTTGATCAGTATACTTTCTTTGAAAATAAACAATTAAACGTCTTTTTTACTGTTTATAGCTTATGTTGATTGACTTGAAATTAAAGGTACATATAAACGTTTGCGACACTTTTTAAAATGATACTTTACCTCTTTAGACAGCCCCTTTCAGCATATCTTATGGCAGTTGGTGGCCCACCTAAACTGTAGTATCGACACCTTAAAAAGCTTGCGATTTTAGCGACCTCTACGTTATAAAAACGGTGAATCTGCGGTGGATACTGACACTAAAATGGAAATGGGACGACGTACGTTTTCCGTGGTAAAACGAATCCAGAAATCAAGGTGACGAAAAGACGTTTACCATCGAGTGACGCGTGCACAGCGAGCTTGACCTGATTGAAGCCGAAAGCTGGCCGTCAGTGAACGCATTAGCACGCGCCCTAACTGTAAATCATTTGGTTACTTGGATCCACAATTACTCGATACCATCTATGATTACTAATCAAGCAACCGGTGACACACGTTGTTAAATAATAAGTAGATCAACGTTCCTGGGCGGTTTCTTATTTTCCCGACTCGATCGATTCGCGCGGACGAAAAGGAAAGGAAGACGGATAGGGGAGACCGGGGTTAAAAGTATTCGTGAAAATCAAAAACTGTTACTTTCTACCCAGGGTCTTCCCTACCTTGTCAAGTCGCCTCCCATAGTCGAACTTGACGATCCGCCGTTGTTTCCGCGGTCGATAATGGAATTAGATGAACAGACGGCTGGGTGGGTATTGCTCTGGCTTCTAGGCAGGGTTTAACGCGAAATTTGATCGTCGCTGGTGCTCAGTGAGATAAAAGGTTTTACCCTTTCCAAGCCGTTCCAGCATTTGCATACGTATAACTCCTGAGCCGGCGCTGTTCTCGCGGCGAGCACGACTCGTTACGGCGAGAAAAACGAAAGAAAAAAGCCTTTAGGAAGATACGGTTCACGCGAGCGAGCAACGCAAACCATTTTCTTTTTACGCTCGACTATCAACGAGACGAGCATCATCATCGAAAAGATCGACCAAGAGACGAAAGAATGAGAACCCCTGGGCCCTAGACTATGCCTCCGCGAACGCCTCTATACGAGCGCACAGGTTGCGTCTGGATATATTCGTATACGTTCCGATTGTTCACCTCACCGGAACATAGGAAGAGCTCATCCGCTCGTTAGTACGAGAAGAGCCGCCTTTGGCCCGAATAGTCCCTTACTTGCAACGCGATTTTACTTTCGGTGGCTGGGTCGTGTCGGTTCACGAAAACGAAAAATCATCCACACGTTGCAGTCGGTCGTTAATGTCACTTGAGCGTCATCGTTGTCATCCGATAGACAGCTACATACGCATTCTTTCGCCGAGAGAAACAGCTTTTCCCGATGGCCACGGGCGACAGGTGCAGCGAGATCTGTCGGAATTATCTCGAAACCGGACACGTTGAACGTTCGACAAAAATAGGGAGGGTAAATGCTGGGCTCGTGCGATGTAATACCACAGAGGAAATATAAGAATAGACCTAACATGCAATGCAATTTTCTGTTCCATGCTTTGGGGGCGTCTGAAGCCCCCGTAACATTTCAGTATTCCATTCCTTGCTAGCAAAACCAGGGCATTAAGTACCCTCACGAGCAAACTCGGCTTCCGCTAGGGGAAAAAGTGACGTAAGAGAAGGACCTTCTAACACTTGATAAATTTATTTCAGGTACTGAAATAAATATTAAATCGAATGTTAATTTAGCATAAATTTCAGAAACTTCCGAATTCAAATGGTAGAAGGCCCGTTCCCTACGTTACTTTTTCCCCTAGTGGAAGCCAAGTTTGCTCGTCGGTATATGTATGTATCGCTATATACACTCACGGGTGTGTGTGTGCTGTGCGTTATACGGGTGTCGAACGTAGTTAAACTAAAAAACCAGCGTGATTTTCGTGGGACACCACAATCTCATAACATGTTAGGTCTATTCTTATATCTTGTCTGTGGTAATACCCAGTCGGGGAGAGAATAGCGTATAGAGTCGATGGTAGAAACGCGTGTCCGGTAAAACGATTCGCGTCCCGTTATACGACGGCTGGTTTGCTCGCGCGAAATGCTAACACACGGTGTGTGCGCGCGCCTGCGTGTGTGTACAGGGCATTCGCGAAGCGACGAAGGACCGTTAACTATGTCTAATTAACTGACCATTCGCCTCGATATAATACCTTTCGCGGGCGTCGCCGAGCCGATCTTGTTGCATGCAGAGCATTTCTCCAGTCACGCGTGTTTATCACCAAGTCTCGTTTCGACCTCTAACCGCGTGACGCGTTCGATTCCGGCGTTTTAAGTCCGGGGAACGACCGGCTGACGCGACGGACCACGTTAAAGGTACGTTTTCACGTGACAGTGAAAGTCATGGCTTTTGTTGTCGTGACACGGTGCACGATAATACGTACCAATGTCACGAGAACGTGAACATCTAGTTTACAAGAGGACGAAAGTTGTAACATTTCGTGTCACGAGTAATGATTAGACTGCGGAAGTTTATGCAAATTCGGAATTTCCAATAGGAATATCTAAACATTTAAATCCAGCAGAATTTGGAATTTTGTACTACAAGCTTTACTACGTTAATAATAATATATGAATAGTATTGAAATTTATTAGAATCTTTATTTTATAGGCGCTATAAATTCATAAACAGTCTAGTCATGCTCTGCTGTCACGTGAAAACGCACCTTAAGGGAGCATGCAACCGTGCAAGCATTCATGCGTACGCACCAAAATCGAAACGAAACGACATAAATACAAATTCTACGCAAAAACTATTTGCAACTGGTAAACGGGACACACCGAGAAAACACAAACAACGAATAAAAGACAAGCATGAGGAATTTTACGTACGTTACCCACGCGGTTACGAACCGTTTAGCTATCGACCATTTTCTCTCGTCATGGACGCGTTCCACTTTCATCGTAGACGAAAATACGGACGCACCTACAGATAAACGTGCATATAGAAACGGTACGTGTCGGATGTCACCTAGATCAAAGATGTTTTTTCCCGGATGATATATCGTGGCGGAGAAACGGTCCCGAGAAGTCGCCGTGAATCGAAGGTGAACCGGTGTCGGTCTTGTTCTTGCGCGACTCATAAATGAAACATTCAGTGCTGATACTGTATCGATCTTTCCTCAATCACTGTTGTTTTCGTTGGATGGTATTATATTACAACCGTTCAACGGAAGAACGCGTCGGACCAAACCGACTGAAAAATCTTCGGGAGGCACGTGTGTCCTCATGAGCGTAGCCACAAGGGGGGCCCTTCCCCCCCCTGGACAAAAAAAGTGGCTTTTGTACTATAAAAGAAAGAAATTGGATTTTACCACTCCTCCCCATAGAAGAAAACAAATTGGAATTTGGCCCCTTTTCCCTGACGAAAAAAATTGCTTTGCCCCACCCCCTCGACTGATTACCTGGCTACGCCCATGCGTGTCCCCCGTGACGTTTCACACGGAGCAAAGGAATTTCAACGTCGCCAACGTTGCATCGCGGTCGCGTGTCGTCGGTTCGTTCGACTTCGTTCATTTTCACTTGTCACAGATTCCCACTGACCTTGTCGTCGACGAGAACATCAAACGGAACCGGTAACGACGCGTCCCGAGATACTGTTCGATAAAAGCGCGACGAATCGACCGTTGTTCGCGGGGGAAATACGCGCGGATGCAAACGAAACAACACGACACTTACCCGCGTGACGATGACCATCTCTCAAGTCGTGGTTGTCGGCACTCCGCCTGAAAGAAAAGCAACCGTTGTGTGTTTTGTTTTTTTTTTTTTCGTTCTTATCGTTCGTTCACGCCTCTGACAGAAAAGGAAATACATATTTATACACACGGAACACTTGCGTTACCCAGGCCCGAATTCAAGTTTCTTAGGCCCGGCGGTATCGAACTTTCGTGGACCCCCTTGGTTAAAAAGCGTGGGGGGAGAGGGAACAATTTTTTTTAATAAAACAGACAGTAAAGTTAAGTACATAAATCTTTAACAATTGGAATTTATTCTAAATAAAATTAAATAACTATTTTTAATTATTCATTATTATTATTTTTAATATAAAAATATATATTTCTAGTTCCGATTTATTTCAATTTCTAATTACTTCAAAAGGGAAACAAACAAAATTTCATTCGATTATTTTTTGCTAGAAAGGGCCCCCCCTGCAAAAGGGGGGCCTGGGGCTGTAGCCCCCTAGCTGGTGTTACCGATCATTCGCGACGATTCACTGGAACGCGCAATATTTCGAGGAATTGTGCTAGGTTCGATCACACATTCCTTAGATAATACCTGAAATCTCGCGAACCCGCGATGTGTTCGCGAGAATTCCGCCCGAATAGGTCGCGACACGCGGCTTCGTAACTGCCAGGGCCGCGCAGTTGGCGGATGTCCCCGGCTACGGACGCTGTTGCGTCTGAACATAATAGATGGCCCGCGCTCTCCACGGTCTATCTATTCGGGGAAAAATCATTCCGGCATACACGAGACGATGATGTCCGACCGATCACCGTTACAGTGGAAGCAGCACAAGCATAAACCTGTTCGCAAAAGTGGGTTAGGCAGTTTCTGCTGCTACCGTCGAGAGGCTACGAGAACCGTCCATCGAGGATTCTCGCGACGAGAGATATCGATCTCTCTTTTTCCTTCCCTTATCGATAGGCACAACACGCGAATAAATAACACGGCCAGACGGGATCGGAATCGAATCGCGGACAGTCGAATCACGGTCGCTTTTTAACACTAGAACTACCGACGATAAACGCATATTTGCTTCGATCGGTGGTGAAAAACTTTTGAAAATTTAGAAATTTACTAATTTCTTCAGTTTCATATCGTAATAAAACGTGCAGAAGATCTGAGAAAATGTATTGTCAATGTATTGAAATGTGTGTAGTGACAAGTCATTTTGACTTGCTTGGTAGTTCTAGGGTTAAACTCGATAGTCCGAGGATCGATCGAACGCGACCCAGGTTGCTGCGGTTTACGCGTCGCTGGCGTCAATTTCGTTCGAACGAAACACAAGCAATGGATTTGCTTCGAATTAAGCTCGCACGAGTGACTCCGTGGGTCGACGAACCGATCGATGACCGGTGTGTATATAGTATACATACAATTTCGTTTCTTGCGATGCGGCAATCTCGAAAGTTTTCTGTAATTTTCCCCCGTAACCAATGAAAGCATCGGGCTGTGTTGTGCGTACCCGCTAGACCGTGACGATAAGCTCTCGATTAGATTCACGCCGGTCAATGTATTTCTTTTTTTTTTCGATACAATTTTGGAATCAAGAAACATGAAAACGTGTTTTCCCCTTGGAACGTGAAAGACGCGCGAAGAACGTGGAGAGGAGTCGCCAGTCATTGACGTTGAAAATATTTGGAGAACGACGGACCAGTGGCGTAGCGCTCGGAGACTTTAACGGGTGATCAAACGAGAACGCGTGACCGCGTCCCATCGGCGATACGACGCGCGCCTCCTCGTGTGTCTATTCCGATTCGGATCGGAAATTTCATTTTTCAACGATACAGTTCGTTACAGATCGTCGAACTAGGATCCAATGTCTTCCATTCGTACGCTTGTCTCGAATCATTGGCTCCTTCTGTCAGAATCGCTTTCCACGTGTGCACTAGGGGAAAAAGCGGTGAAGAAGAAAAGTCTCCTACCGTCCATTTGATAAATTTATTTCAACAACTAATATTAATGTTAAATTGAATGTTAATTTGGCATGAATTCCAATAATTCCCAATACCAAGTGGTAGGAGGCCATTTCCCTACGTTACTTTTTTCCCTAGTGGAAGCCGAGTTTGCTCGTCAGTGTACTCTTGTTCTTTGATTTTTTCATACGTTCATCGTCGTGAGTAATCTTTTAGAAATTCCTCCCTTATCGATTAAACAATCCCAGAAAGAGAGTGAGAGGTTATCAATTGGAATGTTCGGTTATAGAAAATCGTCTCGGTCGAATCGGTTCGTGAACGTACCACAAGATATCCCAGGTGTACGATCGTTTGGTAAACATTCTACCGTTCTACGTATGGTTGGCCCGACAGATATATGTGTATATATATATATATTACCTTTATCTGAAAGTAACGCTTATCTGGCGTTTCTATTATCGCGCTTTAAATCCCAATGTGCGCGTACGTGTCCGTGATACGATCGCGGTGAAACGCCGTACGATTCCCTCTTCTTCCTTGTCATTAGCATTCCGTCGAACGCGTGTAATATCGCGAAATGTGTAACCGTATGTACGCGAATGAACAAAAAAAAAAAAAAAGTAATTTCGATGGGGACAAAGTTCTTGTACCGCTGGTGCTATACGCGTGAATGATGGTGTCGATCTGACTCTCGTCCTGGGTAATAAAAGTGACGCGTATCGCGTATACTTAATGTCGCCCATCCGATATATTCCAAGGGAAATCGTAGCGGCTAGAGTAGTACGTACATTCGTCCCGAGGAATTGAATATACGTTTACGCGGGTAGTCCAGGAATAAGAAAAATCGTTCTCCCCGTGGCCTGTCGAACATCCGAGGATTCCACGGTGGCAAGGTCGAACGGATGCAATGATATACATACACGGGGAAGCAAGAGAGATTCGAACGTACCTGTGCGAGTAACGAGAAACACGACGAAAGCGGCCTATACGTCGGCACACTCCATTAAGAAGAGGCACTGCACTGCACTTCGGACGCGACGTAAAGCGCGCTTCTCATGTCCGACCGGGACTACTAGATGGATCGGCCGGAGGAGGAAGTTGGCGCTCGTGGAGGCGATTAAACGTGAACAACAACAACAACAACGAAACTATATGATAGAGAACAAATCTGGAATGATTAGGGCACAGCACAACGATAGGAAATGGGACACGAAAAGCAACAGTAATCGTTCCGGAGGATGGGCCACGGTGACCGGCACATTAACGCGTCCACTCGGAGAGATTCGGTTCGAATCGGGCGTGCCAGGTGGAAGCGAAGCGACTGAGAGCGGCGCGGAGGTGGAAAAGCTACTTTGGTCTAGACCAGTGATGGGCAACTCAGCGCCCGCCAAACTCACTAGCGGGCAACACCGTGCAGCATGAGGGCATATGGCAGTGTTGGGGAAATGTGTGAATGAGAGCGCGTATCTATCATTTTCTTCACACACAAATATGTCGTGAATCACGATTCGTGACTCGTGATGTGTCCTGCTTCGAAATCCCTCCACAGGAGTCCGACATCTATCGTATGTTCCCAAGAATGAAAATTTCGACGACAAATGTATGAAACTATTCCATATGAAACTTTGAACATCGTACGGAAGATTTACAAGTTACAGAAGAGGGAATTATTTTTATTGTTATAAGTCTGTATAATATTTAAGCCATGTTTTTTCCTTGATCGATCAAAGACTGCACTCTCTTTACCGATAGAGGCGCAGAGTTTGCATTTACGCTACCGGCCGCGACAAAATACCGCCAAAATCAATTGAAATCTACCGGTGTTTCGTCATTATTTTCGTACCTGTCAATGAATACCATTTATAGATAGCGTGAGGGGAATTACGAACAAGTTTGTGCACGGAGAGGAAAAATAATTGAAATTTGTTGAAATTTCGAATGCGTGTCTTTTGGAGACATTCATTAAAGAAAACAATGGTCGCGTCTAACCAAGAAAATTGCAGATTTCAGACGAATGTACACGTGATTGACACTCTTGCGTTTTCTTTCACGCGTTCAACAACTGCATCGGTAGTTATTGCGGTAATTTTGCGTACGTGCTCGAATGAGACAGGCAAACACGTATCGTTTACATTGAAAATATATTTTCATTTTGTCCGACTTCCACATAAAACGTTATACATACACGTATTGCAGATTGTGAAACTTATAATTACACACTGCTACACGAAACAGTTAATGTTCCAGCAGCAACGATAGCAACATCGACAATGTTATATGCACCATGATTCAACGATCGAGTAAATCATTTTTACATATGAACACGAAACTTCTATCTAACGAGAATAATATACTCTAAATCCAATGATCTTTCCGCGTGTATTTCGATTGGTTCTGTATCAAAATTACAGTATCGTTGTCAGCTCCAGAATCGACAGCAAACGCATCGATAAATAATTCTGATCACGATCCGGAATAACACAGGAGTCAACAATACTTTATTTTACGGTGTCACTGATGCTTTAAGCTATTCGTAAAATTAATCGATTTTATCGTGTAACGCAATGAGACGATACTGAAACCTACATCTGGATTTCGAATATAGCTCCTGAATAAATAGATATAAATTAGACGAAATATATCTCTAATCGTTAAAACATTATTCGTGGATATCATAACAATATCGGTCATGCAATATAACATATTTAATACGCAGCATATAATTAATCTGAAAGCATATATTCTCTCAGTAACATACAAAATGTGTATAATATGCGATGTCGTTTCACAAACAATTCTGAGAACACACGAAACGGTTATGCTAAAAAGTACAGACGAATTTGCTGTAACGGATTCCTTTGCATCAATTGTATTTTTAAATCGAACTGAAAAAAAAAAACAATCGATCTTCTCGTTGTAGACTTTAGTGTATTTCATTAACAAATGCGATTTCTCTTACCACAACTATTTTTGTCGCGAATTAGAGTATGGAAAACAATGATATTTGTTACCCTATACTCCAACACAGTATGTAATTATAACCATCCTCAAGGTACAAGATATGCACACTAGCGTTAAATAGAATTATCATACAGAATTAGAGAAGAAAAAAGGCAAACTATAGAAAGTTAATTTACTACAAACGTTGCGTTTCCTCGTTGTGACAATATATAAAAATTTTATTTTAAAATTATCTGCTACTACTATGGAAGCGCGTTATCACTGTATTTCAATTCTATTGCCTAAATAATTCAAGGAATTTTATAATAACATACATTATGGCATCATCGTGGCGTAAGATCTTTCATATTCCGCGAATTAATTACTGTTACTTTAGCATAACCTGTACCTATTTTTTAAACATCTGAAGAAGTCGATACAATTGATTCCGGCTGTTTTCCTTCGTCGTCGTACAAAAAGTATAGTATGTATTAAACAAGTAGGAATACAAGAAATAGAACGACTAGGATCTATAGTGACTTGTGTTTCTTCTAACTCCTCATTGTGCTAACGATCATAATTTACATATTTTCATAGCTCCCTAAAAATGTTGCATAAATTATTTCAGTTAATATTTAATTAGCAACAATATTCCGAAATTAGTATTTACGTAAACAGGTATCCAATGAAATCAGCCAATGAATAATTACTTAAAGGTAAAGAATTAACAGTGTTTTGCAGGAGTATTATGGAAAAAAAACAGTAATAATATTTTTATAGGCCAAAGAAATTCTCTATGCTCTCGAATGTTTATGAATCGAACAAAAAGAAACTGATCTTCATTTCCTGTACTTTATAATGAAAATATCTTAAAAATTCCATGCAATATAATCTACTTATAATTCTGCCTGCACCTTTTTCTGCTATAAAACCGATCTGTTCGTGACTGTGATCTTTCACGAAAACTTTAACGAAGCAGTAAAGTAATCTCTCATCATAGCGGTTTGACGTAATAATCCGTTATAACAAATTAATATTAAAGTCAGTTTGATTGAAAATTCGAATAACATGTGCAAATTCGAACTTTGGTCATTCATAAATTCGAGTGCACTAAATATGAATATTTAAAAATATTCTACAGCTTATCACTTTGCTCTGTAAGTATACGAATTAATTTTATTTGCTGAAAGCAAAAAAAAAGAATTTGTGAATCACGAGTTTCTTTTTGTTATTTTATGGATTTTACTATTTCACTTCATAGAATATTCTGTCATTTTCGAACTCCATGTAAAGAGCTAAGTGTAATATATAATACTTACTCGGTTTTAACCGAACAAACTGATTTTATGATCACAAAAATAGGCTCTGAATAGAATGCTTTTACATTGCAATATGACAGTTTCCGTTATATCTTACGATTTGATTGGTTTTGTTACTTATAAACATATATTTTTGGAAGTTCACTGAAGAAGCGCAGAAATATCCCAAATTTTAATGAGACGATCTTGCCCAATTGTTAATAATCTTCGTCTCGGAGCATCAAGATCCATTCCAACAACGTTATGCTTTGCGTCATGAAAGGATGCTAAAGATGTTTGGCTAAATAACAAACGCATAAAATAAATAAACCGTCAACTGTACGAATCGTACCTTTTGCTTGTTCCAATACTGTTACTCACTTGGCCGCCTTGAGTTGTATATGACACGGATCGCAAACTCGGACTTCAAATTCGAACCCCATTGACGGTATTGGTATTCGCTGAGACGTGCAACGCGCGCACAATGCACGGCCACAATGACGGCAATGATGTTGCCTCAATCCTAGTTGTCTTTGATCCATCATTGCTTTGATATTCCAGAAAAACGGTCTCCCACAAGCCTGAAGTTTCAAATTGTGCCGTTATACGTAAATACATTCAATGAATCGTAATGGAATTATTTGAAATGTCGTAAACGCATACTTGGCATGTATCTGACTCCACCCATGCTGCTGTTTCCTTCCTATTTCCAGCCATATCCCAACAAACTATTACTCCATCTTCTCCTCCGGACAACAGAATGCGCTCTGCGCTTGCATAGCACAGTGCAGTTACTTTGTTGCTACAGAATCATACATAAATCTGTATAGTATTAACGAAAAATATGTTATATATATTTGTTCACTTACTGATGCCCTTGAAGCTCATATGCCGTTCCCTGACGCCCACCAATATCCCATACTATAATGCATTGATCAAAACTACCCGAAAACAGAAGCTGTTTTTCAGAATCCCATGCCAATGTATGAATACTTCCGGTATGCGCTTTTAATGTTGTGATTAATGTGACGCCGTTAGTCTCTAACTTTAGCATTGCTATTTGTCCAGAATAGTCCCCAACAAAAGCATGTTTTGATTGAGCATCAAATCTGTGCAAGTTAAGGAGTTACATTAATAAGAAACAGAAGTGGTTCTATGATCATACAACCCTTTGCCGATGAAACGTGATATAAAGCATTCTATTGTAGAAAAGGATACTGCAGTGCAGTGTACCATGCATCTGTCTGATATGATCCCAACTTCTGACCAGATTCTGAACAATGTAACTGGAACATTTTATCTCGACCTATACTTAAAACCCATTCACTATTTGGAGCAAATATAACACCTGTAACTCTTGCTTGATGTGCAGCATATTCGCGCATAGCAGTCATTCGATTGTAATCTTGCTCCAAAATAAATTCCTAGAAACAACAATCACCATGTCAATTGTGAAGTGTGGAGAGCTTAAATTCCATTCAGAAAACATTGTATTACATACATTTATTGTTCCATTGTCCAAACCCACAAACAATTGCCTTGTTTCCACCGAATAATGCATTGATGTTGCCCCAGCAGCCATATATTGACAAACACTGGGCCAATACTGCCCGGAATCACGTTTCAGCCAAACTCTGATGGTTCTATAAAAACGCACAGTACAATGAGTCGCATAGACGAAAGTAATAAATATTTCCGAAAATACTACGCACAACGTTACAAATTTGTACACGCGATTTACACAAACGTATAAAAAATAGGATTCAATGTGTAATTAAATTTTTCCTATCTACCTGTCATCACAAACACTAATTACACCTTCTTCCCGCGGTATAATGATCGCCGCATTAACATCATCGTTGCATCCCTCCAATTTCGACAAGAGTATAGGTTTGCGACTCGTGCTAAATTTATCATGATTCACTCCTGGAGCGGGTTTTATCTCTGCTGCCATTTCAATACTTTGAACGTACTCGGCGAAGTGGGCTTGTCATTTGACAGTTGTCGGACTTCGATGATAATCAGTGTTTATATATATGTACAAAGACGGAACGTCTAATTTTTTAACAGATTGTGGAGAACCTGTCGGCGTTGCTCGTATTATGCGCAGCAAATCTTCCTTGCCTACGTTTCCACTTGTTCCTCTTTACCGACTGTTCAAATTACGTAGAAACAGTAGACGCTCGATAATTGAGAATCGGTAAATTGATCATCGGGAACTCGCCTCGCTCACACGTATTTCTACACATGGGCGCGCAGTACGAGAGCGAACGGGACCCACGGTATTAAGTGAGATAGAGCGATAACAGAGTAATCACGTGGTACTGACGTATAATGACGTGCTTGCAGTGCGAATCATTGGTCGGCGAAATACCCCTCTTGCCCCTGTGCCATTCAGTTTGCTGGAGCTGGGTAACTCAGCAGTTTCCAATTGTACACCCAACCCACCCTACATACAGTTACGTCGAACAAATGAACGGATAATTGGCGGGAAGAGAACGCGCGGGTGATTGGTGCTCGCTTAATGAGTACTTCGGGAAATTTAGCCCTGTACAGCCTCGAACGCTACAATAAACGAGCTTCTACTGTATCTAAATAGTAATAAGAACAACAATCAGATACATGAAGTAGTAGAAAGACCATTTATTTCTTTGTCAAACTTCACTCTCTCGTGATAATACCGCTGTATGTAATACATAGTCGCGGTGTTACGTCTGTAAAAAATACAGACGATAATAAAACTAATAAAATTAGTATGATCTTATTGTTTACTGTATGGATAAGTGATATTAAAAATATATGTTCATCGAATACGCGTAAAGAACGGTAATCGTGATATAATAAATGGTAGTAACAACTGATAATATTGGGATTGACCTTGTTAAAAACTATAAAAAACAGTAACAACGACGACGAGAGGCACACGACAGATTGACATGTATCGCGGCTGACTCATCCGTTTAGGATGGGAGAAGGGGAGGGGGGTGGTGGTGGCGCGTCGATCGGCTGCAACGCGGAAATCAGTGCCGCGCGCGTTTTAAATTGAATTCTATTATTCCTGCTATCGACTGGATCATCTCTCGAACTTCCACCGCACCACAACGAAAAACATCGTACAACTGATTCATTGGTGTAAAACGCGCAGCATCGGACAAACTCCGCTTGTTCCTCGCGAGCAAAACTGTGCGCTATTCGGAAATCCGAGCCGTTTCACCGAAAATACCGTTGGTCCCATCCAAAATTATTACCACAAATTCAGTGGATCGTAAGTGTATTTCTCGGTTCCCCGTTAGACTATCGGTATTTCCGGTTGCACTGTCATCGACAACGGTAAGAAAGTGCTCCAAGGGGGGTGCATTGCCGACTGGATTCCACGTTGAAGACCCGTTCTCACCGCAGCAACACCTCCGACAACTAGCAACTGCCTAAAAATGCATTGGCACTTTTCTCGCGTGTAGAGACGACATTGGCTGTCGAAATGACTTTTTTTCACGAGGAAGTTACGAATGTAAAAATATCTTCTGTCTCTCTGGACGACACGCGTGTAGAAACGCCTTAAAGACGAAGGAGCTCTGAATCGGGCTCTGCGTTTCGAGGTTATCTGTGCCTTTTCAATTGCCCGCAGCCCTACTATACCCATCCATCAGTGCTATCTCGCGCTCAATATATATTGCATCATCATTATCATCATCATTATCATCATCATTCTGAAATTCTCGCCGTTCTCGCGTCGATAGGCGAACGCGACCGATTTAAACGAGATTTCGATCCAATAGAGACCCGAACAGGTCTGGCTGGACTTGTAGCAGCCCGCTGCTCGACATGCTCGGGTCGTAGTCGTCGAAGTTCTCAAAGCTCATCATTGGCGAAGACGGTGAAACGAGCGATCCGTCGCTCATGTACGAGCCAGGCAACTGTTTCCTGGCTACCGAGCTCAGCTGATCGTACGATTCAGTCGATCCACCGGAATTTGGACACTGTGGCACCATTTGGTTGTCCAGATTGACGGACAACGGCTGCGTCAAGCTTCTCGGAATCGCCTGGGGCACGTTACGCGACTCCATCAAACTGTCCTGCGCAATCGAATAACAGAATTACTGAGTGACAGACTGATATCTGGCACATGGATACTTGGAAATCCCTTAGAAACTAGGGTAATGGACCCAATTACGGACAAATTAATGGCCTGATGAGCTTGTTTTTGTTGATAATAAAAAATTATTGACAATTGTTTCTCTTCGAGCTCTCTAGTAGTAAGTTTCATTTTTCTGGAATCCCCAAAAAGAAATATTTTATGGTATAATTGAAAATTAGTAAAATACCGAACGAACGAAAAAAAAAATTTTTTCCACCTATTCTTTCAGATGTTGTATAAGTATAGTGTTTTTAATTCATAGAAATATAGTTAACCCTCCATAATACAGACACCATCCGTAATTCGGTCACTTACCCTAGGTCTCTTGGCGCCAGACTTTCAAACAAAGTATTCGCTAGACAAACGCGGAAACAAAAAAAGGAAAAATCGTTTTGCATTACGGTTGCTCTATATTGCTTTATATACTTTCTATATGTATATATGTATTGTGCTACTGTACTTGTAATTTCTGGTCACAGATGGATACAGTTGTTAAGAACCAGTTCGAGGCTGGTGACAACACCAACAAGAACAAGAGAAAATCGAATTTTAACGAAAAGAACAAAAAAAAAAAAAAAAAGATAAAGAAACCGAAGCCCTCCGAGTTTCTGTGATTTCGTAGCTTTAATTGTTCGCGCGAGCTGTTTCTCTCTCTTAGCGAATCAACCAACACGGAAATTGCGATCACCTGCGTTCTGTGCTTGCTGCGTTTCGTTGTGAAGAGCAGGAAAAGTGGGAGACATTTTTTTTTTTTTGTAAATGACAAAACATTGTCCACCGTGTTGCCGATACAGTCGTTTCTTCCTGGGAACTTTCGAGCGATGCTACGGTTCTCGTAATTCCTGCCGCAGACTATTTATCGACAAAAATCAGTGTTTTAATCTCGTCAAAAAAGCGACTGTCTCTAGCACGCGACAGAATATATTGCAATCACGAGATACATAAACTACTCGAGGATAAACCATGATACTACATGTGCTTATTGGTACACGGTACTTTCGACGAACAACGTAAAAGTATCTTTATTTTATCGGTTTGTAAATACAGAAGGGATTCTAGGGCGGTATCTTCGTACTTAAATCGCTTTATACACAAGAAACACGACAACCCAACTATCAGCGATCATTGCAGTCGATAACGATCGATTATTACTCTTTTATTACCCCCCATTTAAGATGTACAGTTCATAACCACGAATCAGCAATGTTCACTCGAACTACCGACTATAATCGCGGGACGAGCAAAATACGAAAGATATTCTTGGGTATGGGAGCAATCGAAAGCTCGACGTATCAGCGTCTAACGGTCAGACGGACTTGTTGGGGGAAGGGGGACGGGATGGAGCAGGAAGGGCGAGCAGAGAGAAAAAAAGGAGGAAACGAAACGCAGCCAGTTCAGATGATTTTCGATGTTCAACGTTCAATGTATTTTTTGTTTTCTCTTTCTTGACAATCTTCAATCAACAATTCCATATACTTTGAAAAGTAGATTACATAACGTGACTTTAAAGGAGCGACACGGTCGAGAACGGAATTCCTGACGATCCTCGCTTCGCGCACACGCGCCCGTGACGAGATATTTTGTGTATATATCTGTCAACTTCTAAAAAAAAAATCGTTCTTGGTCGAATCGCTCTCTCGGTCGCTCGATCTCCCTAAAAAACATTTGGTTAACGGACGAAAACGCGAACGTATCTCTCGTCCCCTCTCTCTCTCTCTCTCTCTCTCTCTCTCTCTCTCTCTCTCTCTCTCTTTCGCTCGAGATCCAGCGATCCTCCGAGGGTTCTCTCTCTATCACCGTTTTCAACTCGCCTAAAAGCCTCGCGCGCAAAATTCATCTGCCCCGAAGAGGGTCGTCGATTTGCAACCGTCGCGACTCGACGGTGTACTTCATCGAGCCTCGTCGTGACTCTCGGTTGTGTAAAAAAAAGCAGAGTTTCCCGAGGTTTCACGATCTTGAGGGCCGGCAGTAGAGCTACGCGTCTCGGCGATCGACGATAGGAGAGAGAATATATATGATGTCGATGATCGTGCCGGGGGAACGGCCGTAGACATTGGAGAAACGCGAGGCGAACCGCCGGTCGCGGTCGCGATGGCGGATCGTTCACGTGCTCGCGATGCTCTTCGAGGGCTTCGGTTTCGCGAAGCATACGTATCCCGCACTCACGTCGCAGCCGGACACCAGGAGATTCATTAGCACGCTGCTGCAGCCCGGGTTCCGTTCCGTGTTTCGGTTGGTCTCGTCGTTTCGACGGCGTCTGTTATTGCTGTTCCCGGTTCTCCCGCCTCCCTCGCAGCCACCGCCACCTCCGCTGTCCCCTTCGCCTTCCCCTTCGACCTCAGCGTCACCCGCCCCGCCTTCGTCTTCCACTGCTGCTTCCAGGTCCCCTTGTTTCATCTGAGCGTTGTTGCTCTGTCGAGGCGGGTTCAGGGGGCTCACGGTGAACGAATCGCCAAGATAGCGACCAGGACCGTTCCGCTGAACCGTTTGCTGGGAGACGAGACGGCGAAGCAACTGACTGTCAACGATACTCAACGGTTTCTGCGCGGACGTTTCTTGTTGCTTGCCCAGCAAGTGATCCTCCAGGCCCAGCGGGCTAACGCACCTGATCATCGTCGATTCCTCGCATTTGATGCGTTTATTTTCAATCCCCCCCGCGTCTATCGAGCCGGTGTGTATACGCTTGGTGGGTCTGTCCAGCTTGGACGGCCAGTGACTGCCGCCGGTGTCCAGGCTTGTGTCTGAGAGAAGAACGATACCTGAGTTTTGCCCTGTAGTTTCATGGACACGGAAAGAAAAGCCCCTAAAAATACAGCTTCATGGGGTAACCACTTACTTTTTCTAGGTAGTTGACCAAGAACCTGAACCGGATTGACTAGACCGCCTCCGTGATCGTTGTACTTTCTAGAGACAATCTGTTCTGTTTTCAAGAGCTGCGCCAAACTCGACTCGGACGGCCTCTGTTCCTTCTTCTCGTCGATCATCCTACAAGATCAACAACGGTACGGGGTAGTAAAAATGAAGCTTTTCACGAGCCACGGCCAGATACACGCGCAAATTTCGTTCGCGATTTTCCTACCATTTCGGGCAATGTTTCTCCGTGGTATGAGGCGGACTCCACATCACCATCTCATCGCTGATGAGCAGATCCAACGCCTCATCCTGGTCCGACATCGGGATATACGGTGCCCTCAACGCCAGCTCATCGTCGGCTATACTGTCGCTAAGACCCAGCATCAGCATCTCGTCCTCCGATAAACCTTCCGCGCAGCTGCCACCTGTTGGGCTGCCCAACGAATCTATGCTTCGTTCCGGGCTCTGAAAGAAAACGGACGCCCGCTATTGGTCTGTTTTCTCCGGAGGGGTGAGCGCGAAAACTGACACGCATCTCCGTTGACCCGGTTCGGTGTTATCAAACGTATCACCATAGACGCGGTCAACCACACCACAAGATCTACTTTTTCTGATCGATCAAAGTATTTGTCCAGGCCGAGCACAGCCGATGAATCTCTACCCGAATACCAGTCACTTTCTCGTTGGCCTCTATTAGTGCACCGTATTCACACAGGTTGGCGCCACCGTCGCGCAGCAAGTTCAGTTAACCGAGTGTGTATACTCTTATTATTGCACCAGGGAAATACACTTTTGATCGCCACCTCAGGCTGTGCTCGACCAGATAGATAATTCCAGAAATACAGTTGGTACAGTGTCGAATCGAGGGTCGTGAAACGGTGTGTGCGTTCGTGTAAAAGGAGACCAGGAAAGATAACCTACTTGACGGTATTTAGTGAGGGATCGGGAAACCGAGTTTGGATCGATGCTGCAAGGGCTGCTCGGGGAATCCCCATACATGAACGGATCGCTGTCCGCTAGGGGCTCGCCCAGGCTCTTGTTCCGCGTGCTGTCCCCGAGTTCGGTGTCTTTCAACGGATCACCGAAGTCCGCGGAGCGTAGTTCCGTGGCGAGGCCGGCACCACCGGGGCTCAACAGGGGACAATAGTTGTCGTTCCCGAGAATGAACTCGTCGAGCATATCGGAGAGAAATGGCGTGTCCTCGAGGGGCACACATACGTCGCCTGGTGTAGGCGCCAGATGTGTCAAGTCCTCCGGCTCGTCCTTCAGCACTGTAACATACACACAGAATCGTGGCTGGTAGGTAATTCGATCGAGCCTCTCCCCGTGGACCGGTTTTGCTTCCGGAGCGATAAATAACGCTCGTCAACTGTGTGTGCTCTCTCTCTTTGTCTCTCGCCAACACGGAAGAGACAGCAAGAGATTTAGTATCGTCGAGCCACCACGGAGATTGATCGTGCCGGGCTCCCAAACGTTTCCCACAACCGCATCCACTCCCTCCCATCCCACCCACGCGCCCCTTCTTCTCGGGCGATTTCCCCCCGACGTTATCGGCGTCGAGTCGCGTATTACGGTATCTGTTTGCTATATATGACAGGGAACAACAACGTGTATCGGATGATTTTCGTTCCCCATTGACTACCGCGCGTGCAACCGTACATCCCGTCGAAGAGTTTTGTACCCAAGACACCAATAGACGCAGAAAAGAACAGTTTTTTTTTCGTAAAAAAAAAAAAAAACGTCGAGCACGAACATACAGTAAATTTTCGATGAGTGTTTGAAAGTGTCTTAGTTCGGACAACGAAAGGTCCCATGGGTGTAACGCTGACTTTTTAATCAGGTTTAGCACAGTAAGAGAGCTTGGAAGTTTGAAGCTGATGATACTTACTTCAGCCGCATACATGGGCGTAACCAGGTTATCAGTTGGGGGTGGGTGGGGTAATGTAATTTTTTTCCTCCGGGAAGGGATGGGGGCAAAATCCAATTTGTTTTGGCTTCATATGGTCATTAGGTTATGAAATATTTAATGTTCAATGCCGAGGAGCCTCTGGACACTCATCGAGGATTTACTGAATATCGTGAAAACGCGACCCCCCTCCCCAAGAAAGAGTAAAGTTAAGTACTCGAGGAATATAAAAAGATTCTTGTAGAAGAAGCACCCACTCGTAAGGCCTGGATGATCCTCGCTGAAAGTCAAGAAGCCTTTGTTCATGTCCTCGGTACGAGGTGCGAAGATGCTCGCTGTTGCAGTTTGCGGCGGTGGTCTGCAAGTGATCTGTTCCGGTTGTTGTTGTTGCTGTTGTGGTTGTTGTTGCGCGGCGATCGGGGCGAAAAGTTGTCTGGTGACGGCCTGGGGCCTATCACGACGAACCGTAATCTCCGTTGGATCGTATTCCACCGCGGGCTTACCCTGAAAAGACGGACCAGACGAAATCGCGATGAGCCATGTGTGTTGCGTCGAACAACCTTGACGTGCAGCCTTGGAGTGGGAACACGAATATATGTATACCTGGAAGACGAACGGTGTACGGGTGATCGGCGTCGATCGTTGATTACGGTTCTGCTGTCGTCGTTTCGGCTCGTCGTTCTCTTTGAGCGATTCCTCGAGCGACTCCTTGAGCGCCTGCACGCCGACGAACGATTTCTCTGTATCGTGGACCGGTCTCGGGAAGGTGTTATCCTTCCGCGAGCCGTCCTGAAGCCCAACCGGCTCTTTTTTCGCCTTTTGTCCCGCTGCCACGCGGAACGTCGAGGTGGTCACCGCCAACGGTTTCGCACGTTCGAACAATCCTTGCTGCTGTTGCGCACTTTCAGACGACGCGTACTCGTGATCCCCTGCGTCGAACCTAACCTCCTCGAGCTGTTCACCGGCGTCAATCCGCACCTGCAACTTGACCTTGGCCGGTTGTTGAACAGATATTATCTCGCCGATATTCGGTACCGTCGCCGTCACCTTCTTCTTCGACTTCACGACGTTGTTGTTGTTGTTTCGCTCGGTGTCACGTGCTGCCAGCTGACGGGCGCTGTACACCTCATCCTCCCGTTCCACGCCGCTGAAATCAGAAAATCCTACCCTGGTGCAACGGAACCCAGATCTGAACCACGACGACCAATTGTCATCGCGCTACCTTCGACGGTGATTCACATCGATTACTACAGACGTCCGCGAGTTCGCCAGACAAGAGAGGTTAACCCTCAAAGACCACACTGTATCATCCTACCGAATCGACCTCAAACATCAATTGATACATCAAACTCAGACCGTTCTTTAGCCTGTATCTCAAATATATAAGTAATTTAATCACAAATCTTTCGATAAAACATCACAATCTTAATTTCCCATACCTTATCCAATCCGAAATGCCAAGTGTCTTTCGGATGGACGGGGTTACTCTAACCTCAAATGTGGTCTTTGACGGTTAGGTCTCTATGAATCGCCCGTGCAAGATATACCTCGCGGAACGACGCCGGTTCGAGAACCACGGGCTGTCGACGAACCGTGAAACGACACACTGGGACTCTCGAATAAGAATCGACCGAGATCTAGCGTCTTGTACGGCCTAGATAGACCCGCGTTTTGAACGGGCGCGCTAGCTGGCTAAGCCTATCCCCACCCTGCGTGCACTCCGCTCGCGCGGGTCCTGACCCTTGTACGTACGGTGGAAGCACATGGCTGTTAACTCGCGAGTGGCCTGGCCTTACGTAACAATTATATACGCTTGATCGCGAGCGCGTGGGGCAGCTAAAAACGCGTCGTCTGTCCCTCCCGCGGCGAGTATATTGCCACGGTCATATGGCCGTTCCCCGTCGATTATGGGGACATGAATTCGCACGCGATAGGGTGTCCCCTGAATAAGAGAAAGGCAAGATTGCTGTTACCGCCAGAAATCATGATCATAGACAGCAGCACCAGCTACTTTCTTTCTCGGCGCGTTTGACTCCCGGTCTGGGTTATCGCGAAGGTTAAGGCTGCGACCGATCGAACGGTTAAGGAGGGCGCGGTGTGCGTGTAATCGCTAAACGGTCAGAAGTGCCAAGAATTTTCACCAAACTGCCTTCGAGACAAGATTCCCCGGTTAAGGTACGTTTTCACGTGACAGTAAAAATCGCGACTTTTACGGCCACGACACTAAATGTAAATGTTTATGCGTTTATAGTGGCTTTGAAGTTGGGAAATGCAATGGAATACGATTTTTGACTGTTGTACTACAGAGCAATGCTAGTTTACATTAATAAATAAATAAATTTTCGTAAAATTTAATACTACTAGGTGTTACCATTAACGTGGAAAAGACTTTTGGCAGAGAATTCAAAATTCTGCTCCATTTGAATTTTTAGATACTAGCATTTGAAATTGTGAATTCGTGTAAACTTCCGCAGTCTTAGACCTACTGTCCAGTAAAGGCGTCTTGTCGCAACGAGTCATATGAATTTTACTTTCACGTGAAAATATATCCTTTAGTGTTTCGTACAGGCGAAAACAAAAATAATCTACACGGGGCAGGGCAGTCGTTCGACGAATCGTAGAGTGAGGCGGCGGCCCTGCTCGTTCCCCCCGAGCACTAACTGCCTTTAACCAGTCGCAACGGCTCGGTAATTGTCGCAAATTGACCAGCCGGACCCCAAATGTTCGCGAGCGAGCTAGAGCGCGCGCGCGCACGACCGCTCGTGTGGAAATCACGCGAGAGAATCTCGACGATGCGAGACGCGCGTTCGGCATTTCTGCGCGTGAACGTGCCGCATATCGGTTTAAACAAATAAGTGTTATTTCCCCGCCCGATAACATACAGATACTGCGTCCTTTCTCACTCTTCTTCGCGTATCTTGCCCCCCGCACCACGTTTCCATCCAAACGCTCCACCCCCCTCCCACTGCCGCGTTTCCACGATAGCGGAGAGACGAAATTGCAGCGCAGCTTCCAATGTACCATAGTTTATCAACCTTGTTTTGGCTTGCCGCCCGTCCCCCTTGTTCAAAGTTGTTTTTTGTTCGGGTAAACTACCTCTATTATCAAAGTTTCTGAGTGTACTGTGCGTACGATTTTTTAATATTAAAATGTTGGTAGAAAATAAGGAAAATAAAATAACTGGAATGTCTCCCCTCCCCCTTCAATATTTCCCCAGCGTCCATGTTGGGAACCTATGTTTTCATTAGGTGCACAAATTAATTCGTGGCCCCCACAATTAACCTTTAGACGGCCGGCATTTTTTCATTAGGAAAGGTAGTTTCTTCATCCAATATGCACTGCGCTGAGTTTCGAGTTTTGTCAATGTCCCAAAAGGGATTCTCCCGGCAGCCTAACGGTTCATTATCGACTCAGAACCGCCATAATTTTTTCGGTAGGGGATTCGCCAACTGCCCGAGAGATGGCATAAACGCGTAGAAAGTGACGGGGGAATATTTTCCAGACTGGATTGTATTCTAGATTTTTTAATAAAATGTATTTCCATGAGAACAAGGCCACGAATTCATTTGTACACCCAATACCTTCAAGCTGTTTGTCTCTGTGCAGCCACCGGTCGTCTAAATCAATTCTATCATCTGGTGATCGTATCACGACGTAGAACGGAAGCCGGGTTTCCCGCGAATCGATCCGTTCCGACGAAGCCGGGGGGGAAAGAAGAAACGGGAACCGAACGGGAGAACTTTGCGAATCCTCTCCTCTGGTCGCTTGCATAACGGGTTGCCACCGCGATAAAAACACACATACAGACACCACGCGCATGGCGGGACGAGTGGGGGGTTATTTTCGGTTGGGCAACAGCGCAAAGACGGTTTTCTGCTCTCGCGTGTGTTTCGAGGTTGGCTGTTGGCGGTGATGAATCGCGGGGAGCCAGTGTGAGACCACCGCGAGTAAATAAACCCGCGCGCGCGCCACCGCAAGAGACCGTGAACACGGTATGATATGGTTCCGTTGCGAACACGACGAGTATGCAACGACGGTTGCATAAGGATTACACCTTGGAATCGTTGACAAGACAGTCTGGCCGCGAGTAGGTCGGGGGGAGAGTTTTTCGGAGGCTCGCGAGTATATACTAAACACACCACACCAGCGCGTTGCCGGGAATTCTCCCTACCTCTCGGGGACAAGGTGACGTCACATAAAGCTGTATAATTTGGTACGACTATTGTGCACACTAGGGATGTTCGATTTCGTGTCGATTCTTCGGAAGATCGATTACCTTTGGGTAACATGTCATTGCCATGCATAATGCGTATGCACTAACGGGCAAAAGTATGGCACCGGGTTTGATAATTAAAGAAAGAAGAAAATATTATTCCGTAACTTTTATTTTATCGTAACAGAATAATGAATTACTGTTCCCATCAATCGTGAACTCATGTCCTACACTCTCGACCGTTAGTTATATATGGCAGGGAAGTGTTACCCACGGAAATCGATTTTCTAGGGGATCGAACCAGAAGTGACATCTCTGGACGGCACACAAGGCTAAACCCACTACGAAACAAAAACGTGACGTTGCGTCCCCAACGGAAATATCCCCCCCCCCCCAACCTATAATCACTACTACGTCACTCTGCCCTACGCGGCCATGTTTTCGCTATTGCTGGCAATGCCGATAAACATACTCGTCCAGGCGGTAAGAAGTTCACATTTTTCGTTCGCAATAGTAACACACAAATGAGGAACACCAAGAACGGGTTGTTGCACGAATTCGGATCAGTTCGCGAACACCGAAGCACGCGATCAGTCCATCGGGCGAGTAAGACGTCGCGCTAACGAAGAACGTCAGAATCTCGAAAGAAGGGGCTCGACTGGTGCCAACTCGAGAACGGACAATAAAGTGATACTTTGCATTCACGGATAGAGGAAACGCGCGCGCGTTTGACGAGAGACAACGAGTGAGCGAGACGAATGGAATATCGTTTGTAGGAAAGAGACGAAAAGAGACAGGTATATACCGATTGGGTTGAGTTAGGTGCAAGTTAAATATGCGGCCGGTATTGTTAAAAATAGAGTGACGGTCGACCGCCGGGTTACTTGTGCAATCGAGCACGTGGGACCAGCAGCCCACCTCTGCCCTACCTGTATACAGGGTGTTAATAAACATCTGGGACACTTTTATAGGGGTCGGAGGTCCATATACAAAACTAAGATGAAAGTTCATTCGAGGAATCGTTTCCGAGTTAATAATTGTCGGAAATACGGGCGAGATACGCGTGAAGCACGTCCGACGCGTTAGGTTATGTTCTACTCGAGAGGCGGGCTCTTCGATTTGGTGTTCATCAGCTGGTAATAGTCTGTTCGAGTGTGTATAATACATCGCGTCAAACGTAAAATTTACGGCCGTATTTGCAAACAATCAACACAACTCAGTAACGAAACCTCGAATGGAGTTTCGTTATTCTTGATGTTCGTTTCGGATCGACAGGTAGAACCCATTCTGCGAAAGTGTCCCCACATTTTCATTAACAGCCTGTATAATAGCGTACCATCAACCGTACTGTCCACCGTCTATCATCCCTCCGCAAGAATATACATATATTTTCCGCCTACGCAACTCTTCTCGGTCCCGAGGCGAAGAGAGCCCGTTGCCAACGATGATTCTGGCACGGACCGTCCGAGAAGACACCGCGTGCGTGCGTTCTCTTTCGCGGCCTTTGCCTCGTTCGCGACATCGAAGCCCTGAGAGAAAAAAAAGAGGGGGGGAAGAGAGACAGATAGCCTAACTGACGCACTCTTCACTCTCGGGCTGTCTCTCGCCTCTGGTTGGCAATCGAATAAGCGTGTATATCCATGAAAGAAATCCAATCGATCGTCGTGATTGATTGGTTCCCTCTGTTTCGAAGGTTCGCCGACTAAGACAAGCCGGGCAGGTTAGAAGTTGTCACTGCACGCTTCCGCGTCACACCACGCGCACACACGCGAAAATAACACATTCGGCTCGACTCGGTAAACTTCATCGCGGACCGGAGGCCTTGGCTCTGTGTGGTCGGCATCTCGGGTATCGCTTCCGCGACACGGTTCTTCTCGTTACGAGGTATTTGAAAGGCCAGAAACCCGTCGAGTTAACGGAATTCATGATCGAAC